CAGTGGGGAAAATCTCGAAAGGGGAAAACCCGTCCCTACCTACTGCAGCACTGCCTCCAACTCCCGCTTTCCTCTGTCCTAATCCGTCGAACTCGATAGAGTTCCCTCGATTCGTTGTTACCCCGTAACATACAGTGGGCGGGATTGCAGAAGGGATATCAGAAGGAGTGAGGTACGCCATGGGACGGCAAACTTCGGCGACCCCAAGCGTAGTGGGCGAACAACGGAAGGGGATAAAGCTACCTAACCCAGACCTCTGGAGAGGAGATCGGAACAAGTTAACCGCCTTTCTGTCTGAGTGCGACGTACATTTCGAATTGAACTCTCATCTTTTCCCCGACGACACTAAGAGAGTCTTTTTCATGATCTCTCATCTACGCGAAACACCTCTTCTTGCAGTGCAGCCCGATCTATCCAAAAGACCTCTTCCTGAGTACCTCACGACACACGATCAGTTCATTAAGTACCTCAAGACTAACTTTGGTGATCCAGACGAAGAAGGAACTGCGGCCCGACAACTTAACGACCTCAAGCAAACCGGGTCTGCTTCGGACTACTTCTCCGCCTTCCAGCGACATGTTGCGATTCTTAAGTGGTCTGATGATGGAAACCTAGTTGACCGAGCCAAGAAAGGACTAAAATCGCACCTTCTAGATGAAATTGCAAGACACGGTAGATCGTTTGGGACTGTGAAAGAGCTATTGGAGTTTGTGATTCCCTTGGACAACCGCCTGTGGAGGAGACAAGTGGAGAAGGAGGCAGAGAGGAAAAGGGAAGGAGGGATAAGGACAACGACAGTGGTGGAAAGTCAGAGGACGGAGAAGAAAGAAGAGAAGAAATGGGAAAAGGGGCAACCTTCGGCGCAGGGTGGTGTCCAGGCGGCTATGATGTCGACGGTGGTAAAGAGTACACCGCCAAACATCGACGAAGTTCGCCGAAGATGGCCTAGGCCGAGCTCCGATCTGAGGGAGACAAGGAGGAAGGAGGGGAAGTGTACCGAGTGTGGTGAAGCAGGACATTGGCTGAAGGAATGCCCTGTAAGGGAGGCTAAGGTTAAGGTTGGACTGTTGCCTCCATGGGGGGGGAAGTTCGGAGAACGTGGTGGAGGATCGGGAGGGAACGCAGTACCTCTCGGACAGAGGAGGAACTTGAATGCGGTTGGAGGAGAAGTAGATTTGGAAGAGGACCAGGGAAAAGAAGAGGACCTGTCGCAGTAGGCGAGGCTCGGCGGGTCCGCCATATTCTCTCGGCCACCATTCCCAAACCCATAAAAGAAACACAGCTGATGGAGCCAGAGGATTGTGAATACAAAAATACACCACTCAGTACCCCTTGTTCATGCAATGTCGATAATCATCTCCTCATCCCTTCCGTTTCCAGAGATCAACCTAAATCGGACATTTTCATTAATGGAATAAAGCTAACTACGCTCTGGGACACTGGAGCTACTTGTTCATATATAAGCCCTAGGGCGGCAGCGAAGATAGGTGTAGAAAAGAGACGATATCAGGTGAGCGTACCCGTTCACATGTTCGACGGCTCGGTGAGTGTCGCTGGACCCATCACCGAGTTTGTCGAAGTCGGATTTAGTTTGACGAAGGACGCCGAAGTGCGATCTGTTTGTCTCGATGTAACAACGCTCTGCGACGCAGATGTTGTGATAGGGTGGGATTGGATGAGGAAGGAAGGGGTTGTCCTTGATGGAAGAGACAACTCGGTGAAATTTCCCATCCCAACCCCACCAAGTGCGGCGAAGTTAGCGGCCATAGGGCTGCCGACTCCGACGGACGCGATAGACCTCCGCGGCGAAGATGAGCTTGAAGAGCTGAGCCCGGAGGAACAAGACGAGTTGTTCCAGGTAGTTCCTGAACAATACCACCAGTACATTGACGTTTTTAATCCGAAGAAGGGAGGAGAGACCCTTCCCCCTTCAAGGTCCTACGATTTGAAGTTTGAGCTTAAGGAGGGGGCGAACCTTAAGGTCGCCTCCCTCTATGCTCAAGGAGAAGATCAGAGACGCGCGCTGAGAGACATACTAGATCGCGAAATCGCCGCTGGCCGAATTCGGGCAAGTACCTCGCCATACGGCTCACCAATGTTTATGATACCGAAGAAAGCCGAAGGACAATGGCGAATGGTCATCGACTATCGAAAACTGAACGAAGCGACCATACCAGATGCCTACCCTCTCCCTCTAATAGGTCAAATTACTGAGGAACTTGGAAAAGCAAGGTATTTCAGCAAACTAGATCTAATTGGAGCATACCAATTGTTGAGGGTGACAGAGGGACATGAACACCTGACGGCGTTCAGGACACAGTATGGTATGTTTGAATCTCTGGTTGTTCGTGATGGGCTGCGAAACGCCCCCGCGGTCTTCCAACACTTCCTAAATGAGGTGTTTAGAGAGCTACTAGGGAATGGAGTCGTGGTCTACATTGACGATATCCTCATTTATGGGAATACGTTGGAGGAATTACGAGGAACTACGGCGAAGGTCTTTGAGGTACTGCGGAAGGCGAGCCTGTACGTGAAAGCTAGTAAGTGCGAGTTCGAAAGAGATTCGGTGGTGTTTCTGGGTTTCGTGGTATCCTCTAAAGGTGTATCGGTGAACCCAGAATACATTGATGCCATCACTTCCTTCCCACGTCCTAAGAATCTACGAGAGTCAAGGGGATTCATTGGAGTTGTAAGCTACTACAGGCGCTTTGTCCCCAACTTCTCGAAGATTGCTAGACCTATCAATGACTTGACAAGGAAGGAGGTACCATTTGTATGGGGAGTCGAACAGGAGTCAGCCTTCAAAGAGTTGAAGGCTAGGATGTGTACTGCGCCGGTGTTAGCCCATTTTGACCCTACATTGAAGACGATATTACAGACAGATGCGTCGTTCTTCGGCTGGGGGTTCATAATTTCGCAGATCAACACGGCTGGTCAAGAACACCCGGTAGCTATTGAGTCTGGTGCTTTCAACACAGCTCAACTGAATTATACGGTAGGAGAAAAGGAGTTCCTCGCTGTAGTGGAGGGTTTCAGAAGAAGGAGACACTTATTATTGCAGGTAGAAACCACAGTACTTACCGACCATCTAAACCTTACCTACTGGATGGAACCGAAACAACTCAGTCCTCGGCAAGGTAGGTGGGTAGAGGAGCTAGCTAACTTCAGGTTTAAAATGGTTTATCGGCCAGGAACCCAGGCAAGTCTTCCAGATGGATTATCTAGACGGGCGGACTATCATTCCGGGAAAGGAAGTACCATGGTACAAGAGAGCAACCTTATCCAAGGTCTGCCGAAGTTCGACGAAGTTGACGCCACCACGTCGGAGTTGCGTCACCTCCTTCGAGCATTGCAAGGGACAAGGGAGGTAAAGGAAAATGATCTTGTGGACCCTATGGATCTAGTACTTGGAGTTCAGGAGGACGAAGACATAGAAGGGGTCAGAGAAGAATTATTAGGGGTCGTTTGCGCTGAGTGTTCTCATCCTACGTGTAACGATAACGTGCAGGAACCAGGATCAATCACTGAACTACGCCGTAGTTCGCGGTCTCCTCTAATCCTTCGTGGGGGGTGGAACTCAAGAGGTTTCCTCACATTCGACGATCGCATTTATGTGCCGAACTACGCCGATGCTAGGCTGAAGATCATGAAGATGCGACATGACTCAGCCTTGGCCGGTCATCCAGGTTCGGCGAAGACCCTTGAACTAGTCCTGAGGGATTATGTCTGGATTGGAGTAAGGAAGGATGTCGAAGATTATGTTGCTGGATGCGCGGTATGTCAGAGAGCGAAGACTAACAGGCAGAAACCTCATGGGGAGCTTAAACCACTGGAGGTAGCTACGAAACCTTGGTCTAGCATCTCGATGGATTTTATCGAGGAGCTGCCAAATTCCCATGGATATAATTCCATCCTGGTAGTGGTGGATCGGTTGACCAAATGGGCCATTTTTATCCCGACTACGACGAAGTTAACCGCAGCCGGCCTATCAGAGTTGATATTGGACTATGTGGTGGCCCAGCATGGGTTGCCAGAGAATATAGTATCGGACAGGGGATCGAAGTTTACCTCCAAGTTCTGGAAGAATTTGACCGATAGTCTCGGAATAAGACTACATCTCTCTACTGCATATCATCCACAGACTGACGGACAGACCGAACGAACCAACCAGTCTTTGGAACTGTATCTTCGAATCTTCACCTCCTATCAGCAGAACGACTGGTCAAAGCTACTCGCTCGAGCTAGCTTTGCTTACAACAACACCCAGCACTCTGCGATAAACAAAACCCCATTCTATGCGAACTATGGATATCACCCTCGTTGGGCTGAAGAGATAAAGGCTAGCGAGGTCGAAGTGCCCGCTGCTACGGGGGTGGTAAAAGACTTGACTGAAATACACAAAGATTGTATCGAAGGAATTGAGAAAGCTAATGAGAAGTACGCCGAAGGATACAATAGGAAACACCGGACTACGCCGAACTTCGCGGAAGGAGACCTAGTGATGCTGTCGTTAGAGAATATTAAGACGAAGAGACCAATGAAGAAGTTAGATGTTAAGCAAAGTGGGCCGTACAAGGTAGTACGGCAGGTAGGTTCTCATGCTTGTAAATTGGAATTACCAGGAACGATGGCAGGTATCCATGATGTATTCCATGTCTCCTTGCTCCGTCCTTATCACCCTCCAATATTTCCTGGTCAGCAAGCTGAGCCACCTGGGCCAGTAGAAGTAGACAAGGTGGGGGAGTCTTGGGAGGTAAAGGATATTGTGGACTCTAGAGTAAATAAGAGGTCAGGAAAGTTAGAGTACTTGGTGGAGTGGTTAGGTTACGAAGGAACAGACGATTCAGTATCATGGGAACCAGTGGAGAACGTCGATGGAGCTGATGACATATTGGCGAAGTTCCACGAACTTCACCCTACTAAGCCGAAGGAAGGGCGACTGCGAAGGGCTAGGAGATAGAACGTACTGCATACAACATAGGATTACAGCTACGTACCGCTCACTTGTCCTTACTCTTACCCTTACCTTTTCCTTTTCCTTTCTCCTTCGATCTACTCGGTCCCGCGGGATTGGTGTGGAGGCTACCGATGACCGAAGGTAGATCGAGAGTCTCAGACGGGAACGCAGTAGAGAGAGAAGCATTCCATGCCCGATTCATAGCCCCAAAGAAGTCACCGAAGTCCTGGACATCTCGAGCAGCTTGCATGCTCGGGGTCCTCCACAGAGAACGTATGGTCCGTAGACACTCGAAGGGAAGACCGAGGAGGTCGAGAGCAGTCTGGGCGGAAGCTGGGACACGAGAACTACTACGGCGACCTAACCAGTCAAGGGACGGTGGTGGCTCATACGCCATAGGAGTGACTAGGAAGGGGGTGTCGAACAGTCTTCGGCGAACATCGGCTATCTCAGTAAGGCTTCGGCGAGAGACGTCCGCTAACCTTGTCCTTGCTTCGTCGTCCAGAGCCCCAGTGTTGACTACATCTACTAACGCCGCAGTAAGATTGTTTAAAGCGTTAGCTTGACGAGAAGAGAAGTCAAGCAGGAGAGATGTATCATTTCGGGCGGCCTCAAGCTGAGTAGTGAGACCGAGGACGAGAGAACGATAAGTGGCGAATTCCTTTTCGTCCTCAGGAATACGGACGTCCAGGGAGATACGAGGGTGGACGAGGGACAACCGGGGAGCAGAGGGACCAGCACGCTGAGTATCTTCACCTTCCACATCACCATCATTGAAGGCAACCTCCTTCTCTTTAGATTTCCCTTTTGATTTCTTTAAAGAAGACTTCGGTGTCTTCTGGGAAGCAGAGGGAGGGGTGACGGGAGGGGCCGCCGAAGCGGCCGGAGGAACAGAAGGACGCCGACTTCGGGTGCTGTGAGCCGGAGGAGAAGCTACCACTGGAGAGGACGGACGTGGCGCCGAAGGACGAGAGGCCGAAGGACGGGAGGCCGAAGGAGCAGAGGCCGAAGGACGGCAAGAAGACGAAGGAGGAACAGCCGGGAGACGTGATGGGCCGGCCACAGGAGCGAAGGGCGACGGCGACGGAGGCGACGGGCGGAGGTCCGGCGAAGTACGGCGAACCGACCGGAGAGACGAAGGAGGTACCCGCGAACGGGGGACAGACGCTGGAGTCTGAGGAGGGGGGAAGGGCGAAGAGTCGGAGGGACGGGGCGGGATGTCCCGGGCAGAGGAAACGGGACAGAAGGAGCAGGGGCCAGACGTGCATGAAGCACAACGGAGGGCCTTGTTGTGTGGCCTGACTGCCTTGAGGCAGGGCCAGTTTGGACGATTATACGTGATAATCTCACGTCTACTAATTAGCAGGAGTAACTTCGGCGTAGAACGAATAGGTGGACTCACCGGCAACGATCACACGCTTCGTCAACACCAACCGCGATCCAACGACCAGGCTCGGACTTCATCTTCTCCCACAAGTACTCTTCTTCCCGCAGTGATCTCTTCACCCGTTTGGGCGAAGGCTCCCCTCTGGGAGAAGGGGGGGGAGCAGCGACGGGGGCGGCGGCAGCAGCGGCGGCAGCGGCGATGGCGTTGGGGGGGGGGAGAACCCCGGAAGAGGAAGAAGAAGAGGAAGAAGAAGAAGAGGAAGAAGAAGAAGAGGAAGAAGAAGAAGAAGAGAGGGAACGGCGTCGTTTCTGGCCCACAATTTGAGCAGGGGGAGGGGCAGGACCGGCTGCGAGTTAGCAATGTCTTGGAGAGCTAAAGAACAGATAAACAAGGCCAAGTTCGGCGAAGGTGTGAGGGGTTGGACGAAGAACTCACGCTCAGGACTATCTACGTTGTTGTCCTCTACACTAATCACCTCCACATCATCATCCGGGTATTCTTCTAACTTGCTTTCACCCTCACTATCGATCCTACCCTCCCCATCACCATCATCCTCACTTTCTTCGGTGTCGGGTCGATCACCCGACTCCGAGCCCCCACTGAGCGAGTCCTGGTCGGAGGAGGACGGAGACTCACCAGGACGAAAGGCGGGCGTCCTACGGCGAGGAGTGGCGGCAGGAGGAGGCCCTCCAGGAGAACCCGTTACGGGGACGGGAGAACCAGCGGAGGGAGAGGCGGAGCGAGGGGGCGGGGCAGCGCCAGACGGCTCCCCCAGAGAGAGAGTGCCGAGGCCGAGGGAGGAGACTTGGCGAGATCTGTCGCCGAAAGAAACTGAACATCAGCCAAGTTCGGCGAGGAAGGGTGAGTATCGATGAAAACTCACGAGCAGATGACACCATACCACCAAAGTTCCTCATGGCGGTGAAAGGGCTGGGTGTAGGAGTAGAAGGGGCCATGACGTTAAGATATTTAAATGAGAATAAAACTCGAGGCGATGATTCAAGGTAACAAATCTGTTTTCTAGGTAAGAGAGATAGAAAGTTTTGAAAGCAGATGGGAAAAAGAGAGAAGCTCGACGAACTGCTCAGTATTTAGTATAATCAAACCTAACCCCTCGTCGTCAACATGCAGCAAACTTCGCGTTTCATCAACAAAAGGCATCGCAGGGACGATCAAAATTCCCACGCTATAGTGTCTCATCTCAATATAAGCGAGGGTTACTTCGACAAACAACGGTGTTGTTCGGCTGCCATTCAGGAAGCGTGTCTCACCTACAAAAGACACAGGGCTTCTTACGGCAAACCTCGACGAAGTTAGGGGAGTCTCATTGTCGGGTTCTGGAGTGAAAGGAGGCCCAACTACGAAGTGCGGCGCAAAGAGCAGAAGAGTGGAGGATGGTCATGGGGAGGGAGAGAATGGGGTACTACGCTGCTAAGTTCTCTTGCCACGACAGAGGTGTAATCGCTCACGAGGACGTTCGCGGCTAAAGAAGGGGGCGACTGTCACGAACTACGTCGTGACACCTCGATTACTCCACCAACAATGACCCTCCTTTGGCCATCAAAACCCCATCACGCCTTAACCTCTTTACTCTACACGTAACTCAGGACTTCTGACACCAAGTACGGCGAAGTTAGACGGAGTTAGGCTAAGTAGGGACAATGGGAGCAGAAGTACGGCGAAGTTAGACGGGGTTAGGCTAAGTAGGGACAATGGGAGCAGAAGTGCGGCGATGTTAGGCGGGGTTAGGCTAAGTAGGGACAATGGGAGCAGAAGTGCGGCGATGTTAGGCGGAGTTAGGCTAAGTAGGGACAATGGGAGCAGAAGTGCGGCGATGTTAGGCGGAGTTAGTCGAAGGGGGAAGAGGATGGCCGAGGGCTCGGGGAAGTTGGACGAAGTGCGTTGAAGTACGTCAAAGCGCGAGAGGGTTGGATGAACGTCTAGGAGGAGTAGATAATATTAGCTGAGAAGATCGCTGAAGTTCTTCAGCGATCCTTGATTGTTGTCAGTAGTGAAAGACAGATAGAGATAGCTATAAATCAAGATACATCGTCATCAGTAGAACAAAACCCTAGTTAGAGTAACTACGCCGAAGTACGCCGTAGTTACACCCCTTTCGACGTCTGCGCCCTCCTGGTTGGGTGAGACATCGACTCAGAGCGTGAAGTTAGCCGAGGTTCGTCGACCGTCGGTCTATTAAGAAATAGTTGTTCGACGGTCGTGACAATACTGTGGCCTTGGCCTTGTTGACCGTCAATTTCAGAGAATTGTTGCAGGAGATTCACATAGACAGGGAATTTAGTGCACTGCAGCCCCTTCCTGCCTTCCCCTAATCCTGCCACGGCTAGGATGACGTGATATATGTGACAGATACTCAGTAATCCTGTTACCGGCTTCTCCCATTTGGAAAGAGCCGTGAACGTTCCACATCTGAGTACAAGCTTCAGTGAATCAAGATCCTACTTGGACTTGGATAATGTCTTCCAGAGTACACACAACTTAATAGTGACAACGAGTTACAACCGGTATGCTCGAATAATGGATCACGGTCGCTTGATTCGCACTACTCATCTTCTGTGAGGTACTCGACAGCCTTTTTCACACGGATGTCGAGAGCTACAACTAGGACAAACTGATTGAGAACCCAGACAACACAAGTGTCAAGTTAACGCTGAAACGTTGCGCGCGCACTTTGGACAGATAGGGTGTCAGACTTTCCCAGCAGGTGTGTTGAGTTGGTGGATGATGGTGTTCACCCACATTCATTGCCCAGTCTGTGGTACAGGGATTTTCAGGGGGTAAATGAGATGACCGAGATCATGTACTTGTTGCCACCTACAGTTTGAGGTAGTCACGGTCTAACGGGTGGATTGAAGTTGGCTCTATAGACGGAAGTTGAGCCCACACTGCAGATATCGTTTTCCGTGCGTCACAAATCCTTCAACATGTTCGTGAGAGAAAGCGTACCTATATGTATCTTCGGGATATGGGTGCAAGTCATTCATCTGCTAGGAAACATTGGTCAAATAAGTAGTAAGGATTTCACAGTCATGAAACCTTTGTCAAGTCATGGATAAAGGATTGTATTTGAGTTGGAAATGGCCGGATATTTTCCCACGGGTTGAGTGGTAGTTAAAATATATATAGGCAGATTCAAGTGGCAAATTCCCAACACTCTGGATTACAACACTCACATCTTCTAGTACACTGAAACTTAATCTGAACACACAGGGCCATAATGGACTGGTTGAATCAAACACACTTTTGGCCGGCCTCAGATGATGAGAATAATGAAGACCCGAACACAGACAGTGAGAGCGGAACCCTTTATGATGGCATGGACGCAGTTAGTGACGCCGGCACCGAACGCACCATGGTGGAGTTTTCAGAGGCTTTTGACACAGAGAAGGTAGTCAACAAATGGGACGTGGACTTTGTTCCCGATTTTGCCAGAGACCTTGGACAGGGAGTGGACTCACCAGATGATAAACTTCACATTGTGGTGCATTCCTCTCTATCCATGGAGTGGGACTACCAACAATCCAAATTATTGGTCAAACAGACGTTCCGCAATCACGTCTATAGGCCGGTCTATGGCGCGTACAGTACTGATAGACCATACCCAAACGGAATGCTTGATATGTTGCTTGAGAGGCTAACCTCTCCTGGCTATCGCAGAAGTATGTTGGACACGGTCGCCACAGCTCAGCAGGTACAGATCTTGGCAACTCTCAATGACATGGATGCGTTCCAGGTGAGACAACTTCTGCAAAGTGAGGCTTTACAGCAAAATACCGTGTTGAATGGAAGTGCGTTGTCAGATGCAATGTCAAAATGTGTGCAGAGTGAATTACCAATGTACCAGAACATGCAAACAGTAGTACATAAATATAATCTTACCGAGTGGACCAATTATATGCGGATTGCACGCACTGAGAATTTCAAGTGGAGTACACCAATTACAAGCCTATGGGATCTGACAGCTGCAACACCTGTTGGTGTACAGACACCGCTGTCAGTGTCGTCTGGGCCGCATGTGTGACATAGTACAAGTTGCTGAACTTTCGGTCACTGTCGGTCTGGATGGAATGACGTCGATGGATCGGAAGGTGCAAGACAAGGAGAAGGAGATAGTTGGAATTGATGACTAGATGCATGAGATGATGATGATGTTAAATGTGTTTATCATCTCGTGACAAGTTCATGACAATGATATTCTACTCCACATTTCCCTCTTTTTCCAAATACTCACAAAGTTTCTTCAAAGCTTTATACCTATGACTTATCCCATTCTTCTTTTCCCCATCCATCTCCGCATAAGTCCTCCCGTCACCTTCTGGGGACGAAGGCTCGAAAATTGCGTCCCAGCCGAAAGTCGCCGGTCCACGAGGGGGAACGATACGTCCTTCTGTTCTACCTTCGAACAGTATCGGAGAGTGACCAGGACCGGGGGAATAGGCGAATGTGCAGAGGGCCGTAGCTCTGTAGTCGTCAAAACCAACGAGGAGTTTGTTCAAGCCTGGAGGTCAGAAAATGTTATCATACACTACGTCAATTTTTGGTGTTTACGGGTGTGTCTGAATAGAACGGAGGGGAACAGAGCACGACACATTTGAGGAGTGGGGGATATAAGAGTTAAGAGGGCGTTTTTTTGGATTCAAGGAAGCCTGAGAGAAAGGTATGTCTTACGTTGGTAATTCATAGTGTAGGTGGGATATGTAGGGAAGTGTACGATCTTCAAAGAGGATGGGAAATGGAGACACAGAATGAGAGGAAAGATACCGATTCGAGAGAAACTATTCCGCGATCGTAGCGAGAAAAAGGGTTCTTTGGGGATGAAGTAGAACATACCATCATGACCCAGTTTAGTCATGAAATCTTTGATATAAGGACCAGGTAATCCGTCTAGGGCGTGAAAACATAAAGCAGTATCTTCCGTCACGCAAGCTGTTCCTAGCTGTGAATCAGTCAAGTTCATCTTACTAGTCATCCCTGTTCAATGATGTCGAATAGATCTTGATCAGTTGTCGCCGTGTGAATAGCGTTTCGATTATCATATCCATACGATCATATGAGACGAGGTACCAAAAAGGAGATACGACATCGAGGTAGTCTCTCGTTTGAGATAAGTCAAGAATGACATGTGAAAGGGAGCGGAGCGTTCTGTATCGAGAACTCGTGTGGGTATTGTTAACGAGAGGAAAGGAGGTTAGAGGTACGAGACGCAATAACGAGGATTTCAGTCATGTAGAGGGATCAGAGAGGTATATGAAGTCGAGGAATATCGGTTTTATGATGAATTTAGAATTAGAGGGAAAGCGGGATATTGACTTACCTTCTCAGCAGCAGCGGAACATTTAGCAAAGGCGACTTCCTGTGTACTTCCCTGTATTTCCGGTACTATCCATCAGTCTTCCGTACAACCAGCACATTCATTTACTCGATGTTTCCCAGTACATCCTACTATCGTGGGAACATGAATAGCTCCAGGAAAGGATATAACGTCGTTTTCGAATGGGTGTCGATGAAAGAAAAGTGAAAGGACAGACAGACCTTCGACAGATTGAGATGAGACTTGTATTCCTGAGCTTGATAGGATAGCTCTGACTTCTTTTAATTTATTAGCGTTGCCAGTGACGAACACTATTGTCAGCTTACAACTTTGGTCGTCGATGACGTACCGAAAGATGACATGTTGATGGTTGAAAAGACATAGAGAAGAGTAGATTAAATGTAAGGAGTAGTAACTTGGCTGAGTCGGATCTTTTCAAAATGTGCCTGTGGGATTTCACCCTGAGCGGACACCTCTATGTAGATCATTCCAGTGATTCCGTCAAGCCATGATAGTCTCAACATGCATTGCGAGATAACATGCATTGATGAGGTGTAGGCCTACATCTGTGACAAGAAAATATAGAGAATACAACAAAGAATGCATAGATTTCCACCTCAGGCCAAATCTCCCAAACCATCCAAAAACTTCTGATAATCGTCCTCTTCCCCACCTCCTTTTCTAACCTCTGTCGGATCTCTCGTTCCTAAAACACCTTGCAACTTTCCCAACAGACTAGGTCCAGTATCCTTCACCCTGACCTGATCACCTTCTTCATCCACCACTCCCGCTCCTGGCGCAGCATTGACCGTGGGACCATGGGCAAGCTTTCGTTTGACTCCCCTAGGAACGAAAGCAGTGGCTTCTTTTCTCAGATCCCTCAGTTGAGGTTCGGCAGAGATCGTCGCACCTGATCCGGATACCCTGTTAGCTGATAAATCGCCAGAGGTGGAAGCACCAGTTCCGGCCCCATTAGATGGAGGAAGGCCCGAGGGTGGAGGAGGTCGAGATGGGAGTTCGTGCATCGCCGCGCGATGACCTTGATACGTTTGCGTGGGTGCATCAGACAACGGATCTTGGATTTCTCTTGGTATATGTCTTTGTGGACGAGGACGATAACCTGAGAAACTCGGACCTGGATTTGGATAAAAGGATGGATCGGAATGGAATTGACTAGGGTCAGGGAAGGGGATCGGAGGAGCAGAGAATGTTGATGCAAAGTTTAGTGGTGGTAACATTGGAATGGAAGCCGTCGGCCTGTGTTTCGGCCCTCGGGAAGGTTGAGAGGGTTTGGGTGGTGGTGGTCCTGGGGGAAGAGGAATATCGTCGGAATCAGCGTCAGAGTCAGAGTCGGATTGCGGTGGTGAAGGAGGTTTCGGTGGTGGACCAGAAGGCATGATGATTTCCTCCTCTCCCTGGTCGTCGTCGTCGTCTTCTTGAGGAAGTTCGGGCTCAGGTGCTAAATGTCAGACTGTGATCTATATCTTTGACACCTTCTCTCGCTCTCTTCTCTAACTTCCCATATCCACTCCTCGGGCACCTTTCGACAGGGGAGACGATCACTCTGACTAGGCACTCTCATCTCCCCGCTCCCTGCTTTCCCAAACTCCTCCCCACTCCTTTTGCTATCCAAAATTGGAAAAAGAGTAGAGCATGGCGAGCATAAAGCGGCCAAAAAGGACTATCGCTTGGAAGATTTTCGAAGTGAGAGAGAGGAGCGATCAAAAAGTCATAGCCAGTCAAGGAGAAACTCACTCCTCTCCAAATAAGGCATCCCAGGCGGTGGTACCCCATAAGGATTATAAACCGCATCATAATACACGCTCCTCTTAGGATCTCTCAAACGTCCTTGTTCATCATATAACCTTCTCACATCTCCAGAATCAACTTGGTCATCGTCCCCTTCTTCTCCATCTGTAACATGTTTCGGTCGATCAGAATGGGATTTATATATTTTATCCCTCAAATCGGGATGTTCAGCGACATATTTCTCTTTGAGCTTGTTGACGTAGGCTAGCTCGGATTCGAGGGATTTGATCTTTGCTTGAGTGATTTCAGATAACTTTTTGCCATTGCCTGGGACATCAACATTCGTCTGTCTCGTAGACACCACACCTTATCCTTCTCTATGGACCTCGGTGTATTGAGCGGTGACACACAAGGATGGGGGAGGGGGGTTCCCGAACAGTTCCGTGGACGAGACGAGAGCACAGACTAAGTGACTGACCTTGTGATTTGAGCGCTTGAATCTCGACTTCTAATTCTACTAATCAGCCTTCCGTCCCACCGATGAATCCGGAATTTTGATCATGATAATTGCACCATGCAACTGAGTCCAAATATCGCCCAATGACCAGGGAAGTGATCAAAGAATAATGAAGCAGAGTCAAACACCTTACTCACCTCTGGTATCCCTTTTCACATTCTTATCCTCTCTTATCTTTTTCCTCTCCTCTTTGTTCCTCTTCAACTCTTTTGCTTTTTGCGCTTTTCCTGCACATCAGTTTCTTTCCATCAATGGACTGAGAAGACAAACGATAAGCGTCCGCGGGGTTGGCAGATTTCTTTGCCATTTTGACTCAAGGGATTTATCTCCTCTTCCCCTATCTCTTGACTTGTTTCCCTACGTTGTACCGTTGTACAGTTCGGTAGCGCATTACTTTTCCAGTGGAGGAGGGTTTAAACCTGGTAGAAGGGAACCTTAATCGATCCCCCCACATTGCGGCCCGCTGCAACTGAAAGCGATGACGCTCTCTGCTAATGCTTCTGTACTTTGACAGTGATACGATTGACCACCGACCACTGGCTCCAACCATGGCAGAATACGCATTCAGAAAGATAGATATCGACGCTTTAGACGAAGATGTCATCTTACCTTCCGACTTGTACGACCCGGATCCTAGAGGTGCACAGGGGGTGTTGGATGATGCAAAGAGAAAGTCGACAGAAGCAAGGGGTTTGGTTTCGAGGTGGGTCCTGTTGTCTTCCTTCTGACTATCATGTTTCCTTTTCGACCTTCCACATTCACTCTATTACATTCTTGTGCGTTGCATGTCCCATGAAGAGAAGTGGGAGATGAGCGATCTTGGGTTGGAAGAAGATTGATGAACTGGGTATCGTCCAGTCGGATTCATGTCACATTCCATCAACACATACGTATCCCAGGGATGTTACGTTGCTATATCGCTTTGACGTCCCAACTAGGATAAATAAGGTTGAGGGAGTCGTCCATATGTTAAAACTTGACTGAAAACCCATCCAGTTTTGTGGTCGGACGAATGCAGATAGTCTCGCTGTGGACCTATGTTGGTATATTTTGAAAGCTGATTGGAAACTAATCAACAGAGGTGATATAGCCGGAGCGTTAAAAGAAATCCTCGCTGATCCGCCATATGGAGAAGGTATGGAAGAAGCTCGAGTAAGTCATCTCTTGACAACCCTCTATCATCTCTACTCCCACCCTCAAATCAGCTCATCGCGAATAAGCCGAAAAAGAAATGAGGGATGTAGTGATCAACGCAAAGATTCCACATAAGAACAAGGTTGAATCTTGTGGGATAGTATCAGATCTAAGAGAAAAGATTATTGCACATGGGAGAAGGTTCAGGAACGAGAGACGTTGTAATGAAAGGAAATCAAGAATTGATCTGACATGAAATAGAATCTCACCACTCAAGCACTTCTTTTAATCCTCAATTCAACAAGAGCTACAGATATTCCCGGTATATTGAAAAATTTGAAACAAGATCAACAAGATCGTCTTATGGCTTATCTTTATAAAGTGTGTCAATCCCCCTCTTACTTAAATTAACCATTCTTCCTCTCATCATTCAAAGACATTATGCTCCTTTCGGTTTCTATCTCGATTTGGTCACCTCATAACGTCCTCTATACCTTAGCCCTCACCCTACCTAATAATGGCTCAGCACCACCTAAGACTATTTCTATATCTTGTTGAATCCTGTTCTGACTCATTACTCGATAGATTGAATCATAACAGAATGGTGCTGAATAATAGGGAATGGCAGCTTTAGGTCAAGGGGCCGATATAAGTGGATCGGTATTATTGACATGGCACGAGAAGGTGTGTTGTTTTAAACCTACACTTTTCTTTTGCGGTTCTTCTTACCATCATCTCTCGTATTCTTTGATAAAGCTCTCTTCCTTTCTTACTGGAAAATCATAATCAAAGTTCATCCCCCTCAATCTCGAGCTTTCCTTTGCATATCTCCTGTCTTGATTCCGTGTCTTCTCGTAGCTGAACCACCCCCTTTCCGCTCACAATATCACTTCTCTCATCTGACTTAAAATTCACATATTCGCCTTGGGAACCGTTCGGTGACAAACCACAAAAAAATCAAAAAAGATCAATGCTCATCATAGCTCACCGAGGTGGCAGGTGTAGGATGTATAGTCCGAGTCATGACCGATCGAAGAACTCTATGATCATACCATGAAGATATGCATGTATTCTATTTAGGTCCTTATCAAGGTCCGATCGACCTTTGAGAATTCATCCATTCATCCTGCCAGTCTCATCGTTTGCACATTTGATATCATCTCACACCCCATCATACCAAAAGGCTTCTTGCTCATCAGTGACGTTTTCCCAAAACCCTGTTTCTTCAAGTTTCTCTCGACCAAATCCGCTTCGACACACCGTCATGAGGCGTTATCTATCTTTCCTTCGTCCACTCCATGCTATTTACTTCGAGGTGAATATCACGGTCCTTGTACTGAGTTCATTTCTTGCCATAACGCGTCTTTTTACCGAGGTCAAATGGGACATAACGATATTTTATCATATGTCTGGGATCAGTGGTCATTCCGCTTCATATCGTCAAAAACGACAACGATCTCAGGCCGTGTGTCAATGAGACTGACATGCGAATGAGCGGTATGATGTTGAAGAAAGGATGAACATTACGGATACCACACAACTGAACAGAAGTTGAGGGAAATTATTCTGGAAAGAACCAGTCTGTTGAGAGAGTGCATAAGGGAAACAAAAACGACTCACTGTATTTGTCTTCGCATGGTGAGACCGAACAGCGTGAGAAAGTATATCAACAAAATCGGCCAATAGACAGGTACGTCGGTAGCTCGAGTAATGGTACATAACAAAGCGATGGCTGTTGCTCGAGTGGACGAATACCAGAATTTGAATTCTTAAATATCAGTATTGTCTTTCAAATATATCGTGGACGACACGCGTTGAGTTTTCGACATGTTGTGATAGATAACGGGATTCTAAGGGATAGCTTACCTGGCAACCGACGTATGAAAGGCCTAAATTCTTCATCTTCCCCTCCAGCACTGAATCCATTCATCAATCCCCTCAACCCACCTGGAGATTTGGTCTCGCTTCCTGGTAGACCCGGAGCACCTTCTTCAACATCATCCGCAGCTAGATCGGCAGCGAGGGAAGGGTCGAATCGAGGTTGTAGAAAGGCTAGGAAGAGGTTGAGGATGTAAATGGCCAAAGCATAGCAGACGATGTACCACTGGGCATTAGTTTGGTATGGTTCAATGACACCAGCGGATTTAAGTTCTGCAGACAGCAAAGAGTCTGGTGCGCCTGCAATCGAGTTCCAAGTCCTAGGTCGGATAATCTTAGAGAGGTTTCAAATTTTGACAACGATGAGGGACAGAAGTAGGACCAAGTGATACACCTCAAGTACTCAACAAGCCATACAAACTCCCTACTGGGATGATTGACCAATATGAAGAGGTGAAGAGGAGATGGAGAAGAAATCCGAGAACAAAGAGGGAAAACAAGTCAAACTCACCCCTTGACGCAACACCACATTCAAAACAAATACGAACCCCAAAACAGCTGTCACTCCCCATCTCTCCATCACATGAGGTGTACTCCTATCTAACAAAGCCTGAAATTTCCTAGCATAAACCCCAGTGTTCTCACTGACGATCTGAGCTACATTCCTCTCTTCTCCCAATCCGGCTCTACCACCGGACGTTCCGGTCGGAGGTGCGTATGAAGCGTATGAATTAGGTTGCATTCCTGCAAGTCCGGAACGTGGTGGGAATCCGGCACCTGGACCAGTTTGAGGAGCTTGAGAGGAAGGATAAGGAGAAGGGTCAGAGGGGTATGGATTTAGGTTGTGAGGATAACCCGGACCAGCATTTGGAGGTGGGTTCTGTGAAGTAAGCTGAGGGTATTTGAGCCAGTCACAATCAGACACTGAAAGTGAGGATAACGAGCCACAAGGGAGAAGAAGGAGAGTTCATTTGTGATTCATTGAAGGGGATAGATATAAAGAGGACTCACCATGATGCAGGGAGTGACAGTTGGGGTGAGAAAGAGAGACGTGGAGACAAGGGGAAAGTTGATAGAGGATGGTTTGTTGGGTGAAAGAGGGAATTACCACGTCATCATTCCATCTCCAGTTGATCAACCCCGATCCTATCAGTTTACAGCGAACCATTGTATAGACAAAACACATATCATCGAATATGCCTCAATACCCACCAAGACCTCCTCCCGGTATACGTAGAACATTTTGGTCGTACAGGTAATTACTCGGCTCACCCTACCCTTCAGCTCTCCCTCCATCCCTCTTCAACACTCTCGTCAGCGCTTCCCGCTTCTCGCCTCGGATCTCAACCTGGCCTTTCTGGCTCAAATGACAAAATGAACGACAGAATGCGCTACATATGGACTCGTTCAAGACGTGAAGGGAATGCTGACATCTAGAACAAAATTCGAAGTCACATTTGGTTTCTCCATGTTGGAACCATGGGAAAAAGGCATGATCTGTGCGTATATGTCTTTCCTCTCTTTCCCTCCTCTGCGATATACTCTCTCCTGATCATGTGAAAAGGAAGGAGAATCCTTCTCTGACTAACTGAGTCCTTAACAAGTCAAAGATGATAGCTGACCGTTAGACATGCTCATGCTCATCATCACTGCCGTTTTCTGGATATCCGTCTTCAATTACACTCCTCGACATCTCGGTTATCTTCACCGACGTTTCTCTTACTATATATTTGACGATGAGAATGTCGATGTGCGGTTCTTGTTAAGAGATTGGGTATGGGATGGTGTGGACGGTGTTTGGAGTGGGGTTAAGCGGATACGGGGAGAATTATGATCTTCTATCCTTCTTCCCGAACGTACATTACCTCACTTCGACTATAATTCCCTCCGTAGTGTGTGATAGACGACAAACTTGACGAATGCATCGATCTATAATCTGCATATGTCTCTCGTTTGATAAGATGACAATCCAAGACGGCCTCTCACGATCGATACAGAACGGAAAACATCCCAATGATCCAGCGATCGGTGAGTGATCGCTGACTGCTACTGCCACTCACGATGAGGCCACAAAATAATAGTCCTCATGTGACAAAAGAGTTGGTGCCCACCCGGCACTCGCTGCGCTACCGACAACCGTCCTATCCTCTTGAAGCACCAATGCCAACGTCGGCCAGGCTGCTCCGTTACCGGCCTGCCTGCCACCCAATGCAGGGTGTAAACCGAGCTGATCACCGAACGTGAGACCAACAGACGTATCAATGATGATACGGTGGAGTTCGAACACTGGTGCTAGAGGAGACGTAATTGTCTAATTGGAGCGCTGACGAGTGTAAGTCCGTGAGTTAGATAAACACCTTCCCGAAAGCCGCTACAGCGGAAATTGTCTCTATCTCTGTGGTCATATTCCGTCAATCAGGTCTCCACGTGGATCATGGAAAGTCCATCTTGGAATGTCTGACCACTTTCGACGTTTGACCTACCTCGCAACACTCCTTCTCTCTACAACTTGATCGCTACGCTTGGTTTCGACCATATGGACGTCGCGTCTGCATAGAACACACACCCCACTGAGTGCATGCATGCACGCGCTGGAAGACGGTACACAAGGACATTATGAACTCGCTCAATGCGTTGGGGAACAGACATGTCAACGCCCTTCAGGCCGACCTGGCAAAATTGGAGAGTGGTGAAAGTGGGCCTAGCGTGCAGGGTGGGTCTTCCATCTTCCATATGATTCTGAATTCTTTCTCCTGCATTGCTCGACAGAGCTACCCTTCCTTAAAATGGGTTCGAGACGTCGCTAGGAGGTACGAGAAATGGTGTTTGGGTGTGACACCTTTCGAAGCGCCGATCTGAAGTAAGGTACACAACTTGAGTATCATGATTGTGACGCAGGGGCCTTAGGTTTTGTCAAATGGAGAGTAGTGGATGGTGTCGGAAATGAATTGGTCCTCAGAGAGGGGGGAGTTCAAATGAGTTGTCAAGCTGACAAACAGGTCAGGTAACAACCACCCTCGGCGCTTTATCGAGATTGATAGACGACTATGATTCCCTGGCGAAGAAAGAGATGGTCACTGCTGCACGAGAGAAAGCTTTTACGTGAGTCTCGTTTCTTAATCCCACGCATATGTTCCATCACAACAAAATGAGAAGTGTTTCCAGCAACCGCTGACATGATAGAAGAGTAAGGAAATTGAAGAACGATTATGCAGAGTTGAAAGCGAGATTTGAGCGTGCAAAAAGTGAAGGATTTGTAAAGGTGTGTTTGAAACCTCTTCGTCGGCGGATTCTAATATCACTCTTTCACTCTATCAATTTGCACCTACATCTTCACATTTTCTTCCCCAATCCCATGACGGTAAATCATAATGGGAGGAACAAAATCTAACCAATAGGCCCGAAGCGAACTCCTCTCCATATCTACATCCACATCTACCACATCCACCGCCGTCCCCTATTCCCCCAATCCCGCACAAGCAGTCCAACGTAGAACTTCTAATCACCCCGGTCCACCATCCCCAATTCACGAATCCCCTTTCTCTCAAAATCCCCTATATCAACCTAATCATCCTATCTCTTCAAGAGAAGATTTCGCCCTTCGAGAACATACCTTTTTACAAGAATCGGAGAATGCCATTGATGGATTTATCGCTCAAGGAAGAGCTGCTTTGGAGAATATAGTAGAACAGAGGGGAATGTTGAAAGGTACAAGAAGGAGATTGTTGGATGCTGCGAACACGTTAGGATTGAGCAGGGAGACTATAAGTTGGGTGGAAAGGAGAGCGTAAGTTTTCATACCTCCACCTTTCCTCCGTCACCAGATCTGCCTTACACCGAACTATAATATTACACCCACTTGTCCAAGATCATGACCTCGCCCTTGAGAAGCGTTAACGCCCTTGGTATGAAGACAGGTACTCCTCCGTCCGTATTATGGTCTGTCAGTGGTGTATCTTTGACTCCTCGTTACTCCTCATATCGCTTCCAGCCAGTGACAGGCGGAGGGGTTTTATGAACGCTAGTCGGTAGATTGATCCAAAAAAAGCTGACACCCAGGAAACAAGACGCCTGGATATTCGGCGTAGGAGCCAGCGTGACTTTGTTCATGTTCTGGGTCATATGGCACTATCTCGGATGAATACGTCTATCAACAACTTCATTGATGCACCTCCGCCACTATCTACATGTTCATATATCGTTCACTTCTCTGGAACCTTCGATTGTATCTCGCCCCGATCTGACTGTCTCTTCCTTGTCGATACTCATTCCCCACCATACCTCACTTCTTTCCCTATCTGCCATCAAGCGGACATTCCACTCCCGAGATCCGGTGATTGCTCGCTGGCCTTTATTCGATGTCTCTTTGCTATCCGATCAATTGCCAGGAGCGGATTTACGGAGGGTTTTGAGCTGTATGTCAGTCATATACGCCCTTTACGATATCTCCGCAAGATCGACCAGACATACACTTTCCTCGACCCGGCTGGTCGGACATCATCGGACCATCAGAAAGAAAGACAACCAAGCCTCCGGCAAGAACTCTCTCGAGATACGGTATAAGAAGAGAGAGAGAGATGGAGGGAAAGGAAGAGATGGGATATGATAGGGAAACAGATGAGAACTTACCGAAGCGATGGTATGAGCTCTGATACCTGGTCCACCTCTATATTCCAATCTTCCATCTTCCTTGACTTCGTTCCAAAGATGTTTTGAGCATACCCGTTCGATCAATTCGGCAAAGATGTCATCTTCTTCTTTGGTCCAGACCTAATACTGTCAGCATTCATTGTTTTCTCTTCATTCAAATTCTTCTTTTCTCATCATCCGCCGTTCACTACCTCCATTTTCATCCTATATGTCCTCGGCTTGCGCCTACTCGTCATGGGTGCTATCACACCAGATGACTGGAGATTCTCGACTGTTCCGATCTCAGAACGAGATACTACACATATCCATCCTATGATTGATACACTAACAAACACAGTCAAGCAGTACTAACCCTTCAATCTATGGCATGTCGATCACAGTGAAACCGGATTCCAAGATTCAAACCCAACGGAACAATCACGAACTCACCCGTTTCGCTGCCTGAGGCTTTCGTTTCTTCGCTGACCCTTCCTCGCTTGGATCAGAGGACGCAGCCCTTTTCTTGGACGGTGTGGAAGGTTTCCTCCCTGGCGAAGTTGTTTTTTTCTTGGCTGACGAGTCCTGAATGGTCGAATCGATAGTGGTCAATTCGGGTGAAGGGGAGAATGCTTCTCTCTTGACTTGAGAATCCGAGTTTGTCGACATGTTCTGATGTTTTGTTTGTTGAGCGTTGTGATGAGTGGTGTGTTGCAAAACTGACAGATACGGTGCCAAAACTGAACGACGAGACGAGACGAGGGGGACTACAGAGGTATAGGGGCGCTAGACGGAATAGGTAAGATGGCCCAGCGAAGTTTAGATTGGGAGTGGCTGACGACGATCATTCAACTACTACAGTACTGTATCTTGTCACCCAAAGGACCATGGACCGTATTCCCTGATTTCCTCATTTTCTCTGGACTTGCACTTGTTCCTTCTCAACGTTCTTCTTCGACTTGTTCACCACATCTTCCGACATAACACTTTACTCGCATTCACTGTACACTTGAAGTATCTCGACTATCAAGGGACGAGACTGGACAGACGGAGAGGTTAGATCGTGTAGGACTCAAATCTAAAATGACAAAGAAGAACGAAGGTATACAATGGGAACAACGTCACACGGTATGTTGTCATCTTCTTCACTTACCACCCATCTTGTTCTGATATCCACCTGTTCTCTCACAACCCAACATTTCCTTTCAGTAGCCACCTCCCAAACCACTCATATCAATCTCTCAAATGACGCTGAAAGAGTCGAGGGGTTATGATGAAAAATGATTCGTAGAGTGATGAGCTAAAATCAGATCGCTCTGATGCAAGGAATAACCTCTCTCATCCTCACTCATCGACCAGACTTATATCGACTCCCTGAACTCTTAGAAGTCAATGAACATGGAGGAAATCGGATAAGTCAGAAAGTATTGCAAATGCTCGAAAAGCTAGCCAAGCAATATGATGTCGATCCGAGTGTTATCAAACAGAATCAGGGGAGGAAGAAAGTTCTTTCAGAGTTGGCTGGCTCTTCTCATGAGAGTGGAGAAAGTAAATTTCCGAGAGGCAGGAAACGTAAGGTCGAAGTGGAATTGAAGGGTTCGGTGCAGGAAAGTAAGAAACGTGAGTCAATTGAACTTGTTACTTAGTATACCTTGACGCTGATTGATTAGGTACTCGCGCTGCGAAACAAATCGACGATGGTATTTCAACCGTAATAAAGGTCAAATCTGAAAGGGCACTTGTCAAGGGGGAGCGAGACTGATTTTCGTGTATCTCCAAGATTGATAGTTCATTATTTCATCCGTATGTATTGCATATCAAATTTCATAATATTCAACTTTCAATCCAATTTTCCCACTCAATGGTAAATTCTCTACATCTCATCGAATACACATCTTATCCAATCTTTCACCCTAATCTTCTTAAACTCGATGAAACCTCATTCAAATTTGAACATCATCTCAAACTCTTCTTCCTCTTCCTTCTCATCCTCTTTTTTCCTTTTCTTCGAAGGACTATCTTCTAACATTTTCCTCGTCCTAGAAATTTGATTTTCATCATTCATCATAGGTGAAGACTCTCCTCCCAAATTCAACCCATTCCCTCCTCCTCCGTTTTTCTTCGGTGAAACTCTAGTTTTCTTTTTATAACCTTTTGATATGGTCACCCTGGCAAGTTCCTCAATCACTACTTTTTCTGCACCTGGAACACTTTTAGCCCAAGCTTTTAAAAGTGATTGTGTTTTCTTATTGATACGATCACCACCGTTATTGGCGACTGGACGAAGAGATGGACGATCGTATAGTTCCATACGTGATGATAATACTATTCCGACTATTCCTCTTACTAGATCGACCTGATATCAGTGATGTGTTCGTTGCTTCTTTCTTCATAGTACACCTTTCTCTTCCATCGGCAGATAGTCATTAGTCATATTTGCCTGTTATGTATCGTCTTCTTTCTCTTTGCTCTCGTTACACTGTGTTCTGTTGTTGTTGTTGTGGGATACACATAGTGGGTCTTTGCATTGATTATTGATGATACTGGTTGTACTGGGAGAGGAGGTATGGGGGTGGTAATGGGTATGACAATCCGTCATATTGGCTGACGAGATACAAGAACTTTTGAGATTTCATCCGGATGGAAAAGAGTGTCAAGCGATCAAACGAGATGGTGGTTTAATAGACATGAGAGAATGAAAGGAAACTTACAGTATGTTCATCTGTCCATGCTTCTCCTGCTATATAACCGGGCATTCTCACTGTCACTCTCGCTGTCTAAATATCAGTTCACTCCCTTACTGTTTTCTCAGTATCGAGATTGTTCACAGATTTGACGCACGGTTTTGAGCTGTCCCTTGATATTGGTAATTCAAATCTTCCTTGTCTTGCGTATCGAACACCACTCACACTTTCTGTAAAATCTCTTTCGTTAGATGATCAGTCAGAACTCAGAAGAGAAAGTAGTGACTGTGACAATTGAAAGACCCTTCCGTTTGATATCACATCAGTTACCTTGTCAACGAGATACATCCGGACTTATGGACGTCGTCAAGCATCTACAGTAAAGGCGTAAGGTTTCAAAGGATGTGTTCCGATCACCCATCTTCCTATGACATATCAAACCCTCTTCAATATCCCTTCACCTTTGCTGTTTGCCCGTTCCGAGACAACCTTGATCAGCTTGGGTGCCAAAACCGGACCGCTGTATCCGACTGTCGGAGGGATAAGACCGACCTTGTAGACCGGTAATCCCTCGAGCGGTAGAGCAGTGAAGACTGTCAAATGTGACCATATGATTATTTAGCTGTTGGGACCTTTCTGTGCCCTGTTCTCACGCCTCTGGACCTACGTCTGCATAGACCTTCTAGGGACTTGGAGACGGTCGTAAACGGGAGAGATAGGTAGAACAAGGGACTCAGAGGTGAAAGTGAGATTGAACTCTGTGAAGTGATCTTACTTCATTTGTTCAACTTGTTCACTCAAAGGCCAAATCCGCCGTTTCTTACACCCTTAGATTGATCGGTTGACCTTACCCTAAAGAGCCTCTGTAGACCAGTGAGTGAATCGAGACGCTTGTGACTGGTTGTGAAATCGCTGATGAGAAGTGGAACGAACCAAGTTGAAGGGTATTGGAAGTGGGCAACCGGGATATCATCAATGGGAACAACGTCATACCGTCAGTTCTGTTCCTTCTTCTCTCTCTCTCTTCTGACGCTTTCCTGTTCTTGTATATGTGCCGCTTGTCCTGAAATGTGTTCAAGCCTCAGACGGACTACTGTATCAAAGCATCAGTGTACCATCTGCTCCGGCAAAACCACCTCTCCCTGATTGATTGGAGAGATGACTTGCTTAATGGGGCGATAAAGTCATAAAGCACACAGAACTGATCAATAGGAAGCCTTGGTCCAAGGAATCATCGAAGTAGTATCCACTTACCGAGTTGCGATTTACGCTCGACCCGGTCTTTCGGGCGAAGTTGACGGTCATGGATCCGATAGAATCCGTCAAAAGCTAGATCAAGTCCTCAAGAAGCTTGCGAGAGAATATGGAATGGAAGCTGATTTAGGAGCTAGAAAGAAAACGGATATTTCCCCTGGGATTACAACGTGGAAGAGGACGAAGGATGTTCAAGTAGGAATGAAAAATCTTTCTGGGCGTTCGAAACCGCAGATGATAGAGAAGAAGGTGGATGTGAAGGATTATAACGGAAAGAGGAAGAAAGGGATTGAATATGAGTTGGGACGGTCCGAAGGACACGATCAGAAGTCTAAGAAGGAATGAATCAAGTCGGATTGCACAAATGCAGTACTAGTACTCTATTCCTATTTTGTTCAGATTGATTCTACTTTGAATGAAAGAAATCTGAAGCAAGTATCTTAACCCATGTTAGCGGTCCAAGTTTCCTGAGCACAATGAAGTATGGGCCTATAGCACCGGTGCCATGACTGAATTTTGTAGTGCTATCAACTCGTCAAAGTTGGAACCGAAAAATGAATTTCAGCCCATAGAAGGGTGTATCACAGGACTTGTCATGGACTCATACTCATGAAACTGACAGTGATTGGTATTCAGCCTTGCAGGAACAGGCAGCATTCTGACTGAAGCCTGTTCACTTTGACATTGTCATGACCAGCACGATCAGTGTGATGAACCTCCACTAGCGCAGAGTTGAGATTGACCTTTTCGAGACGGTACATGATCGAGGACTCGCTATCGGTACATGACTTGACTCGGTACTCGATCATGACAAGAGAGAATCCAGAGAGGTACCGTGTACATGTTGTCTGTGTTCTGTGTTACTCAGTACAAGCTAGAGCACTCGTATGTACAAATGAACTGCATTCGTATGTGGTAAGACACACAGGATAAGGTCCGACAGTCGGTTCGAATTGCCCAATGTAATGTTCCGTGCATCACACGGCATTAGGAGAGTTGCCACTTCCCAAGACCGACGGCCGCGGCCGAAACTCCACTCACTGATCACTAATCACTGACTCACTCAAGTGTAACTCTTCATTTCACTGTAATCTGTTCTCTTACACAACGACAGACCTCCTCACGATCACTCGGCATCTGAATTTGAATTCTCCTGAGCTCGCTTAACGCATTTTGATACTCAAAAACTCTCAGATCGCAGTCTTTCTCCGTATCTCCGTAAATTCACAAAGCGCATCAAAGCACATCAAGTCTTCACCTTGACACCCGTCATGTCCGTTCAAGCCTCCTCCACTTTATTCATCTAGTCCCTTTCTTGGCTACCCGCGTCCTTATTCATGTCCCAAACGACCACATGCTGTCTGTCGTCTAGGAGAAAAACACCCCATGCGAGTTCAATCCCACTTTGAGAGAGCGACATGGCGGTATGGCGGTGCGGGATATACGGCGTACTTGCAGAGAGCGGTGAATGAGCAATGGTCGTCAAAGCACGTCATTAGGTCCATCTCATGGGTCACAGGACTCAGATTTCTCCGAGCTGAAGAGGTAGAGGGTCAAAGAGTAGGAAGTTGGAGAGGCTGTACAATACAAGTTTTCTATATTCAAAAAACCGCTTAGTCCCTACTATTCCGACAATTGGGTTAGTCTTGGACATGGCCGGGAGGAGGCTTGTACGGAATCATCATCATCATCACTTTAGATTTTAGTTCATGTTCCTCGTCCTCTGTCCTCATGTCATGTGTGAAACCCTCAAAACTTTGAATTTATATATTCGGAAACTATTACGATCAAAAAACCACTTTGGGAAAAAACTATACTTTCCTTATCCCCTTCTAAAACATTCCTACTTTCTACGAATTTCCAAACTTCCTTTCGAACTAAACAAAAATCCTGCTGATTCCTCCGAAATCCACATCTGATCAATGTGACCGGTCCCCGAATGATCCGTCTCGAACGGGATGAAAAAAAGGACAGAAAAAAGAAGGAAATTTGGGTGGAAGTCGAGAGAAAAAGAAAAAAAGCCAACCTTGACGACCATCTTTTGAGCTAATCCACTTTTGGGTGAATGTTCGCTTCGGCATGTGGCGTCCACATTGGCCAACAATCATCCTTTCGAGCTATCCGACTATCGACCTAATGGGCACATGGATCGCATGTCCCCTTGACCAAAGGAAACGGACAGATACCGAGATTAAAGTGCCGATATGCCGGTCCGTGGGATCCGTAAATTCGGTGGTCGACTGTCTTTACTTTGTTTCCTTCTTTCGCTCTTTCAAACAGCACCATGGGACTTGACGACACTTTGTCTTCTAACAGAATACTGACGCTATGGGCTACCGGCCTCTCGCTCGGTTCTCTCTAATCTCCTGATATTCTGGATAAGCTTGGAGACGTGTGGGTATTTAAAGTGGAATAGGGGAGTCGTAAGTTTTCCCTCAAACTCTTCTTCTTCTTCTTCTTCTTCGTCTTCTTTATTCACTTTGTTCATTTGACAAGTTGTGAGTTATAGTCGAGTTATTCTTCCAACAACAACAACAACAACAATAAATCATTCTACTACTCCATCTTTACCTTCTACTCTGCACGCTCACACCCCTATCATCTCTAACGTCTCTATCATCGCTGTCATCTTCACAGTCTACTCTAGTAACAATCGCCTCTCTTCATCCTATTCTATCGACAAATCTTCTATCAAATAATCCACCATAATTCATTCCCCAACTTCCTCTATAATCCCTTCCCTTCGCTCCATCATCATATCTATATTCACACTTTCACTTCTCCTTCTTCTCATCGTCCCACCCGTCACAATGCGTATCGACTCTACCCTTTACCTAGCTATGAGGAACATAACCTCTCTCTGTCCCACCCCTCAAATCGCTATGAAGATACCCAAGGAAGAGATTCATACTCTTACAATTCCTACCATTCCCAAAATTCCTCGTCAAGCATCTCCTCTCAGACCCATTTTCACACCATACGTCCCCATTCGTAAACTCAGAGAAGATAGAGAAGATACATGTTCTACTTCCACTTACACACCATTCTTATCTAACAACAAACGTTCTCAAGAAGAAGCTTTCAATCCTGATGACAACCCTACTTCTTCTAAAAGACTTAGAATAGAAATTACCCCTCGTCCAAAATTTGTTCCTATTACTCCCATTTCGAAAAAATGGACAAGGGAAAATTCAATTCGACTTCCTATGACACCGACTTCAATGAAGAAAACGAAAAATGATCCTATTCCAATATGTGATTCTCCTTCACCTTCACCTATCTCCATTAAAAGACCTTTAGAACCATTACAAGACGTTCTTTTTGTTCCCAATACACCTGCTCCTACTCCTGTCAAAACACCATCGGAGCCATTGGAAACAATAGACGATGTTCCTATGGTTTTAAACACACCTGCACCTACCCCAGTCAAAACACCATCGGAACCTATAGAAGATCTTCCCATCATCGTTTTGAACACACCTGCACCTACTCCTGTCAAACGTGCGAGATCAAATTCGACAGATTCGGTGATTTTTGTTTCTAGTAAAAGAGCGAGAAGGGATTCAATAGAATCTATAATCATGACAGGTGAAAAGAAAAAGAAAGATAATAATTGGGCAACAGAATTTACTTCTGGAATGGAACATTCTTATCCTCAAATACAATCTTCTTCAACAATGTTACAAGGTATTGAATCTTCTTCAGCGATTTACGTTCCTGATACATGGGAAGAACCTTCGAATTCAATTCATCATCATCAACAACAAGAAGAAGAAAATCCTTCTTCTTTCTATCCGATTCAAAATCTAAACGAATCTTCTTCTTCTTCTTTCTATAGACCTTTTCATCATGCTGAGTCTTCTTCTTCCATTTATATGCCAAGTCGAAATGGAGAAACTTCTTCTTCTTTGTTTTTACCAAGTCATCGACCTGATTCCCCTTCTGCTACTTTAATGTCAATAATGGCTCATCAAGCTTCCAGTGGAATGGCGATGGAACCAATTACGGTTTTGGATGATGATGAATTTGATAAACCACCGATGGAAGTTCCTGTAGTGAGAAGGAGGAGACGTAGAGAGGTGAGTTAATTCTTTTTTTCTTCCCCAAGTTTCATTTCGGACGGTAAAAAAAATCCCAGGGAAAAATTCCATTTTCACTTTTTTAATTCTTCACAAACGATGAAGTTTTGACGATGCTCGACTGATCGACCAACACCAAATCCCATCCTGGTTGAAATGTACCGAATGAGGACACACAACTAATTTGAATAGACTCCTAAACGAAGATGGTGTTTGGAAGAAGAAATCCGTTTCATAGCAGCTATCGACGTGATCGTCCGACGTCATATTTGGATGGAAGTGAAAGGTGATGATTTCATGAGGTTAAGAGGGTCAAACGGTGTTAAATCTCATTGGAATGCTTATGTTCGTGTCTTTTTTCTTTTTCTTTTTCTTTTTCTTTCTCTTTCTCTTTTTCTTTTATCTCCCAAGTGTTCTATCTCTCTTCATTCTTCAGTTCATTTTGTGTAACCCTCATCATTCATCCCTCCCTACTATACGAACCATACTTCTTATGACAACCTATCATGAGTTCACTCCAAACCTCCCTCAACTATCCCACTACTTATCCTTCGAGCCTCCCTCTGACATACAGCACCGAAGACTAGTAGCTCATACTCGTTAATTCTATTCCACCTCAGTACCTTTTCATCTGCCCTTCTGATACCCGATGTTCACTGTAATCATACCCAATGTACCATCTCTCAATTCATCGTAAATACTCCTCGACCTGTTCAATACCGATACCACAAGCTTTAATTCCAATACCGAGGTCGATACCTATACCTATACCAACAAACATTCTCTCTATACCCATATTTCGACGTTGATCAATACCCAAGACTCGATACCCAATGTACGATAAATTCAAGAAATCAATGTGAAAATCAAAGTGACTCTATCCGACTGAAAATATCTGTACATAAAACCCGACTGATGATCCGATGACCCAAGTAGAATAAATGGAATACCATAATGATTCCCTTATTTTCTGTCACCTGTGTTTGTGTGATCTGTGTTTGTGTGATCCCTTTGTGAATCTGTGTATCCTTGTGATTTCTGTATATTTCCACTTCTCGTTCATGTGTAAACCTGTGTATTTTTGTGTAATCAAGTCGAAAGATAAAGCGTTGATTGAACCTTAATGACATGTCATCAATTGTTCCATGCTTCAAATTATGTTACCTGCACTATGAAATTGTCCATGCCACATCCATGCACTATGAATTGTCCGTTCAGACTTCGAAACCAACACTCAGTCCCTTTACGCACCACTTACCGGACATCTCCATCAAAAGACCAGTACAACGCACAAGACCAGAATACCTCCAATCAATCCGGTGGGAACCAAGGTATGGTCTCCGGCGTTTGAGGTGGCTGATTGAGAACCCGAGGGAGTGGTGGATCCGGATGATTGAGATCCGCTTGGGCTAGACGAACCGGATGGGACGGCAGAGGTGGTTTGAGGAGGATAGGTAGAACCGACGGCTTTGATCTCGAATTTGTCCGATTCGGCCCAGATGTCTGATGGTCAGCGTAGGTCTAGTGATCCTGAATGTCATGGAGTCAGAGCGAGTTGGAATATGCGAGGTTACGTCGAATCATCATGAAATGGATGGGAATAGGGGCTGTAAGTGTGAGGATAAGAACAGGGACAGAGGGACATGATGAACTGACTACTAGAATTGAGGATATCAGTGAGCTGAATGGTGTAGCCAGTTCCTGGGGTGACGTTCCCACTGTGTGTTAGTGATTATCCGGTACGGTGATCTCATTAGCTGTCATCACTCCTATCAACAGGTGTTTCATGTGGGCTGTGGGCGAGATTGACAACCAGAAGTGAAGAAAGACAAAAGGGGGGAGAGGGGGAGCTTGGATGACCCAGCGACACGACTCACGGGTTGACATCTTTCGAATATTCATAAATCGGTTCTACAGAGACGAGTGCGAGTTTGGAAGTCTGATCTCAACATTACGTCTCAATACTACCTGTTTCTATGGGAGCTCCACCTTGATGCAGAAAGACATTTCACGGTTCACGGAGCTACCACACCAGCCACTAAAAAAATCTACCTAGATATGGGAAACATATCACAGAGTTATTGTACATAACGGAAAGACAGAAAACTCACCAAGATCTTCTCATCGGCATTATTGAGGAAAACAGAGAATGATTGCGGTGTGTTCCCACTCCAAGCTAGTGTATTGACCGATTGTGCGACCCCTATGAATCAGCCCTTATCCCATACCCTTTCTTCGTCAATTGCCTTAAGTCTCACTCAACAACATCGATGAGCAAAAACAGAAGCAGATGAAAACTAATAGCTCAATATCCCAAGTACTTGTACTTCCCCTTCATTTGTAAGTAGAAATCTTTGGGGTGAATAGAGGTGTGGGAAGAGTGGCTGAGTGGGGGAGGCGGTGTAGAAATTGAAAGATACTCACACCATAAATCAGCAGTAGGTTTCAACACTTTCAAATCGCTTTGTCCCAGGACGGAAGAGATGAATAAACTGGAGATGATTGTGAAGGTGAGAGTGAAAGTCGAAAAGCTGAACATGTTGGAGATACCTCTTTCTTCTTCAGATTTACCAGTTACAGGTATGAGGAAAGAGAGATAGAGAAGGGGGAGGCGAGACAGGGGGAGGGAGCTGTGAGACAGTTTCAAAAACTTGAGATTATTATAATGTTAGACAGTAAAGAAGTGTCTGGTGGAGGTAGACGGAGTAGGATGTAAGAGGGTGTATAGGATGAAAAGGGAAATAGGTATGAAGATGAAAGAGGAAAGAGGAAAGAGGAAAGGTTTTCGTGGGGGAGAAAACGCACAGACGTGTTTGAAGGCATCCATGCGACGATGCATCCGGGGCCGAGGTGATCCGAGCGGGAGTAATTCAGAAGCGACCAGGGGTACACCTTTACACTGGCGAGGTTGTATGTACATATGTTCATGTAATGTATCAATACTTCATATGTTGAGGCAACGTGGCGAGTATAGGTTACTCTACTATATCGTACAAATGGTGCATGGTGCTGAAAGATTGTAGGATATTCTAGAGGGAGAATATGGAGTCATAACGCCAGACTGCAGACGCAGACGGATGACATTGGGAAAACTCGATCGCGGTGGACATTCCGGTAGAGGTAATAACCGGACGTTTCATCCAGATACTCGGACAGATACACACACCTTGTACTAATCTCGAATACTCGCAGTCATGTATGAGACAACTGACGAGTGCATCGCTTACGAGGGTGTATGACTACTAGATGAATACTTAGTCATTCACAAATCAGATAGAAGAGAAGAGAAGAGAAAAGAGGAGAAGAGAAGAGAAGAGAGGAGAAGAAAAGGGTATATACAACAATATGCATTCTTCCCCCCAGTCACAAGTCATACCCCATAGATATCTCTATTCCATACTTTCACACATTCAAGATCATAGACATTTCCCTCTCATCAGCAACTTCCAAACCTCTAGACTTAGCTTTCAAACGAAGATTCCTATCAAAAGTTATTAAAACGACTTTAGATATTTCCTCTTCTCTTCCTTCTCCTTCTTCCCTTCTATCTTTCCCACTCGAATCTATTTTCAAAGAATGAGGTTTAACCCAATGTTTTAATTGCCACAAAGCCACATCCAAAACTCTATCATCCATCGTACCAACTCCACTTTCACTCTTATCATGTAAATCACTCGAATGATCACTCCTGATAATCTGTTCAGTCCTTATATTCAAATCACTCAAATAATTCCCACGGGTAGTTTGGACCTTTACCCCACCATTAATCTTAACATTCTTCTCAACGTATTCCACAGCTTCCATAGCTGATTTACCTAACGATGTAGGTTGTTTAGCCAATCCGTCCAACTCGGTGATGACGGGTAAAGGGATTATACATTTGTATTTCCTCGATTGAACTAAAGAAGTGAATGACACAAGAGATGATAAGAGGACGTTGGTATCGAATATCAAAACGGTGTGACCGGGTGAAATACGTAGTTTTGAGATATTCTTCTTACGGGTTGAACGTGTTGGTTTAGTAGGAAGGTTGACGAGTTTTGTTGAAGAGAGTTGATGAGTTGTTTGGATGATGGAAGAGTTGGACTTGGATTCAAGTAATGATTCCAAATATCCCCTTCTATCTTTCAATAAAACCAATTCGGGATCATCATCATTTTCTTCCAAGTCTGATTCTCTTTCATCTTCGTCCCATTCATCTTCCTGTACATTCGGTGAGTAGACAAGAGAAGTAGACGGTGAAAGAGTTTCTTTCTGTCTCTTGCTCAGTCTCCCCATTTTCTCTTTCAACTCATCATTCACTTCCAATTTCCCATCTCTCAATTCCAAACCATCCACATGCTTCACCATCACCCCTATAGCCCAAATCACCCTCCTCCACCTTCTCTGACCAATAGCGACAGGACCATCCGTCAGATCGGTCCCTTCAACATCATCCACAACTCCCTCACTCTCATCTTTTCCCTCTTCGAAATCATTGACCAACACGTCAATCTCGCTCGAAAACCTTTCGCCTATTCTCGGTTGAACCAATCCTTGTGAACTTCTTCCGGAACCTTTAGATTTCCAGAAACCTCTTTCGAACACCCTCCTTCCGACCCATTCGGACCCTCTGATCAACCAATCTTCAGGTAAAGGAGGACCGATTATGAGACGAGATTCTTCTTTGATCTCTAGATCCGGAGGACAATGACTGAGGAGATTTGAGAGTTGATAGATGGGGATTAGGGGGAGGATGAGTTCAAGAGTTTGAGATTGACGGGACAGTGTGGCCAGAAATGTCAGGAGGAGGGTTAGGTAAGGAGAAAGAAGCGAATGAGGACCTTGTTGAATGAAAGGATAGGATAAGGTATGAAGAAGGATTTGATAGGTGAGGTCTATTGCGTACGCGTAAGTGAGAGGTGGTGAAAGCTCTTCCTCTTTGACGATCTTGGAGTTTGAATTTTTGGAGACATCTTCCTCAAGGTGGTCATCGCCAGACACATCTTCAGTTGTGATAGTGTTGGGATTATCGATAAATGGTTCCTCCGTATCTTCTCCTTCCTCCGTGTTACCAGATTGGTTTCGACGGCGTTCAACACCTTCCTGAGCTAGAGCTTGTCGGATGATCCCATCAACAGAAGCATATTGTAAGACGGAAGCGACGTTGACGCTGGCGATGACCATCCAATCGACTTGACTTATACGTTCGGCACCAGACCGTGGGGAAGATTCCAGACGTTGTAGAAACCGACTCATAGAAGAAGAAAAGTCGTCAAGTTGGATTTTAGTGAATAACATGCCATGAAGACGAACGAACATGTCCATCAGGGGTGTTTCACTTTGCTTGAGGGTTGAAGATGTGTCGAATAGGGGTAGTATAGATTCGCGGGAACCAGAGAATGAATGTGTAACGATGAGGCTATGAATCAGCGCTGACACATCGAACATCCATTTTGTAGGTCGAGACGAGCGAAAGGCAGGGCAGATGAGATATCAGACCCCATAGACAGAGAGGGGAGGGAGCAAGAAGGCTGTGACGGACGCATGTAACGTAGGAGGGAGATAGATTAGAGAGGCAGAGAACATAGATATGAAAAAGAGCGCACCTCTTGGTGAAATGATGCAGAGCTCGAGATTCTTCACCAACCACACCCACACTTAACAAAGCTAAATGATGATGCAATCTTCCTTCTCCAGGTTTATCAGTGATTCCACTGGTATACCATTCCCTAGCCGTGATCCTCCACGTAACCTCATCTTCCACCTCCCAATTCTCTGCCACTGCAGCTCCTATACTTCCACCTGCATCATTCTCCAATACATTTCCCATCTCCTCCACTTTCTCTCTTGTCAAAGAACTTTCTTTCCCATTCGAACGTTTATTCTCCGTGGCAAGATGTTTGGCAATCGCCATTCTATATCTTGCTAAATCTCCCAAAGATTCGATCCATGCACCTCGCAAACTTATGAGATTGGTATCATCCAGTAACTCGATATAAAATTTGTAAGCATCATATACCAAATCAGTCAAAAGGTCCAAAGAATCCAGATTCGTATCAGATGATCCTGTCATTATTGATGCTTGCCATACGTGTCGTAATCGTTCGTGTATCATGTGGAAACCTACTTGCCATAATCGTGATGGAATATTATACCGCGTTGCTAACTGTTGTAAGGAGGATGGGACAAGAGGATCGAAAACTCGTTGTAAGAAATCTCGATGTAATTCAGCGAGGGTTTTGTGTTTCGCTACGAGGTTTAGCCAGGCTGTTGCTTCGTCATCTGCACGAAGGGGATGGGTGGAAGGGAAAAGTACAGAGATGCCTGCTTCAGGGTCGAGTGACATTTTCCGGTGCATTTCCGTGAGTTCAGTTTCGAGGGTTTTGATGCGATCATGTATATCTTTTAGAATAGCTTTGACGCCGGTGTCGCTATGCGTCAGTGATGTATCCACGCATAGACAAGCCCCAGCAATGATACGGCTCGCAAAGAAGATTTGCAAGGAAAATCATGAGTTTGTACGACGCTAATTTTCCCTCACGAAGAAAAAGGATACGGATGAGTAGATATATAAAGTGTGAGAAAGAGGATGAGCAAAACTCACGATTTTCCCTTTCCCCTCTCCCTATCTTTCAAACTTTCACTTCCTTCACTACTCCTACTACCCTTACTCCGTCCATCCGATTCTTTCTTTTTACCACTCTGTAAACTTCCTCTTTCACTACCCTCTCTTCTCCTTCTTGACTCTCTTAACCTATCCGCTTCCTCTTCAGGTGTCCGATCACTCGCAGCTGGTCGACGCAGTAATAATCTCGACGGTCCCGCTTGCGACTGTGATTGGAAATGTAATGGGTCATGTAAAGTTGGGTCGAACAACTGACGAGAAGGTTCGATTTTCGGTCTATGTCCTTCAGGATAACGTCGTTTCTCTTCTCGTACTTCCCCACGTCTGTGATGATATATTTCATCCCTATATTGGTTACCATGAACCTCTTCCCTTGATCTTTGTCCATACACCAGGGACTGAGACTGAGACTGAGGTGTATCCGGGATGAAAGGTTGCGGTGATTCTCTCATTGGTCTTGAAGGGTCATATAGCACTTTCGGAGTAGTTTTCTCAGAACCACGATTGTATTCATCCGGAACGGATTCTCGACGAGGTTTATTTCTCGAATTACCGGCTGACGTGAATCTTTCTGGTGATGTTTCCTCGAGATATTGCGAAGGTCCAGGTCTGACAATGAGCATTGTACGATAATAGAGGATGAACTGGGAGATGTATATAAATGGCCTAAGGAGGAGTGAGTAGGTAAAAGAGACTAACTTTGGTGATCTTTGAGTGGAAAGAGTAGGATTGGCAGCATTACGTCGTTGAAGAGCGACGATTTGACTGGCCAGGTCAAGTCCTCCGGTTCGTCTAGGACGTGAGGGCGGGGAGGCGATGCTCTCGCCCATTCTTTTCGAATACCTTATCCGTTCATTATTTTGAGGATACCTTAATACGACCTCACAAGCCGAGAAGTATGATTGAAAGAAGCTGCTTAGAGATGTGTACTCTATGTCTTTTTGACCGCAGCTTGAATGGTCGATCGAATGCGCAGCAGCATGCAGCACCCAGTGAAATTTGATTCCGTCGCCGCTGAGCTCGGTGTCGCGTGTCCGCATGTGCCGATTTTGAACATCCATCCTGTGCAACTTTGACCCATCTTCCATTCATCACATCTCTCCCTCATCTTGTCATATCTATCTTGTGCAGAGAATCAAAATCTCAGCGACTGGACAACAGAATGGCACAACGTAAAGTCAAAGATACAACTTACTACGATGTTCTTGGTGTTTCCACAGAAGCGACAGATATAGAGTACGTCATTGATCTTGTTACCTCGGTCATGGATTGACAAGAGCAGGTTGAAGAAGGCTTACAGAACTTTAGCAATCAAGGTGAGTTCAGCTCACCCCCCATCTCCAGTGACATGAGCTGAAGAGAAGAATCATCCAGATAAGAATCCATCACCTGATGCAGAAGCAAAGTTCAAAGAGATTGGGTCAGTGAACTACACTGTCATCTGCTCCATTTCTCCTTTGACCGGCCTGTCGTCCTCTCCTCCTGTCAATAACCCTCTCTCTCTTGACTGTGACAACTGGTGAAACCAAGAGGAACATCAGCTCACTCAGTCAGAGAAGCATATCAAATACTGAGCAATGCCGACTCTCGTGCACACTACGATAAAGTCGGTAAAGCCGGGATGAACAAGACTGATGAAGGTGTTGTAGATCCTCAAGAGATATTTTCTCAGATCTTTGGTGGAGGTTGGTGATTTCTCTGACGTTTTGCTCTATCTGACAATCACAGAACGGTTTTATGACTATGTACGGCTGGCGCATTTCCTTCGGAACGTTTCAGCTGACAATATAGATCGGAGAGATATCGTTAGTCAAAGGTTGGTCTTCGGCGTGTAACTTTATATGACAGACCAATATTGATATCAGACTTTTCATCCACAATGGATGTCGTCATGACTCCCGAGGAAAAAGCAGCTATGGAAGCTGAAGCCAAAGCGAATGGCGTGTCGACCGCCGCTGTCTCCGGTGATGGTGTAGCTCCTACTGCTCCCACCGACACTGCGACACCGGAAAAACCCCTCGAAGCAGAAGCAGGACAGACGAAACCTACCGCGCCTGCAAGTCCTTCACCCACTGCTGGCATCAGTGGAGAAGCGCCTGCCGATCATAATGGTCATATGACACATCACTCATCTTTCAGCTCTGGCGCATCAACCCCTGGGAAAGATACCGTCGGACATAAACAGCCTGATAAAAAGGGAAAACCCAAACTTACCCCTGAGCAGAAAGCTCAATTGGAAGCCCTTGAAAAAGCCCGGGAAGAAGAGAAGAAAGCCAGGTGAGTTGATCTTGTGCGCTCTCGTCGATTACGAGCTGAAAAGAGAAGAATAGAGATGTTGAAAGAGAAATTGATCCAACGTATAAGACCGTTTGTGGATGCTAAGAATCCTGGGGATGCCAATGATCCAGAGACGAAAGCATTCGAAGCGAAGATTCGGATGGAAGCTGAGGATTTGAAATTGGAATCTTTTGGTATTGAGGTGTGTGTTCCTATCTCATGTCTCCCCCTAGAACCGGAAAATCAGAACCTACCAATTTGTCCGAGGATTGTAGTCATAGATGCTGACAGTGTAGCTTTTACATACTATAGCCAGTGTGTATATCACCAAAGCTGGAAACTTCATCAAAAGCAAGAAATTCTTCATCGGCGGTTTCTTCGGACGGTTAAAAGAGAAAGGAGGTATGGTGAAAGAAGGTTGGGGGCTGTTGGGTTCTGCGTGAGTATTCTATCTTCAGGAGAATTTAGCTTATAAGTAGGATCGGGGTTCAAGCTGCCATGGAAGAATTGCAACGTATCGAAGAAAAGGGTACGGCTACACCTGAAGAGTTGGAGGCTTTGGCACAGGAGGTATCGAGTAAAATGTTGTTGACCACTTGGAAAGCTACTCGATGGGAGGTTGGGAATGTGAGTAAATCCGCCCCCTTTACATTCTAATTGTTCTGCTTTTGGCCTTTGATCACGTATCTGCGTCAGTCTCCGTGTATATCGCCCATAGTAATAAGTCAGGACAAGAGCTTTCAAGAAAAGTCCAAGTATGACAGCATGAGGAACGATACATCGGTCGACCACACTGACATTCAGGTACTAGGAGCAGTGGTCGAATCAGTTCTATACGATCCCAAAATTTCTAAAGAAGTTTCTCTTCGAAGAGCCAAAGCGATCCTCACCATCGCCGGGATATTCAAGACTGTGCAACCGGATGAATCTGATGAAGAGAGAAGAGAACTTGAGAGATTAGTGATGAATGCTGGTAAGAAGAAGAAAGAAAAGGAAAAGGAAAAGAAATCTGCTCAAGAATCAACTGTATCTGGTACTCCTGGAGGTAAGAGCACGACGGTTTAGATGGTTTGGTAGGCGGGCATATAGATCTGGATCCATTGACGAACTACCCTAGTTATTGGTACGAATTTGATGTGTAATGTGCTTTTTTGCATATCTTGTACCTCTTTTCCATGTTTCCTCTTTCATTCCCTTGAACTCTGCCGCACGCAGATATCGCTGGATGCTGCACAGTACCGTCATCAATCACTGTCACATGAGAAGGCACCGTACCACCGTTGATCTCTTATCTCTTCCGGATCATTGAATATCCAAAATCAAGTTCAAGTTTCTCAATATTTGAATCATCAACTTTCTTCTTCCCTTTCACCTCTCTTTCCAGCTATCAGCTATTCACCCCGATGAACTCAAAACCAAACCCAACTCTTCATGCCCTACTCTCTAACCCTTACTCACCACCTTTTATCTACATACATCATCCTCATCATCCATCTTCTTCTCCTTCTGTCCTTTCTTCTTTCCCTCCGAATTGCTTGGTGACAAAAGTGGACGGGGTGGAACATCATACTCCTCGATTATTATATTCTTCTATATTATCACAACTAACTTCTCATCTTTCTAAACTATCCCAGTTATCTTCTCATCTTCCAACATCATCTCAACTATTTTCTTCTTCTTCTCATCTCTCTGGACCATCTGAACTATCTACTATGGAATCAGAAGAGGGTGTATCAACATGGGATGGATTCTCAAGAAAGTTGAAACAGATTCATAAAGACATCAAATCTCTTTCATCTGATCAACCTGCTGAAGTCGATACGTCATCTACGTTCGATACTCTTCACACACTTGGTCACGCTGGTTTATCAAATATATCGGAATCCATCGGACAGGGATCATCGAGGGATGCTACAACGAAAAGACAAACTCAGGCATCTGGCTCGAAGGAAAAGAAAAATACTCAGAAGAAACAACCTCTCAAAGAGGACGAGAAGGATGATAGTGACGAGATTGAAGAAAGGGAAAAAACATTAGTGGTGATAATCACTAAAGCTGAAAGATTAAGAAGTTCTTTTGGACATGGATGGAGTGTAATAACACGGATGGCTGAATTGGTATGTTACTTAAATCACTCCTTATCTCATACACTCCTATCTAACTTCTCCCTTTGTAAGACGTCCAGACTTTGTCTCCTATCCCTCCTTCGTTGAAACTTCGTTTTTTTTGCACAATCCTTGCTTCGTCCACCTTAGAGCACGCCACAATGTGTTCTCTTCCACAACCCTATGTGGTGATATTTAACATTCTGGTTATGTCAAAGCGAGAGGTTTTATTCTCCTGACAGTATCATATTTGGATATACGATCAGTGGTGCCCTCTCTTTAAAAGGGATGGCTGGAAGTGAATTAGTCGAGTGCATGACGAAGTTATTGTATTGGGACTTTTGAGTGGAGAGAGGATGAGAATGGGACTGATCATAGACTGACTTACCAATCACTGTAATATTTTGTTCTCAATTGCCTTGGGATGAATTACGTCCGCCAAGAGGGGATAGTTTGGAACCTGTACATATATATATACCGCCTCCTTCTCGACAGAGTGAGTCGTTCATCTCTTTGTTTCTCCCTTTCCTCTTTTTAGATCTCAAACCTGCCTATGGTCTTTTTCCTTTCTGAGCCCTCAACCCCACCCTCACTCAACTCTCAATCTCTCCCTCATCGTTGGGAATTTCTCCTGAACTTTTGGTCAATCAAGACCGTCTAAAACCTGTATTCATCTTCTGAACCTTCCCTCCCAAGTACATACTATGAACGCGCTTCAGGATACACGGAGATACGCAGCATAAATGATTATCTGATCATACAACTAAATCATAGACCTCACTCAATCCCTATTACCATGTTCCTCCCACCCTCTCTGGTCTCGATTCCTCGATTTAATCATATCTTCCCTCTCTCATCTCCCCCCATACCCAATCGAAGAAATCCATTACCTATCACTCTCCCTCTGGCCAATCTACATCCGTCCCCTTCCTCCTCATTCCGAACAAACACTTCTCTCACTCCCTTCACCCACACCTGATACACCTCCTCTCACTATCACCTTGAAATTACTTACAGATTTAAAACTACAACTATCTCTAGCTCTTCAAGCAAGTACTGAAACTCTACTTCCTCGTCTTATCGGTCGATCAGAATTCTTAAAAGCTTTTCTACCTATTTCCAAAACAACTTCTCGACCTACATTACCTCAACCTCCTCCGTTGGAATTACCATTATGTGGTAAATACCTATTGATAGCTTCATATTGCGCTTCTCAAAACCCTCCGAAAAGCGATGTCAGGTTATTCGGAAGAGGGACAGGTCCTGATGGGAAAAGAAAAAAAGGTGGTGGGAGAAGAACGGGTTATGGGAAAATGAGAATTGGTAAAGTCCCACAAAGATTGTTAGGTCCGAAACCTTTTGGGTTGGATAGGATGTTAGCTATGTTTTCAAGTTTGTTTTCTGAACATGTTCCAAGACCGGAGGATTTGGATTCTTCAGGAAGTGAGAGTGAAGAAGAAATGGATGGTTGGTTGGTTAGTGTTGAAGAACAGAGAAAAAGAGTGGAGAGGAAAAGAAGAAGAGAGGAAGAAAGAGATTTGAAATGGGAAGAAGAGGTTGAACATTTAAGTATGAGTGTTAGACTTTGGACTTTGGTAAGTGTAGTCATTTCATATCTCCTTTTCTTCCTCCCTCAGTTCTCACTTCTCACTTCTCTTCACAGATCAACGATTCAAAGAGATTTTTCGTGACCTCTGACCCCCTGGTATCACCAAGACATCAAATATCTTCATGGTCGTTATGATAGTTTAAACACCCATCGCTTGAAGTATCTTAGAAATCAAAAAACTTCCTTATTATCCCGTGAAAGAGGGAATAGATAGTTCAGGATTAAATGTCTCAACGATGAATCCGATCGGAGGGAGAAAGATAATATCGATTATGTAAGAATCACAAGGTGGAGACTGATGTCAGATCCCTCAGTTGGAAAATCAAAACCTACTAAAACGTATTTCTCCAATGGACAGATTAGATAATATGATGTTCCGTTGTGAAGTAGATTATGATACTGTCAAGAATCTAGCGAGAGAGTTGAAATTCACTCTGGATGATTATCTATACGAAGGAACGTTTTAGATTTTTCTTGAACAATATCTGTAACTTCCATATCATCCATCATTCACTCTGGTAAATCATGTATTTCAAAACGTGTTTGTCACTACATATCTTCATAACCACGGTCCACATTGACTTTCACTATTTCATCATATGGAGTGGTCTATTCCGATATTCCCAGCAAAAAAGGATTCCCGGTCAAATATACAGTACATTATCTGACTTTACTGCAAATACTCTCTTGCTGTTAAACATCATGGGTTTCAATGAGGCAAAAAGAAATTGATTATCTTGAATTAATTGCATAACTTCAACCTACTTATTACTCTTTCCCCAACCATTTCAAATTCCCATCATCATCCCTCTTACATTTCCTTTTCAAAACCTCTTTGATCCTTTCCAGAAAATCATCTTGCCTAGAACCACCGTTCTCACCCACATCATCTAACATTTGTTCCGTCAATTCTTTTTCTGTCAATGCGTAAGCTCCAGAACTAGGTGAAGCACCTCTAATACGATCTTGTAATTCTCTTTCACTTGGTAATCCTAAAAACCTAAATTGACCCCAGGTAGAATCAGGTGTATGATTCCTTGGAACAGGATCGAACATGAGTTCTGATTGATCTGATTCGTTTGGAGTGTCGGAAAGTTTAGAAGAACGTTTATGAGGTTGAGAGAAGAATTGATCGACATATGATTGAGAGATTTCTGATATTGAAGTAGGTGACCATGATGGTCTGAGAGATTTTTTGGTTTTATCTTTTTCTAATAAAACTTGAGAAACACCGATAATGAAATCATCTGTTGGTCTTTTAGGTCCCTACTCTCATTAGATCCTATAGTACTGTAATTTGATCAAGGGAGAAATAACTTACTGAGAATGAAGTAGCCATGGCGAAATCTGAAAGATTAGCAATACTTCTGACACACAATCACACAACCACACAACCACACACACATACTCTCTCTACTTGAATGTTACGGGTGAGATTCAAAGGTTCAAAGCTTGAACATACCATTCAATAACACTTTATCCAACTTCTTTTCTTGCTTAGCACGCCTGAAACCTTCAAGAGCCACTGCCATACCAGTAGGACTTCGTTTATCCATGATTTCCTTTTGCTCCTTTGCCCATTCTTTGACTTCCTCAGATAACTCTTGACTATCAATAGCAGCGACGATAGAGTCGTAAATATCTTTCACTTGGGATTGAGAGAAAACCTGATCGATGAAAACTCGGATGTCACCTTTGATTGATGATGGACCGTCTGGAGATGATTTGGAGGATGGAGCTGATGATCCGGATGAGGGAAGGTGATATGATGATACGATACGTGAGAGTGTGACAGTGTTCAATTCTGATCCTGTATGATGGGTTATTTGATGTAAGATTGGGGCAATGGAAGCTGAAGGAACGTAATGGGTGGCTATTCCCAGTTCACTGATTGTCAGATTTGACAACTAGATTATCCTGGAGATACCCTATCGGGCTATGGGCAAAGTGCATTGCGCGAAAGCGAGGTATCGTACACTGCTTAAAATGTGGACTAGAGGGTAGATGGGTAACAGAGCAAGTGGGTCGGTCAAATGAAGAAGGTGCAAAAGAAATGAGGGAAGAATACTCTGCAGTTCACTCACTAAGCAGCTCGACCGTACACGTTCTGACCAGTCACAGCAAGCCATGCTCCGATCTGCCCGTCCAATTGAGCCAGATAGTAATGTGAACCTACATCTGGTGAATAACCAATGTTAGTCTCAGGCATAGCGAAGATAGTGTTTGGTGTGGCTATACGGATCGAGGCAGGTAATGAGATCCCAGCGCCACCACCCACTATTCCGGTCAGCTTAAACTTCACATATAGCTAGTTGTGATTCAACCGCATCTCGACTGAAGAACTAAGAGACCATACCAAACAATCGATGAGGAAAGGACTCACTGACGACACCGTCCATCACGGCAATATAAGGTTTCTTCAGTTTACCCAACAGCCAATTGAGCTCGAATTCTGATTTGAAGAATTTCACAGGTGTGTCTTTCCCTTCTTTCAAATCGATGATGAGTTCTACCACATTAAGATACGCAACATTTGATAATGAAATACTTACGAGCGACATCTCCACCAGCACAAAAAGCTCTGCCTTCTCCTGTGCCGATTATGACTTGTACCAGTTCTGAATCTCTCCAAGTCTGCATCGTCAGCACTCGCCCTCAGACGGCTAACTAAGAGTAGTCGGGTGATGTGTTCTCGTTGGAAAGAAGCTAAACCTACCTTGACTTTATTATACATCGAAGTGATCATCTCCTGATTCAAACTATTGAGTTTTTTCGGCCGGTTCAGACGATAAGTCCTAGTAGAACCGCTGGACTGGTATAACACCGAGTCCTATATCTCATCAGCTGGAGCGATATGAATGACTGATCATGGCTCACCTCCAATCCAGCAGCTTGAACCGGGGTGGTTTCTGAAGATGCCGGTTTAGCCGACATGGAGGAAGAATTGATGTGTCGAGATAGGGTCGATAATCTGACAGCAGCTGAAGGAGAGAATTGTTTGGTTGACGACGCCATGCGCATAGGGAGCCTTGTGATAGTAGCCATGAGCGATGTGTGGCCCTTTATTATCACCTGGATAGCTCTGGGGTATGACTGATGTCGCTGTGGAAAAGGTTGACTTTGAGTGTGGGCAGAGGAGGAACGTGCGGAGATTGTGAGGATGTCCGTCTGAGAATGGTTCCGTGCGGGGCTCCGAGTAGATTCAGTGAACCCCCCTTGGACGGTCGTCGTTGCTGTGTCACCCACTCACCCACTCACCCACTCACCCACTCACCCACTCACCCACTCACCCACTCACCCACTCACCCACTCACCCACTCACTCTACTCCCTACCCTTCCTTGCTCAGTCATTCTTCCACTTGATCAGGGCTGTCACTTTCCCTACCAGAAAGATTTCTCTCCAGGAGTAGTCAACTGTCTAGGACGTACTTGATCGAAGACTTGGGACAGGGTTGATTTTGCACCACACATCAATATGCCGCCGCCCACTAAGGAAGAACTGTGGAGTTCGGGCAAAGACGAAACGGTGGAAGTCAATCAGAGGGCGTTGATAGATAGTAAGTCGCAAAAGATCTATCCCTATGTACCTTTACACAAGCTGACAATAGAAATATTGGCTCGATACTCCGGGGAACATACCAGTGAGCAAGCGTTTACGGTCATACTGACGATGCTGACTCGAGTCAGTTTTCCGAGAATTGCTACAGAATGCCGATGATGCGGGGGTGAGTATCTTGTCGTCCTTAACAGCACAGCTTCTGAACTTTAGGCTCAAGAGGTTCAAGTCAAGTTCTACTCACAGCAGGGTCTAGACGCTATCGACCATGGTCGAGGTCCATTACAACCCCCCGACGTCAAGAAGGTACCCGTGAGTTAAATCAGTAGAGTCGTTCCAACCCAAGCTGACATTGGTAGATGGTACGATATGTCGTTACAAACGATGGTATCCCCTTCCGAGATCAAGATTGGCAGAGATTGAAGAAGATCGCAGAGGGAAACCCTGACGAGGAGAAGATCGGAGCGTAAGTGATCCTTTTATCTTACAATGGGGTCGTCCATTGACTATTAAGCTTCGGGGTCGGCTTCTACTCACTTTGGAGCGTGTGTGGTGAGCCGTCTCGTGGAAGGGTACACGCTTGAGCTCACTTGATAAGACGATCCTTTTGTGGAATCTGGCGAAAAATGGATGGGCTTTTATTGGAAAGATGGCAAAGATCAACTTCTCGCTCGATCTGGGAATCTTCCACCCTCTTCTTCATCTTCCATCCCAACAACCCTTAGTGGTAACCCATGGACGAACTTTACGATGGCTCTTCGGGAACCTACTCTTCTAGAAGGACCTCTGGATCTGGCTCGGTTTTTGGTCACAAGTCTCACATTCATGCGGACCATACGGAAGATTAACATGCTAGTAGATGATATCAAGGTGTTTGAGGTAGAGAAGAGCGTCAAAGGGCAAAACAGAGTGACCAGGAAAGGATTGAAAGAGATCAGTCCTGGGAGTATGATGACTGTTCAGAGCGTTGACGCCACTGGAATGATAATCACCGCTCGAGTCATGAAGTGGCTTTCCGGTCAGTCTAGATTACGAGCTGGGTACGGTTGCTGATTTTCTAGCGACTGGCTTTGTTCCTCCCCCATTGCCGCCCCCTATACCCACCTACAGTAAACCCACCAAGGCGTTCGCCTCAATCTTCTCATCCACATTTTTCAACCGAAGTTCTCCCGCACCCACTCCGGCGCCCGAGCCAACGCCTCCTCCCCCTCCAGAAAATCTGACCGAGATCACTGAACTACGACGTGAAATCCAAGTCTATCAAGCCGAAATCAAAGTGACGGTATCACCGACGTTCGCCAAAGAGCTCGAACGAGCAACGAAAAAGCCAGCCCCCGCTCGAATGCCGGCAAGTCTTGTTTTCAGCCGCGGCGATGAGGAACCGACGGTGACCGGAGATATTGCTATCAAGAAGGATGCTGCTGGTATATTTGCGGGGTTGTGTCCACCGCTTGATGGTGAGAAAGGCGCTCGAGTGTTCATTGGTCAAGCCACTGCACAGACTACTGGTATTGGTGGCCACCTGGCAGCCCGATTCATTCCCACCGTGGAACGAGAATCTATCGATTTGGTCGACAAACACGTATCTCATTGGAATCGTGAACTCCTGAGTATTGGTGGATATCTCAGTCGACTGATATACGAGGTGGAAATGGTAGAGCTACAACAACTCTGGAGCACGACTTCGGTGTCTGACCCCGACACGAGGAATCAGTTATTGAAGCGAGGGCTACACGCCCTCAAATTCTTTACGTTCAAGCCAACCACTCCTTCTTCGGTTGTTGGACAAACGATGGAGTCGGCTTTCTTCTCATGTTCCACAGATAAAGCCACATTTCCGATTATTTCCACAGCCGGCATATTACCCAGTAGCTTGGTCCGAATGCCTGACCCGGAGTTGTTGCAGTTTCTCCCCGATCTACCTGTCCTGACACCAGCCGCTCTGGAAGAAGCTTCTCGACAGATTGCGAGGTTGCGCGAAAGGGGTATGATCCGGGAAACGACTTTCGAAGACGTCATCAAGCAGCTTGGCCTACGACCTCTTACTGAGAAGGAGATGGTCGCATGTTTGCAATGGTGGCAAACGATGGCCGGAGCAGACGGATACAACACGACAAATGTTCGGGCTCGATTACTAGACGCCGCTGTGTTGGTTCAAGATGACGGCAAAGTTTTGCCTCTGTCCATTATCGAGACGTTTGTTAAGCCCCAGAGCTCGTCAATACCTACCGATATGCCTTTACCAACGCATACTATACCGTACAACATCACCAAAGATCTCAAGGGTAACTTGATCTATCCAGTGTTCGGATGGACCGAACTGACAATGCTACAATATATCACCTTCCTCATCAAACCCCCTATGTCCGCCGCTTCCCAAGCCTCCCCAGATACAGATCTACGTGTCTCGCCTGCTTTCGCTGAGAGGGTGTTGAGCATGCTTGGTCGATCTTGGTTGTCCATCAGTGCCAATCAACAATCCGCGATCGCCCTTGAATTGAAGGAAGTTCCCTGTATTCCAACCAAAGCGGGCTTCAAGAAACCTCACGAAGCGTACTTCGAGAAGAACCTTCTTTTTGATGATCTGCCAACTATAGCGCTGCCCAAGAATACGACAATCAAAGGTGGGTTGGAGAAGATGTTGTTGGGTATCGGTGTGAGAAAGACTGTAGACCTTCAACTGGTCTTTTCACGCCTCATTGGGGGAGGCACCTGGACTTGTGTTGACCTCATGAAGTATCTCGTCAGCGTCAAAGACACATTGACCAATGAAGAAGTGGCGCGATTACGCCAGACTGCGGCCTTCCCGATGGAAGTGGAGACAATAGAAGGACAAAAACAACAAGTCATCAGACAAAAACCTCATCAGCTGTACGAGCCTACGGATGCTCTTCGAGCACTTGGTCTTCCTCTTTTAGCATGGGGCGAAGCCAAATGGAGACCTAGCTCGGACGAAGGTGAGCTTATTCGTCTCATGACTGTGCTCGATTGATGTATTAGCGAGAATGTTGTTTTCTCTTGGACTGAAACGGTTCCCACCCATTGATGTCCTCGTGGGTCTTGCAGCTGGTCCATCACCAATAAACGATCGAGCGCTTCAATACCTTCTCAACAATTATAGTACCCATTACACGCAATTTGATCCATCTGCTTTTGCTACAGTCGCCTTTATCCCTGCCACATCTTCGACGGGGAAATCCTTCCTTGCAAAGCCTGGTGAAGTAAGTGCAGTTTCTTCCGGACATTCTCACCATAAGATGTTCTATCCGGCTGACCGAGAAAGGTATTCATCAACCCGGCTTGCGGTATTCTAGGCTTCTCGGTCGCTCACCCTTCGGTGACTTCCCCTGAGAATGCGGGAAAACTCCGTATCCCCTCTGATCCACCAATGGACCGTCTGGCGCAAGCGCTCATCTCTAATCCGCCGACAGATCACTCGAAAGCTCAAACCATCTTTGAGGTTAGTAACTTGACACTCATGAGAGCGAGCTGACGGACAGTACCTCTCTACTCGACTGGGCCAATCCGTCCCTGGCGCAACTGATAGGTTGTCGAGCGCCAAGTTCATCCCTGTGAAGACCATCAAAGGTATTGAGCTCGTTCGTCCTATAGATGTCTACTTTGCTTCTACGGATACCGACAAGAAGCTGTACTCTTCAGCTTTCACCTTTGTGGATTTTGGAGAGAGGGCGAATGTCTTTCTTAGATATTGTGGTGTAAGATCGGAGCCATCTGTCAAAGGTGAGTGAAGAATCTACTATCTACTCATTTGTTATCCTCATTACCCCGACAGAGCCAGCCATGTTCCAGCAGCTGTGTGTTGAGAGGTCATGCGATAGGGTCAGATGTGAGTCTTTGGAGGGCATCCGCTGATCTTTAGACATTGCTAAGTTGCTCATGTCCCAACCGGAGAAAATGCTCGCCCAAGCTGGTTCCCCTGACAAGTAAGCTCCATTCCGTTAAGGGCTTGTCAGATTCGCTGAGATATAGGTACTTGGAACAGCTCCGTATGTTAGCTGCCAATTGGACAAACTTTGACTTTGCCACAAAGACCGCTATGAAAGGGTCTGCTTTTGTATTGGCGTCTCAGCGGGTTCCGGTCAAAAAACAGAGTAAAAAGGTGTTCGGCACGTGGGGTGGGACCGAAGATGAGTATGAACGTGAATGGGTTCTGTGCAAGGCATCAGACGTAAGTCTTCGCTTCAGTCCCTTCATCATAAACACTCATAAACAGGCCGCCTTGATCAACGATATCACTATGGTGCAGTATTTTGGCCGATATATCCTAGCAGCTCCTGAGGTGAGTATACTCTGCTTGATTGTGGCGTTGACGCTGAGAAAGACAGGAACAACTCTTGGAAACGTTCTACGAACATCTCGGTGCAAAACCACTGTCGTCATATGTCCGGACAGAATACGTAACCTCTGGTTCAGTGTCACAATCTACAGAAGAGGCAAAAGCTCTCCGTCGTCATGTCCTCGAACGGTTGACTATCTTTCTGGCTGAGGCGAGACGACGTCATTCCGAATATACCATTGAAGAGTTGAGCAAAGAAGGAATGTTCCTTGTACAGGAAGTCAGAGATCTCAAGGTCAAATATATTTACAAGAATGGTAAACAAGAGCAACAACATCTCGAAGTACAATCTACTTTCCACAACTTGATGTGTGCTGATGAAAAGGTACTTTATGCTACTGCTCAAAGAGGTAGAGGGAAGAGTATCATCTTGACCGTCTCCATGACTGCTCAACCGGACGACTACGAGTTTGTCACTTTGTCTCTTACTCATGGCTGTGACTGATCGAACAGCATAGCGGCTGCCTTATGCCCTTTACTCCTCAAACAAGCCAAAGCCGATGATGCTCTACTTCTCTACAGGTGTGTCAAAGCACTGTTATCCAATATGACACATGATCTGATGTTCGAGTATCCTATCAACACCGCTCATGGCATTGAAGAAACGTGGTTTCAACGTCGATCGAATACTCAATCAACAAAGAGAAGAAAGACTTCGTCTACAAGCTGAACGTATCCGTGATTTAGAGAAAGAAAAACAATCAGAGGTTATCATTGATGACGGAGTATCAGAAACCTCTACCAGTACAGCAGTCGATGGTGAGAAAGATACGAAAGGTGTTAAAAGCCTGTATGATAAACTTCGTAATCGTCAATCCCAACCTACTAAATCTACCTCGAATCTTGTTACACCTACAAATCCATCTCAACCACCAACTCCCAGAATGCCAGGGGGTTTTGGTTCATTATCATCCTCCATGCCATCTCATGGCAGTGGCTCGTCACATCCCCCAACAGCAATCTCCAACATCTTACGAGACCTCACAGCGGGACATGGAAGCGGAAGCGGTGGTTTGGTTACCGGGTCAGGTGTTGGCCAAACGACCAAACGACCTACAGACTTGCAAAGCATTAGGAACACGGTGCAAAAGGCTGTGGATGCTTCAAGACCGGAGATGGGGACACAAATCAGTGATTCTAGACAAGCGGTGAGAGATGTTTCGGAGAGTCAGAATGAATATTGTGATACTAGCGCAGGAGCGGATTTAGTTTTGGCTGTTGATTTGGGTGCAGCAGGATTGAGGATGTGGGTTCCGAGGGGTGAGCATTTGTATTCCCACTCTCACTCTCACTTTCATTCCTGATTCCTGATTCCCAATTGTCTACACTATCTTGCTTTATTCCCCGCTTCTCCCTGTCATTCAAAGAGATCATCAGGTATTTCACTTGATATTCGATTCGTTACACGAGAAAATGGAAATGACACGCAGATGAACCGGATCACGCTTCTTACCTCTCGGACAAACTAGGCATCTCACAAAGGTTCGCTCGGGACATTTTACTCCCCATCGGTCAAGTTTACAAAGTTTGTATCCATCCCCTGTACCTCTGTCAAAAGCTGATCGGCAGCTCGCTCCTCAAGTGTTGAACGTATTTTGGGATAGAGAAGGTCCCTTGATCGCTTTCAATAGAGGAGGAACCATTTTCTGTAATGCGTAAGTCGTCATCTTGCTTCTATGTGAGGCTTCATTGACGAGTAGCCGATATTATTCTGCGTGGCGTGAGTCGATGTCTCCTTTCTCCTTCGAGATTTCTTTACCCTTTGCCCTTTCCCCCTTGTCCCCACACCAAAAAATTTATATAATATATTTTTGCTAGTTCACCCACGTCACTCATCATATGACCCATCGACCTCCTCCTCCATGATCTCTGGTGTGCATTGCGACCAAGGTCACCGAACGTCAAGGTCATGTGATATCTGCCATGTTTACATACTCATCTCAGACGATACACAATGCATTCAAGGGAACAAAAATGACGCTTTCATATCTTGGTATTTCTCCATAGCTCACGGTATGTATTTCCCCCCACTTTTGACGATCCCCCCGAAGCTGACAATCCAGAATTAGCTCATAACCTTGGTCAGTTTTTGCGTTCTTCCAGAGTCATATCAAAGCTGATATATAGAATCCGCACATAACGCATCACACGAGTTTTATTTCTCCAGTATCGCAGAAGAGTTTTTAATACGTTTCGCCACACTTCTCACACCTTGAGTGATGTCAATCTCAGTCTCAGTTCTGATGTTGTTTCAAGTATTCTGTACTCTACTCATACTGTGCTTTGCTTTTACATATACATATACATATGCATTATGCATGATTGTTCTATAGATGCAAATATGACATTATTCATCTTCCCATTTATCTTCTTCCTCATTTAGTTCTGACTGATGAACAAGAGGTTGAGAGAGATCCCAACGTGATCGGGACTTGTCTGTCAATCTCACTCGACCAGTTTGCAAGGGGATATGAGAGTCAAGTGGAGATATTATGTGTGGAGATTGTGAGAGATGATCGGAAGTGTTTTGATGTACGTTTTCAGAGGAGATAGGGGCTGTAAAAGAAGATGTGAGAGGAAGAGGGGGTTCAGGTTCGTCTTCTGATTCGGGCACAGGAATGGGTAAAGATGTTTCTGGATCAATTGGCCATGTACCATCTCGAATCCAAGAAGCTTTGAGTATTTTGACCTGGGAGTCAGTTATCAAACCTGCAACTTGATATTATTCTCCTGAGTGGCCGGAATAGTGGGCTGTATCTTGAAGTATGGGGAGATGTAGCAAGCTACGAGGGTAGTTGCAAAGCCATGGAAATGAATGAGGGTGAACATAGAATGATTGATGAAGGAGTCGCAGAAAGGAAAGGAAATTGTATAGATAAAAAAAACACCGAAAACAGGGTGATACAGGGTGATGGAAGAGGCATTACAGGAAAGGATATAGTAAGAGGAGCATTCATTATACATGATATTAAGTTATCAAAGGGCTGCGGCATGTAGGAGTACAGGGAGATAGATATGGTAAGTAGATGGGCAAGTAATCTGGGTTATGATGTTATCCGCATTATGATGTTATCCGGATTATGATGTTATCTGAATTATGATCATAAGAGACAAAGGTGCTTCGTGTGATGAAACAGAGAGGGAATAAAGTAGATGATGAAATCTGAACTCACCACAAGACCTAATTTCAAACCAACCGTTAAAGTCTTCCCGGCCGATAAATTCCTATAAACAGTCCCTACTCCTCCTCTCCACGCAGCTTCTCTCTCTTTCGGTGTGTTCATATTGAGTAATCTCTCTAACTTTCTCACAAAAGCTTGGTGTTTACGTTTTCGTAGAGTTTCTAAACTTGGGGGTTGGTCCGAGAAGGAAGGTAAGATATTTGAAATCTCCGGTTTTGTCATGGGAGAAGGAATGATATCTGACTCCAGGGGTTTAGCCAAGTTTACGGAGATGCCCAAATTCTGCGGTCCACTCCAAGAGGAGAGATGGACATCTGAGTCAAACGACTGGTCAGAGGGTGGGGTAATTGGGCTGAAAGGGGATGGTGAGGTTGATTTTGAAGGAAGTGGTGGAGGTGGGGTTGGTACGAAGTAATGTGGAGGTGGGGTTTCGGATGGGGATGGATATGGTTTGGAAGATAGGAAAAGTGCACGACGATAATGATAGAATTCTAGACCTGTTCGTTAGCTTTGTCTTTTTCATGTTCACTCTCGCGTTCGATAACGTTATTCATTAAGACCTCGCTCAGCAGCGCCCGCTATAATCTCTTTCCACGAATGACATTGATACGGTTTGTCTGAAGTAACTATATGGGGTGAATTTCTAGAGGAAGTACACTTCTGTAATAGGTACAAAAAGATTAGGAGATACACGGCCCAGAGATATTGGGATAGCCACAAGGGTGCAGAACTGTGAGCAAAGGAGAACGAGGGAATGAGAAGAGATCATGGAGAGGTTGGACTAACCAGTACTAGGGACAACCATCAGGCTGTGTGCTTCTTCGTCTGTCGAAAGCTTCGGCTGGTTACCCACATCTCCCACTGAGCTCGAACCGTAGGTTTGAGAGCTTGAGGGTCCAGCCTCAACCTCGATAGATGATCCATCGATAGCGGAGGTCATCTGAGAAGGTTCATTTTGTTCATTCGAGTAAGCTTATTTAGGGGTTGGGAAGGCTGAGTCGTAATTTGTTCGTTTCCAATCCCGGTCCAGTCAAATGTTTCTCGGTCTGGGACTTAGGGATTTCCTGGATCTTGGAGCAAGCACTTGTTAGCGCAGATATTGAGATGAGAATAAAGGCAGATAAGCTAAGCTACAAAGGAAATAATATTATAAGTTCAATGTCGAAAGTCGAGATAAGGTATCGAAAAGTAGAAATTTCAAAATTCAAAATCAGAAAATTGTTTCTTCTTTCTTTCATCTTTTCCACCCCGACTTGGGCCATGTCATAGTCAACTATGAAGTTCTTGTTGCTCTGATCCCAATCTCACAAACTACGACGTCATCAAGATGATATATCACCAGAATGAAATACCCATACATCCCTTCTCCCAGTAAATTCGGTCGATATGCCGTCCTCTCCCCTGAGACTGCCATGAAAATCTATCCTACGCCTTTACCTGTCCCTGTCCATATCCCACGCCCATCATATGTCCCCAGAAACTTCTTTACCGCTCCATGGGGAGATCATGAGCTACCAAACAATGAAGATGAGGTGGTTAGAGGTGTGAGACTTGGGACAGAGGAGGAGATATGTGTGAGAAGAGTTGGGAAGATGGCAGGAGAGGTTTTGAAGTTGATAGGGGGTTTGATACGTGTAAGTGGGGCTTCCAACTTCATGGTTGTAGTACCCTATCATCATTTCATGTTCGTGACGAACTCAAATCACGAGTCCTGTCAGGGTATAGAAAATTAAAAGTTGGCACGGTACGGATCTTGGTCGGTGGTGGAAATTTCAAGCACTTTGCCAATATTGACGACTTGCGTAAGAATCGATGACCGCAATGAATGTGAGAGATAAGATGATGCAGATATTATACTGACCAATTAGCCAGGGATCACAACTTCTCAGATCGATTCTGCTGTACATGAAGAAATCATCAGACTAGGGGCTTATCCATCTACTTTGGGATATGGTTTATTCCCGAAGAGTTGTACGACTTCAGTGAACAATGTGATTGCTCGTGAGTTCTTCACTTCTCCCCTCTCTCTTTGATCCCTTCTCCAGGATCCAATGTATCCTGTCTGGCCTCATTTGACAATGGAGTTGGAATTTACAAGCTCCAACACGTTTCTGGGTGGTGTGGTATTCAGAAGAGATGATTCGTTACCGATCGTGGCATGTCATTGAGGTGGTTTGGAGTCATTCACCGTGCGACCTTGATCAGAGTGCTATATGATGAAATATCCTGTAAACAGTGGACTAACGACTAGATGGTATACCAGACGAGTATGTTTCCTCCCCCTTCTCCACTTGATAGAGGTATTGAGAAGATACAGCCGTCCTCTCCTTTCGGACGATATCGTCAACCTCGACCTCACGATTTATCTAAACGGTTGGCATGGGGATTGTTCACGTACTTTTCTCTTACCCTCAGTGGATGAACAAGGTAAAGAATTGGTTCATGTAACGGAAGAAGCTTTGGAAGCCGCTATCGGAATATGTGAACCTGGTCGACCATATCGTGATATCGGAAGGGTTATACAGTACGTTCTCATCTTCATCTTCCCATTCCTCTTCTTCTCCTTCTACTCCATCAACAATGCCTCAAAACCTTTCATCATTTTCATGACTATGTATCATCTTGACATCTCTCTTTGGCTGTTTCTTCATGATTTAGCATCCGTGCATCTGGTCACTCATATCAGTATGACGAGATGATTGATAGGTAGAGACCTGGCGGAGAAACATGATTCAAGCGTTAACACTCAATTTGGTGGACATGGAATTGGGAAATCTTTTCATCAACCTCCATGGATCTTACATCATCGTGAGTCACCCTGCATTCATTCAGAACACCAACATACTCTACTCGTACTGTTTGGACCTTGCCCATATGTTCCGTTCAAGTGAGAAGATCGAGATGAGATGTCGAAGGGAAAATATAGTTGATATGATAGGAAATGATGAACAAGGTGAAATGAAGATTGGTGATTGTTTCACCATAGAACCACCTCTGGTACAAGGTTCAAGATCTAAGGGTACGTTATGGGATGATGGATGGACGATGAGTACAGAAGTATGTTATGATTTCCTTCTCCTCACTCATAATTATCTTTTCCTTTTCCACTTTACCTTTATTCGATGGTTGTTGATTCTTCCCTTGTCACATCGATTCATCGATCCATCGCTCCATCCTCCGTTCCTGAATAAATCCAACTTGTATCACGAATTTATTTGCCTATCGTTTCTTCCATCCTTCGTTTCTATCAGTTCACCGTTGAGATTTTGTCTATTCAGATGCCAAATTGAATCGCTATGAATGATAAATGGAACGCATACCCCAAGACACCGCTGATGCCAGACCGGAGCAAGATCAGCTCAATTCGAACATCAGATCTTGATCACTGATCGTGGGGCGGATGTCTTAACTCGATGATGATGCCTTCTATCTCATGATCATATGCCCAACTACCACACTCCCATATGACAATTACTGTATGTTCAACAAGTCGGAAATGGACAGACGTGATAGGTGTATGTATAGCTATCTATATAACATTATGTCACAGAACATGGTGCATGACGTCCGACTATTTTTTGTACAACAGGAATGTCCGACGTGAAATATTTATGCTATTGCAGACAGGCATGACAATGATTGACACATCTACGACTTCCTTCTCTGATCATATTTTACACATATAACCGAACGAGTCTTCCTCTTGACGTGAATGTATTTGGTCGAATAGTCGCTGAAAGCTGTAGAAACTCAGTAAAATCATTGATGGTTCAACAACTCTGGAATCACTCACTGATAAACTGTTCACTTCGCAGCTCTCGTCAGACTTTCCTGCATAGCTTGATTGAACTCGATCTCACTTTCCTATTCACATCAATTCACACAAGCTTTGTAAGTGAACACAATTCACCTCTTGAGTGCCAATTTGGGAACGTTCGTCCGTATTCCCATTCTCACTGGTTCCGCTCGTATTTGAACTGCGAGGTCTCCAATTTGGACGACTTCGGCCTAGCTGGATCCTGTTAGGTCCCAAGGGAGTCTCGTACATCAATCTCTTCACCCACATCTAAGGAGACAGGTAACCTACCTTTGGGCGACCAAGAGCAGCAGAGGGTGAATGACTCGTGCTGGCTCTTTCAAATTCTTCTCGAGTGGCATTTTGAATATCAGGACTCTGATTTCTCAGCTCTTCGTCTAGTGATCGTATCATGTCTTTGTCGTATCCATCTGATCTGACTGTCGAAGTTACGGGTGGAACGAAGTAGTAGATCATTATGGGTTATGGTTGATCATAGTGGCAGATAGGGAATGGGAAGACGATGAGAGTAAGAACTGACATTCTGCGGACCATATTGATGAGGTCTTCCATCAGCATGATAGACCCTCATCACCGGTCGATGAGGTACTCCAAATTTATATGGACGGATACGAGCACCTTCGACCAAACAGGGACGAGACGCGGGTCGTCGGAGACAACCCCAACAAGGACCGAGAATGGCTTCTTTTGTTGTAGGTTCAATCTGCCACGTTACGAATATTGTTTGAGTTCGTCGACATCGAGGCATGTGGGCATGTCTAGAGGTAAACAACTCTTCCTCTTCCTTTCTTTTTCTCTGCTTTCTTCTTCTTTTCGCTTCTCGGACCATCGAAACCACTTACGTACTTCTCATCCAAATGTGGAGAGCCAAATGGATTGTACGCTTGAGTGATCAGTAGGTAACTGTAAACCCTAGAGTATGATCGGACAGCTCAGATGAATGGATCGTTAAAGGGCGTAAGAAATAAACTCACTTGTACATAAAAGCAGGATATACAACTTCCTCAGGTTTAACTTTGTCCTTCCCATTGTTCAAATAAGGTAATTGAAGACAATGATTTTTAGGGTGGAGCGGTTGTTGAGGTTGAGGATAGAACTCCTCGAATCCGTACATTAAGGCATTTTGAGGCCAGTAACGTATGAGCGATTCAGAAGGATGACGGAAACCGTACCCTATACCAGGGAGGAAAAACGGACTATGGTCGGAGTTGTCTTCCCTATCACGAGGCCACATAGTCTCTTCGAGATCGGCGAGGGTAGGGCTGGGGAAGGGAAGTTGGAGAGGTTGTTGGGGCATTATTTATCGTTAGTGCAGTGAGATGGCGTGGATGAGAAACCTTCGTCAGTAGGTGGGATGGATGAGGAGAAGTTATGTAGGTGAGAGGACTTTTCCTGTCAGATGTAGGAAGACGTCAGATGTAAAAGAAGTAAGATAGTGTTGATAAAGACGAGAATGAGAACTACGAAGACGTGAGCTCGAGACATGGATGAAAAGAAGAAGAGAAGAAGAGAGAAGAAGAAGAAGTTGAAGGTGAAGGTGAGGTGAGGTGAGGTGAGGGTCCGTGCAGGGGTAAGTGAGTGGACCTCGGGTCTGGCCAATTTGATACGATACTGTCATGTACAGTCACTTGCTAGCCGATAACTAGATCTCTTTCCTTGCGTAGCATGATCAGCTAGTAGCGCACAGGCCTCCTCTTAGTGGGTTCGAGGCCGCAGGGATAAGGAGAAGAATGTACCAGTACATACCACCTCGCAAAGTGTGACCACCACTGTCTCTGATCAACCAATCCGTCCGTCCTGCTCTCTTCTTCCCATGGACATCCTTGACATAGAGGAAGAAGTCCACTTGATTTCAGCTAGTGGATGATAGGCATCAGTACTAAGTCGTATAGCTATACTCAGACGTAGATGGAGTCAACCCGAGAGTCGAGGAAAGAACCGAGAGTCATCACGTGATCTGATTTGACTCGGCACCGAATCTGACGCCGAGATGTCCGAGGTCCGCGTCGCAAGTGCCGAGCCTGGACCAAGGATTCGTAACCGTCTTGGGATCTTGGGTAGTGGGGTTCGGCTTTTGGCGGGGTCTAGTGTACTGTAGTCTTTCAGGAATCACTTCGTACGAGTACGAGTACTTCGGGAACAGAGAAGAAGAGAGGAGAGAGGAGATAGGGAGGGACGGCCGCGGGCGCCGGACTCGTCACTGTTTTTAGTGTGTCAATGACAACGTGTCACCATATCACCTGATCACCTGGCCACTTGGGAAGCTGGGCCCCCATCATCGGCCTCATCGGATGTGGTCGGATCCGTTGAAAGCGTATCTGCTGAGCCCGCGGATCACCGCATTCCCGAAGATCGAAGATCTAATCCAAGAGATTCTATAGTAGTACGAGTAGTGTTTTACTGGTCGGTGGTTTTGCATGATACTACTACTACACTTTTGTCAATGTCACAATGCATCCTTCAACTGACTCGAAAAGAAGCTTATGGAAGGATCAGTTTAACGACCAAGAAAACCAAGCTTTGTAAGCCAAGCACCAAGCCAAAGAACACCAATTACCGACTTGGGAGATCGGAGAATTGATTCCCTCAAAGCGGTCAACGATCACCGGAGACCGACGGGAACGAGTCAGTCTATCTTAGCGGTGGAGGTGGGCCGCGTGGTGACTTCGGCTCTGATCTATCACACTGGTAAATTGCAAGACTCGATTTCATGGCCGAGCAACTAACGATAGCGTCTCTCTTCGTCGGCCATCGGAACACCATCGGCTGACTGATACTTTGTTTCGCTTCCAGATGACAGGGTATAAGATAGCAGGTCTGACGCTCTCCCCTCCTCAAGCACTCAGTCGTTTACATAGAACTACTCAACTCACATATCAACAACTTACAATCTACACCTCGAGCTTACATACATACAACCTCGAACAATCTTGTTACAAACCCTTCCCACACTTGGTATCATCTTTTCATCATAGTGACACTCGAACACCTGCTTTTTGTTACTCGATACTTCCCTTGTCACCCACCACCTTTTGAGTGACAACCAAACACATCTTCTGTTACAAATCATATTTCTCACACCGAGCAACCGGCACTCGGATCATCCTCACACAAATCTCACATAACAAATTTCGAACATCTCCAATTTTTTTTATCTCTTTTCATCATGGCAGCCATCCAACGCCCAGCTACTCCTTATCCTCATTTCGCCGAAATAACCCACGCTTCCACTTCATCATACAGTCCTTCTCACTCCATAAACTTCCCAATGAAACCCGTTTACACCCCAACTCCCCCTTCCCTCCTCGCTCGAGCAGCTTCAGGCTCTTTACCACGTATTCGAGCACCTCATAGTCCCAACCCATCTAAAAGTCGAAAGATCGAATTACCTTCTTCTTACCCAAACAGACCTTCGTTCAGTCCTATAGGAAGACGTTCTACCAGTTCACAATCATCCATTTATTCATATACTTCTATCTCTGCTCGATCTTCCGTATCTTCACAATCATCCCAATCATCTCAGTACCACGAAACATCGGAAGTATCTGAAAAACCGTTACCACTCACACCGAAGATAACGAATGACATGGAGTATTCGGTTCCGGATGAAGCTTACCTACAACCCGCTTCGTATCCCTCTCGACCGACTTTCAAGAGACGCGATACGCCGAGACCTACGGCGAGAGCTGTGGAAACGATGCAGGAGAATGAGGATGGGAATGGGATGAGAACAGAGAGGAAGTCGACTTTGACTAGCGTGGTGGATGGTGGGAAATGGGTTATTTTGGGATGATTTGGGAATCAAGCTGGAAATGGATACAGTTAACGGAGGATAGTTGAGATGAAGGTGTCACGATAGTTTGGATGAGATTACGAGGGATCTGTATAGAATGATAATGTTGATATTACGCCATGTACACCACTACCATGCTCTATCACCACTACTGGGTCATGGCTAAAGTTACTGATGAATGCGTCCCGAAGCTTGGACAGTCTATGGCAGCCGAGAAGGATGCCACTTTTGAGCGGCGTTTCGGCAATACCTCTTCTCACTGATCACTGCAACACCGCATGCACGTCACCTGTCTCTCTTCTCCCTATAAGCAGCCTCAGCACTTATCACTCTACCTGATTATCCTCTCACAGCTACACCCTCTCAGCATAATGTCCGACGATCCCATGGCAGACTTCCTAGCAAGGGAAAAGGCCGCTCTCGGTGAGCGCTTCTCTTTCCTTCCTGGACTCATTACGCATAGACCGATGATGTATGGCAGACAAGTTGAGGAATGAGCTGATGGAAAGGCGACGATGCAGACCTATTCGCTTCTGGTTCAGCACCCTCTGCGCCGAGTGGAATCACCTCCTTTCCTGACTTGGGTGAGTTCCCAGCTGCTTGCCAGCTTGACCAGTTCCCCCCATTTGAGACTATCTTACCACGTCTCAGAAGCCATCCCGTCGTACCCTTTCCCTAATCTTGGATGAATGATCCGAAAGCTGTAAATGGGTCGTATACCAGCAGTCTGTGAGAATGATTATCTTCCAAGAGACATGAAGGTGGTATGGAAGTATTGAAAGAGACGCGAGGATGGAATGAACTTCGAAGGAACCGGAGACCATGCTCATGATAGCCTCCCCGACCGCTCCCACCCTTAATGCACCCTCTGTCCATACTCCATTGGGAATCGACGCTTTTCCTTCTCTCTCTTCACCCGGCGTGGGAAGTACAGTGAGGGTAACAGGTGTAGGGGGTACGGGTGAAGATACGGAGAGAGAGAAATTCGAGAGTGCTTTTCCTGATTTGACCGACGAGGTGCCTTTCGAAGCTGTGAGTGTTTCCTTCTGTCTCTGTGATGCTCGTTGGTACATTATCCTTACTGCTCTTCGCCTTTCCGCCCGTCTTGCACTGCGAGGGCCAGCTTCTGTGTCATTGTGCCGATCATGTGCAACGCCCTCTTCACTGGCATGCCTTCTGTCTCCCTTCACCTGAACGCGGACTAGGATCACGAGTGCCAGTCGTATAATGGACACCCCATGATTTGAAGAGCAAAAGAGAAAGACGTAGGAAAGAACACAGTACTCACTTTCAGCCTCCAAAACCCACGTTCAACGCTCTTTCCCCTCAACCCTACGGGGCTTCACCTTACCCCGCAGCCCCTAAACCTCGCTCAGCCCAATCCATCCTCCCCCCTCCGACATTCAACAACATCCTCCCTGATGCAGAGGAAGACACCGAACCCGTCAGAGCGTGGAGGACACGTCAGGCCGAGGAGATCAAACGGCGCGATGATGCGGATCAGAAGAAGAGGGATGAGATGGCTGGGAAGGCGGAGAAGGCTATCGATGCGTTTTATGAGGAGTATAACAAGGTGAAAGAGAGTGCTATCAGGGAAAACAAGTGAGTTGTGATGCCCTCCCAATTCGTTAACACCGTCCCTACTCTTGCCCCCCTCTTCTGCATCTGCTGTCCCACACCTGTCCTGTGACGTAGTCTCAGATTGACGACGGGTCCCAGAGGGATCTGCGTGGAAATGACTGCGTCAGCGCCTTCCGATCTGGAAGGGGACTTGCCCGAGTGTTACTACCCGAAGAGCGGTAGGGGCAACTCCGTGCCGTGGATTCAGTCTTGTGAGTATGGCTGACAGAGTAGGGAGAACGAAGCCGCCTTCCTGGAGAAACTCAACGAGGGCATTGCCAAAGGCACAGCTTGGGAACGTATCACGGATCTGATCGGATTGGAGAACTCTCAATCTAAAACCATCCGACCAAGTGTGCCTGGAGGATCAGATTTAGCTAGGATGAAGGAGATCCTGCTGGCTCTACGGAGAGAGGGTGACAAGGCGCCAGGTGCGTCTGGGTTCTAAGCGATGGAGGGGGGGCTATGCGGTCGTGATTGAGCCTCTCTCGGCGATCAGTAGGGTCTGACGGTAGAGTTGAGGGCTGGAGCACGGAGGAATGGGTCAGTGGACGAGAGGTGAGGAATGGAGTGATGGAGAGTAACACTTGGGGATACCTAGAGGTGTGTAGAATTCTCCAACAATTGGCATCTACCAAACGAGACGTCATGATATCATGTGTACATCACTGACTTTTGATCCAACCAAGACACTGACCTGTCTGATATTTCCTGACTTGGCTCGCTTGAGCAATCGTCAGATCCCTTTGATCAACTATACCACTTCTCGTATCCACTGTCTGATCAGCTAAAATCAAATTAGATCCGTAACTTTGGGAAGATGTGGGTACAGTACGAAAAGAAAAAAACCCACTTCATAACCTTGGCATGAAGTTTGACACCCTTACTCAACGCTTTTTCATATTCCTCTCTGACCGTTAAGAAAATATCCATGGTAGCTCGAGCATCTTCAACCTGGAAGTGAGCAGAAAGAACCGATGAAAAAATCATTCATGGTTGTACTGACAGGATCATGTTTTCCACTCTGTATCTTCCTATTCAAAACTTCCATCGTCATACGGACTAAAGATGGATAACGATATTGAGCGAAACCGTGAAGACGAAGAGGTTTATATAAAGCTGTATCTCTTACATCTTTCTTAGGATGGACGATCTCGATAGCCTATGAAGATCAATCTTTGACATTTTATCATCTTATCTCCTTAACGTCCCATATCCCCATTTCTGTTTTGATCTCTCGTCATCTCCCCTTTAGGTCAAATTTACAATACAACCCTTTTAATTCCAATAGTACTTCCGTGGAGAACAGTGAGGAGGATAGATATGTATGTGTGTAAAAACAGAGGTTAATAACTGTATTTGACTTACAGATAAATCGTTCCATACTGAATGTCCAACCAAAATCTTAGATTTCAATATCCTTTTCACCTCCTCTTGAACGTTTTCCAAAGAAGGAGCTAACAAGTCAATCAACAAAACATTCAACATTCTTCTTCCTATAGAGATGTTTGAGAAGCGTATGGTTGAGACTTACCATTATCAAGATCACCAGGAGCGATCCCACTTTCTATATCCTATCAATTCTTGAGATCAATTTAAAAGTTTATGAAAATCTCACTGGAAGTCCGCCAATCAACCACTTGATCAGTGGGAACGTGAACCAACGATTGATATAGGATTTTACCAGTATGATCCACTATGACCAAACTATCTAATAAGCCTACAGTACTCTTTGTGATGTGATTGGTTTACTAACCTGGCAAGAGCGGATACTTCACGGTTCGGATATTGAGGATCACGGATACCTACCATTTCACAATCTATCATCAGCCACAGATCTAACACGATGGATGAAGGGAATACCAAGAGCGAAGTAATTGTCCAAAGAGGGAAGAGACATCTTGATCCTGTTTCCTTAAAAACAGCAAGTCAACAATCTCAAGGACGTCAAGAAGGAGACAAGTGGAGACAGAACGATTGGTCAGCGTGCAAGTCCGTGTGATGCTCCGTGTGGTCAAAGAATCTGGGGAGAGATCAGCCAGGGGTCATCAAGACTTCCAATGGTGGGCGGAGAGGAGTGTGGGTGTAACATTTAGCACGTATCAGTAAGTCAGGGAATGATGTTATGGCATTCCCCGAGGACGAGGTAGTTCCAGGAATTTAAGACTTCCTGGATTCTCCGTGACCATACAAAATTCAGACAATAAATTCCGAATCAAATACGTCGAGTATCCCTTGGAAGACGCTGACTTACCACTTCGTGATCTGTCATCAGACCAGCAAGTGGAAAACGTAAAAACTTATGAATGTCAGCACATCATTTCCAAGTAGGAAGCGTGGATCGCACCACTCCTTTTGGAATAGTAAGTGAGTGTCTGGTTAGAAGGTTTAGAGATGGTGAGGTAAATGGAAGTGCCTGCACCCCGTATTACCGTAAGCGAGGGACAGTGCGTTCGGAATTACAAAGAAATGTGTTTCATTTTGTAAGTGATATAATATGTGGTCAACCCCGACTTGGGTTGTCGCCCGCTTGGTTGTCTGAGAGGTTGGAAGGAACGCCCTCTGTCGCTACGGCGTTACCTCTTAGCAATCCGAGAGCTCGAATCCTCTGATCATTCAGTCCACATCCTGGATAAGAAATGGAAGTACGAACTGGGAGTAAAAAGCAGACAAATTGCCATTAGACACGGACTTCTCATATGCCCTCCTGACGGCGAGGAAGATATCCATGGAAGCTTGAGCGTCTTCAACCTAGATGTCAACGAAGAATAGCCGGTATAAGCCTCGTACTTACCGGATCATGTACGCCGACTTGGATCGACCTGCCTAGGATATTCCTGGCAAGGTCACGTAGAGATCTGAGCTGACCATCGAAGAGGAAAGGTCGGTAGGTCGCTACATCACGTAAAATGGAGGCCGGAGCAGTGAACCCAAGAGCCTAAGATGAGCTCTTAATAGATTATACAGAAACGTGCAACAAATTCGAGCACAACGTAGGTACTCACATCCAGATCTTGGTTGACAGAATGCCCAACAATAATTTTGCCTCTAAGGATGTTGAAGACCTGACCTTGCACTTCAGTGAGAGAAGGAGCTATATGCGATCAATAGCAGCATACTTGCCACGAAGTTCACCACATACCATTATCGAGGTCTCCTGGATAGATACCAGTTACTTGTCTCGTCAGCCGGACAGTTTTGTAGGAGAGAAGGCGGAACTCACTGTAACTTCGCCAGTCCAGTACTTCGTGACGAGGAGCATGAATGTACGAGTGGAACAAAACACCTCCATAGTGATTCACTATGGCCACACTTCTCATTAGACACTCAAAGTAAAAAGCCTGTCAAACTCACCGGGCTGCCCTGGACATCTGACCGCCGAATCTGTCGGGATCGCGTACTCCTACCATCTCGCAATCTGTGATCAGTCAGTGATACTGTTGAGGGATAGGTATAGACCCACCAAGAGCGACGTATCGATTGATATCAGGTAAAGACATTTTGGAAGATATCTGATCAGCCCGTTACGATTCGAAGTAGGAGAAGAGAAGAATCAGCCTGAGAAGTCTGACTTATGAGATGTCAAGTAATTCCATTGCCCTTTCCTCATCCCTGGGACTGTGTCGGGCGTAAATTGATGATGCATGGAACAGGTGATGAATTGACAGGGTAGCGACTATCGACGATGCAGGGTATTTATTTTCCTTTTACTTCTTTTCACCAATACCATCTCTCATATGATCTTCCTGATCAGCTCGACGTATGCCGTCATGAAGCTGTAACTCACGCGGGAACTCCTGACCATATGTCCTCTCCAGCTAAGATACTTTTCTCACATTCCTCTCTGATGGTGAGGAATAAGTTCAAGGTCGTTCGAGCGTCTTCTATCTGTGTCATTAGTGTTTGTTTTTGACCTGCTTTCACCAAGATAGCACACTGCATGACAGCAAAAACGCGTCGGTAGGTTAAGTCTCGTAATCAGGGCAATTCGGACGCAAGGAGCCCTGTAGTCGCTTGAAAGGGCAGCAGTGACAGGAAATTGACACCTACCGGACAATGGACGTCCTGTTGGATTTCCACCCCGAGCACTTTTTGTGCCAATTTCTTAAGCGAGGGAAGAATACCTTCATTTTCCACTCCCATGAGTTTTCGAAAAGGTATGTACATGGAAGTATCTCTGGTGTCTTCATACGTATGTCGATGCTGTACCGCCTTTCAAGTCAGCTAGTCTGTCTGTTCTACCCTTTATTCCGACCTGATCCTGCACATGAAACGGTATCGATTTACGGACGAAAGGGCGGCCCACATAGTATAACGAGAGACACTCAGGGAAAAAAGATGTGTAAGACTAGCTAGAGACACATACCGCTAAATCGTTGAATAAGGCATGGCCGACAATGATCTTGTCCTGCACTATACCCTTCACCACGGTCCTAATTTTCCCGAAGGTGGGAGCTATCATCAGCCCATTGACTCTTCCTGAAGATTTAAAACTCACCTCCGTCCAGATCTCCAAGTTTGATGCCGCTTGCTTTTGGTCAACTTTTCGCTTACTCATACAGTCATTATACACATAGTAAGCAGAAGAGTGACAGATGGGTATCATAGGACGGTGATGAAGCAAGTGAAGAGGGCGCACTTTTAGTCCTCCAGTCAATGACATTCTGAGGGTGGACGAACACGTAGGAATCGAGTAATATCGAGCCCGTATGATCCACAATTCCAACTCTTTTTCTCAGCTCTCATATTTACCACGATTTGGCCAGCTGACTTTGCAAGCGCTTGTCCTCCTCTGACACCTACCATCTCGCAGTCTGACGTCAGTGAATCCGCCTACATGTCGCGGTGAACTAGTCTTTCAAGACGGACAAGCTGTCTATAATGACAACATCACCATCCGAGGTGGTTATCAGGCTCATAGCGTAGCCACTGCCCAGAATGAGAAGGTCTCCAATGAGGAATGAGGTGAGAAGTGATGAGAGTGAGAAAAGAAGAAGCAAGTCAGAAACTCACCCATCGCCACGTACCTGTCCAGAGGCGGTAAAGACATGGTTGATAGCACTTTCGCTAACCGCTAGGTTTACTTCATGTACTTGGGCTTATCACCATATATGATGTATCAGATATGGATTCGAAGGAGTCAGAAGTAGTGCAGTGCAAAGATGAAAGAGTAGAGTAGGAGAGAAACAGTCCGTTCGATCGCAAAGGTGGTTCGTGCCTGGAAATTCCATAGGTAGTCTTCGCCACGTGGGTAGGATGAATGACTGGGTGAATGACGCACTTGCTTTCCATAAAATACCCCACAAATCCACATCCCACCACCGTCAACAACCCATCTCTTCTACTTTTTCTCCTTTCCCTTCCTCCCCCTCTTCAGTCCTTGTTCACTCGATCTGAAACTAGTTTTGAAAATGGCTCCGAAAAGTGACGCACCGCCTTCATCTCGTCGGTCTGCTCGGTTGGCAGGTTCTGCTCCTGCACAACCTGAAGAAGGATCAAAGAAGGTGAGTTGTTTGTCCGAGTCACCCTCCACCGCTCATCTTCTACCGACACGTAAAATAAGCTGGTCAACTCTTTGACGCGTGAGACGAGCTCATGAAATAGAGAACAGCTGATCCAACTACCAAAGACGCTTCCGCAAAGAAACCCAAAACCACATCTACTAAATCGATCAACGGGAAAAACAAATCTGCCGAAGAAGAGAAAAAAGCTGAAGCTCCCAAATCTGCTAAATCGGATACCGGACCTAGAGGAGCGTTAAAGCAAGGAGATAAATTACCAAAGATGGTTCTGCAGGATAATACTGGTAGTGATGTGGAGGTTTCTAAACTTGCGGAGGAAGAGGGTGTGGTGATTTTCCTGTATCCCAAGGTGAGTGAGAGCGGCTTTTCCACCATTCGCTCCATTCATCTTTGCTGGGCGTTTTCACGTCACATTATTTCGATGAACTAATCTCTGCTTCTCACTCTGCACTTGTATTGCTCGAGAAAGACTGTTTGAAGCGTATCATTCCACCGTATCGTGACGATACGTTTCTAGGAGATATGAATCCTGTTGGAATTCAAAAGCTTTTGATTGTCGTGATCTCGTGCCAGCGGATGGGAGAATGACGGTACAAGAAATGAAGAGAAGGGCTACTGAGATGGACTGGGAAGAGGCAGGGAGATGATGAGGAAATCCTCATGATCAGGCGGACACACCAGGATGCACCACTCAAGCCTGCGGGTTTCGAGATAGTTTTGACGAAATCAACTCTTTGGGATATCAAGTATACGGATTATCGAAAGACAAACCAGAGGCTCAACAGAAGGTGAGTCATACATCCTCTAACATCTTCCTCCCTCTATCACCTGATGCATCGTCACTCCGATTTTCGTTAGTGAATCGCATCGGAGAGGGAAGAGAAGGGAACTCAAGAGTCTACAGACATGTGGCTGACGAGAAGTGGATCAAAAAGAAAGATCTCAACTTCAAATTACTATGCGACCCAGAAAGCAAGTTGATTAAGCGGTGAGTTTCCCCCTTTGGCATGCCAACCATCTTTTCCTGACGTTCCCTGGGGTGAGACGCTTGGCTCAGTGATGTCGTTGTTTCAAGGTATAGTCATCATCAGGGGACTGTAGAGCCTTAGTCTGGTCATGCCGTGACAGAGCATTTGTTGTCAGCGTTATGAGCGATGAACATGTTGCTGACTCGCAGACTGGGCGCTTTCGTACAACCAAACAAGTCAGTCATGGTGACCTGTATTTTAGACAGCTGACGAGTAGCACCAAACGCTCTCATTTTATCTTTGAGAAAGGGACGGGTAAATTGGCTGATATAGCCATTGGCGTCAAACCGGCGGACGAGTAGGTAGCCCTTCCATCTTCTTTCTCTCGACCGCCTACTCTTTCTATCTACTGGCAGCTGCCGTCCATAATGTGAGCTGACACTTAGCCCGGCGAATTGCCTGAAATTCATCAAGTCGCATCATGCTTGATATCGGGAAATCAAGGCTGGGAGCAGGGCTATCAAATGATTTGAATCAATGTATGGGTTGTGCAGGTGCATGATGTATAGCTGCTTTTGAGGTATCTTGTTATTGACCAAAATGGAATGCATGATGTGACACGAGTACGGAAATGCAACAAGGCTACAATGATTTTCATCGGATCGACTAAATATGAGGGGAAATAATTTATGAGCCTGACAATCAGCACATACTCCAACGAGCAAGGAAGACAGTGTGGATGGAACGAGAAGATCAGAAAAGATTTAAAGGTAGCGTGGAGTTTTCAGCATCGGATGTAACACCCTCAAGCCAAATGCACTCTGGTCATCAAGTGGAGGAGCGAGTGATAGCGAGCGACATGAAGAGTCAAACATGTCGTGATATTTAAGTGGCCATGGCGGAGCGAAAAAGGGCAAGAGTGACAGGTCATAACGAAATACATGCTCACCTACAAACTACAACAAATTCGATTTTGAAACCAAGCACGAAAGTTTAGAAAAGTGTAAAAAGAAAATTTCGCGTCGATCAGAAATCCCGCCCTCGCCCGCGACTCGTCCTCACTCTTCTTTCGAAAAGGTCAGATTCGTCGCCAGCTTCTTCGATAGACCCGTATTTCTTCACCTCAAAAGAAATGACAAAACACGGGTCCAAAGGCCTCTGTGAGAGAGCGGAGCGGGGGGTGATCATCACCTCGACGTGGAATTTGTCGCTAGTGTGGACTAGCAAAGACGAGACGATAACTATACAGAAATCCTGAAAGGTCAGCGATAGTTCTTCGCTTCCATACGTCTTCCCACCCGGCTTCGGTTTCCACGTCTGAATCTCTTGGCTGGACAATTATTCATCGGGTGAGCGAGAAGACAGATGAGACAGATTGTGAACAGAGTGATCGTGCAAGGAGGAGATGATAAGGGTGAGAGAAGAGGAAAAAAGAAGCTATCCCGCGCACCTGAAAAGTTGGTCTATCTGAAGAAGAAGAAAGACCCGGGGCGATGTTATAAACACCCCTGCGGCACTTCGGCGTTATGCAGATTTTCAATCGTGGTGATGTCGGCCATCACATATTCTTATCTCCGATTCAAACGCTACAGCGTTTTTACTACATTCGGTAAGCGCTTGGACTTGACAAGACGTTTCAGAGATCTTCATTTGCCTCCTCGTGCACCCGCAGATCGTTGGATCTAGGAATGGGACAAGCGGCTTTTTCTGCCGAGATCGACTTAGTCCCCCCTTGGTTCTCGACCTGAAGTACTGTATCTCGGCAGCTGTAAGATTGCAAACGAATTGTCACTCATTCCCAATGCTCTTAGAATTTTGAGTCTCGTCTATTCGTTCTTCAGTGAGTCACTCGAGCCATCCTACTTTCCAAGAGCTTCAAGATTCAACCCACAGAGTTGTCCAAGCACCCACCCACTCCCCCCACTTCCGCGCGGATCGTCAATCTTCGATAGGGTCCGGACTAGTCGACTTTTGAAACCCTCCCTAGTCCCACTCACATCCCAATTGCCGTCCTCGCTGATCAGCCCTGACCTACCTCCACCCGATCTTCTCCCGCTCTGCCTTCTTCTGTCTAGGCCTTCGATGACGTCTCTTTCCTATCTCTCAAATCTCAAGTCCGACGAGCGTGATAATACGCCGAAATCCGAGAAGGCAACGATCCTGCGTTGCAAATCTAGCACTACAAAGGACATCTCAATTCGCACTCGGCTTTCCGATAAGCAACACCTCCCCGAGGTACTATATCATACAGTCTGAAGGAGTGACTCTTGGAGTTATCTCACCAAAGTGTCTCATCTGAATCCTGCCCGGACCGTCTCAAAGAACAACATCAAGCATCATTCAGTAAAGCAAGAGAGACGACAACAGCGCTCATTCTTCCACTGACAGACATGTGGGGGGATGGTCCACTTTCCACCCAGCGGCAAGAGTCTTACATTCGTACCCCATTCGCTCCTGACAGTCCTCAACAAAGTGTGTCGAGCCGCTGCGTCTCGCCTAATTGTCCATCTGGAGGAGACGGACGATCAGTTGGGCCAGACGCTTCGTTCTGCCCTATTTGTTCGAATTCGAGGTCTGTCATGTCCCCTGGGCCCAGCCACTCAGGTTTAGCAGTCGAGGGAGGATGGAGTTCGGATCGGTCTCAAAATGTACACGGAGATGGACGATCAGAAATTGAATCTGGAACTACTGGTATCGAAGTTCATTCACAGTCCGGCTCTCCAACAAAACTGCATCGTATATCGCAGATTGTTATCCCACCGGCTTCTCCTTTAGACTTGGTAGCTTATGCTGCTAGCGTGACCAACGCTTCCAAAAGTTCTGCTGGACCAAAAGCCCCTCGTCCACTTCACAATCCATTGGTGACTTCTACTTCTACACAAACCTCGCCAAGCACTCCGAGCATGCCAAGAGACCCTTCTGCCGCATTGCGCATGGTCAATTGTCCACCTTGGCAACCTATCGTTCCAAACAGTGCGACTCCAGACCGATCGTCGTGAAACCTCTCTTTCAACTTCCAAATGACTGTCTCCTCCATGCTCATACTGACAGACTGATCTAAGAGGAAGACAATGGTGCGCGACTTACGTGCTACATGTTCCATGTATATGCTTTACATGCATCCCTGAGATATTAAAAACTCAACTATCTGTCCCATTTTACTGACATACATTCGATTGTTGAGCAGAGATTCGAAACTAATTTCCAAACTTCCGTCACCTTCGGTCCACTTAACCATGTCGCCTTCCCAACCTGTATAGTATACCAACCTCCGCTTCCACCTTTACCTCCACCTCCACCCTATCTCACACCGCCCTGTCTCGATGCGGAATCTTAGTTCCGTCCGTTTCGATTTCCGACCTTTCTGGGAAGGCGGGAACGTGGAAATGTGGGAACGTGAGAACGAGGAGGTGTGGGAACTGTGCAAAAGGTAAAGAACAGGTAGAAAGGGGAAGAGGAGGGAGGAGGGAAAAGGGGGGATAGTCCAGACGCCGATAGACCGTTCGAGCCCAAGCGTACGATCAAGTATTTCCAACACCGACGAACGTTTTGCAAAACTTACCGGATCGAGGATGTCGGAAGTACAAGGGAGTTGGAGCACCGTTTTTCACTTTAGTGAGTATATATATAACGCTGCCTGAGACTTTCCCTCTTCACAATCACGTTTGAACTTCAATCGCGATTTGTCCTAGCTAGATCGCCACGAGAACAACGATATGGCAAGTACGGAAGCTAATCCCATACGCAGCTTGGGTTTTGGCGATCCAGTAGTCTTTCCTCTCCGCGCCCTGGTATCTGATTTGCGTACCCGGATAGAAGACACCGATGCACCCTCCGAGGCTACTGACAACGGCAACCCAGAACCCCATTTCAAACCTGCCCCCCTCGGAGATAGGATGAGTCCGCCAACAGGAAATACCAACCCTACAATGGGGCCAGGATGGGAAGACCGGATCAATGCATGGCGCCAAGTTGCATCCCATCAGCTTAGTGATACTGCGTCCTCACGAAGTCCGGACGATCGCTCAGCCCTCGCTAGCCCGGTTGATGATGGAAGCTGGTCATCGGAATCTCCTGTTCCAGTAGTCAAGGTGGAGGACCCTGAATCTCATATGCCTGACGCACCTACATCAGCTGCCAAGACTGACATCGGTGATCCACTCGCTGATGAACAGGCCGTTGCTACCCTAGGATCTCCGGTTTCTGTCAAGCAAGAGGAGCAATCCCTCGCTGATGAACAGGCCGTTGCTACCCTAGGATCTCCGGTTTCTGTCAAGCATGAGGAGCAATCGGATGAGGATCTTCTACGAATCGTGTCTCCACAAGAATGAACCGCACGGACACAAGTACCAGCCCTGGATCCTATTGATGCCGTTCGAGGCTCCGAATCCATAGCGATCTCACCAGACACTACACAAATAAAGGAAGCAAATCGTTTTTATGCCTTCGCGACTCGGACTGGTACCCTTTTCCCAACATCTCATCTGCGGACCTGTTCAGATAAAGTGACATCGCGCTTTGCCATCACCCCCGCGAATTTCCATTACCTATTCATCAAACTCTCCCCTCTTGTTATCGACAATCTGATATCCGAGAAGGAAATACAGCAGCGTCCATCTTATTAAGAGTCAGACAATTCCGATTGCAATGTTCTACACAATTCCCCGGTCATGATTCCCCGGTATGGATCAGGCCTAGCCATTCCCGCAATATCAAACAAAATTATTCGTTGCTACACCGGGATATGGAGACGATGAGAACGACATTGTACAATTTTTCAAGTAGTACCACCCCCGCGCTAATTTGAAGATGGTCGAACGAAAAAGCGCTCCGTGGTTGCAAGATTGATCGTCACGGGGATGTATTTATGCTTGGACCATATTCGTACCAATCGGTTGCGAGGTGGAGACCAGAGAATATTGGTGATTGAGCTAATGGTGTTCAAATATGTACGACACTCTCACCTCTACTGCAATTCCGGTGACGGGGTTAGATTCAACAAATCTTGGATATGCCGATGTTTTCGTGATTGAAGTCTCCCGCCCCGATGATTGGATCTGTGGGCCTCATTACTTAGGCATATCTACTCTTCTTCATTCACATATTACTTCGCCATCATCATGTCCGTATCAGTCTTGTAGACAGAGATGATGTATAGTCTGTCTACTGAAACCTACAGTATGCCATCCGAAACACCCCAACCCATTCGATGTCCTTGACAGCGACCCTCTTTCTTCACCGTTCCAGCACACTCTCTGCGGAGTCCAGGTATCGAAATCGACTCTGCGTAATTGCTGCATGCTGCAGGGATAAGTTCGGGATTTGTTCATCCATGACTCACGGTCTAACGGTCCAGGCCTCATGGTTCACGTTACAACAGGGCGATGCTCCATGGTCCAAGTCGTAGACCCTGTGGGAATCAATCACGTCGCCAATTTGACGATACACGTATGTTCTCTTCTCTTCTCCTTTCTTTTCCCTTTCCTCCCTCTTTCCATGCATCTCCTCTTATCTCCTGTTCCATCTTCCTTGACTTACTTTCCAGATATATCATCATGCTTTTTTTTTCTTCAACCACTGACCAACAGTCTGGACTTACACCGCCCACTATCTCGTGTCTGGACTTTCGATGACGTATCAACGGATCGAAACCCATTAGACCGCCGAGTCGACAGTCGACGTTCTGGACTATGACACTGCTGGAACTATGACTTACAGGATTAGCAAAGGACAAGGAAGATGAAACACCGCTTCCAGATTAGCCAGAGCTTGGGAATTAGGATATAAGGTGAATTGATCTTTCTCCAACTTCACCATTGACACTTGGAATTTCAACTCTCTTACTTGATTGATACAATATGGCCGACCTACTGTCCAGCTCCCCAAGCATTGAGGCTGTCTCGCCATCGTGCCTAAAAGCTCACACGCCAGATACAATTAACATCCTTCCATGACCACCTACTGCGTAGTGACCGCCACCGCATTCACACATCCCCAGTATCCAATCGAACACTGCAGCGCTTGTGACTATCGCTGTAAGTCCAACATCACGTCAAACCCAACAAGAAGAATAAACCATAACGAATGTACTTGTTCGACGTGTCCGAACGCACTACGCAACCGTGATACATGGACTCGGAAGTCCGTTGAAGGATCATGATCTCTGAAACCACCTCACAAACCCGAGGAAGCCGGTGGTGCCGGGCCTGGTGAACTTTCGGGAGACCACACTCTAAGGGACACGAAAGAAGGCAACACCTCTGGATCCTCCCCAAAACAGGAGAAAGACGTTGCGACAAGTTCGGAACTGGTCACCTAAATTGCTCGAGGCCGGACAATATTAATGTGAGACTCCAATTCACTGCCTCAAATCCAGAACGCAGGCTAAGATTGGAAAGCGTCTTTGTACCAGACGACTGACATGATATATAAAACATATCCTTTTCTCTACCACCCACTAAACGAACCACGACTATGAATGATCTTTTGACCCTAGTTGACCCCTGATTTCTACTGATCCAGCAATGCCACTAACTGTCGTTGACCATTCTATGACGCCGTCTGGTTGTAAGAAATTATTGTCCTTTCGTCTATTCCCCCACTAAGTGAACCAATCAACCAGATCCGAATAATCTTCAACCTTTCTCTCTCCCTTCAGTCCGCAGTAAATGAACTCAAACACAAACTCCTCTATCCAAAACAAAGGATACCCACCTCCTCCACGGCGGTGTCGCAACTTTTCCCAATCACTCCGATGCCTATCCGTTACTTACTTCTCACCTCTATATCTCTATTTCTTACAACGTGAATCTAATACAGAAACAAAATGGACTTAACCTCTAGCTCAAGAGTCACAACACCTCCACCTCGCACCCTTCTCTTCGAAACAGATGATCGGGACTCAGGGCATATACCCCTGGCTCCTACGCCCGTGGATCCTGTATCCTCTTCTCGCCGCCGACAAAACACCTGGCACGGCGACTCACCTCTTCCTGGCTCTCTTATTCCGAGGGCGGACCCAATGGATGATTCAGTCTCACATTTAATCATGGCCAGCTTATCACCACCTGTGCCCAGCTTATCGCCGTTACAGCTTAGCCCTCGGCCCCTACGTCGCCGCTCGTCATCATTACCACCCAGCTTACCCGAGACCGGGCCTGTGGAACTGTTTCCTCCCGAGAGGAATATTTCGAAATGGAAGCTTGACAATAGCCAATCGGAAACAGGTAGTGTCAAGTAAAAAAGCGGAGATGAGGACAATGACGGAGGCAAAGAAGAAGAAGAAGAAGGAGGAGGAGGAGGAGGAGGACAAGAAGAAGAAGAAGAAGGGGAAGGGACAGAAGGAGAGGAAGAAAGAGAAGGGCCACAAAGCCAACCACCATGCACTCTTGGCTCACCTTTTGAGCTTCAATCCCTGGCCTTTCATCAGCGCTCATCCTCTGAACCCTCTCCCATCTTACAACCCGACATTACACCTAACACATTACCCCACACATTGCCCCACACGTTACCCAAGTCGTCACAAAACACATCATCCAACTCGTCACCCAACTCATCACCTAGCTCATCACCCAACTCATCACCCAACCCATCGCTCAGCCCATCGCTCAGCCCATCGCTCAACTCATCACCCGGCTTACCACCCGACTCACCACCCGACTCACCACCCGGCTCACCACCCGGCTCACCACCCGGCTCACCACCCGGCTCACCACCCGGCTCACCACCCAGCCAGCTCCAGGCGCAATCAGACCAACACCAAGGTTCAACATCTCCTGAACTGTCTCCTGCACATTCTCTTGATACCCTCCATGAGTTTCCCCAGCTGTCTGTTTGGTCAACAGACATACACTCAACACCCTCACCTCACCCTGTTCACCAGAGTGGACTGACCGACTCTGTGACACCTCACTCATCACCATCTTTAGGATGGGACAGTATACCTGCTGGACCTATAGAGCCTTCACCGGATTCGGTCTTTCTCCAATTATCCGAACATCAAAATAACGATGAAAAGGGAAATGAACCTCCGTTTGAGTTCCCCCCAGATGAGTCTCCTCCATTCAATCGAACGACGACCTTACCGTTGCGGGTACCGACCCCATTAGGTTATTATGGAACTGGAAGTCCATACGGAGCTTCAACTCTGCAGGAATAGTATGTGTGTATAGTTCGTATACCAAAAAGCGATTCGATCTGAAATGTATACATTGTTTCAATCTATCCCTTTACAGCCTTGATAAACGCCCTCACTCTCTGTTCATCCTTTCCTTCTCCCAATTCCACCCCTGAACTGACATCAACAGCCAAAACATTTCCTGCCTGTCTTAAAGCCTCTTCGACATTATCCGATGTTAATCCACCTGCTAAAATGACCGGTAATTTTCCTTCTTTTCCCATTCCTACTTCTCCTCTACCAATTAAATCTCTAGCATGATCCCAAGGGAAAGTCTTTCCTTCTCCATTCCCAGCGTCGAAAAGAATATAATCGTTCTCCCCTGGTCTATCCACTTGTCCTCCAGCCACTTCACCATTGGCGGATATATGAAAGGCTTTTATGACTGGGACAGGGATGAATTTTGACCATCCTTGTGGCTCTGATCCATGTAATTGAACGATATCCAAACCAATTTCTTCTACCGTTTCTAGGATTACTTCGAGTGGTTGATCTTTGAACACACCGACGAGTAAAGGTTTCCGACGTGATTGGAGATATCGAGCTTTGGTAGAGAACCAAGTTTCCGGTGATGAAGGAGATGTAAGGGAGATACGTTGTTGTTTTGATGATATGGAATGAACGTAGTTGGATATATCACGTGCAATGGATAAAGAGATGGTTCGTTTGTATCCCGAAGCAAGGATGATACCTATCATATCTGCTCCTGCTTCCACTGCCATTTGAGCGTCTGAAAGGGTACGTATACCGCATATTTTGACCAGAGGTTTATATGTTGTTTTCGATTGAAGAGGAGGAAGACCGACTAAGTCTCTCAAAAACGTTTGTGGGTTTTCCGCACGCATTAAAGATTCACCGACTAGAACAGCTCGAACACCTTCTTGTACGTATTTCTCAACATCGTTCCGACTTGATATCCCACTCAAAGCACATAAAACCACCTGTCTCCCCTCCAAAGCAGCATTGACTCTTGAAGTAGTTTCCATGTCAACGTTGAAATCATGAAGATTTCGATTATTCACACCGATGACTTTTGCGCCTATCCCCAAAGCTATCGAAAGTTCTGAAGGATTGTTGACTTCTACTAATGGTTCCATACCGAGTGAAACGGAATAGTCGTAGAGTTCTTTCAAGAGGGTAGGATCAAGCATAGCGACAATGAGAAGTACTGTGTCCGCTCCGTGTAAACGAGCTTCGTCTATCATATATGTCGAAAGTATGAAATCTTTTCGTAATACAGCTGGACGGTTTGGGAGAGAATCGATAGCTCTTCTAACGTCGAGCATATCGATGAGAGAACCTTTGAACCATTTAGGTTCGGTAAGGACGGAAATGACTGATGCGCCTACCAAAGCGTATTTGAGAGCTTGAGCAGGAGCCGAGGTATTTGGGGCTATATCACCTTTTGATGGAGAAGCACGTTTGATTTCGGCCATGACTGCGGTATGTGGAGTCGATGTGATCCGATTTAAGAAGTTTATCAGAGGTGGAGCTGTATGAAGAGCTAATGATGTGGAAAGTATTGATTGAGTAGAATGAGGAAGAGAAGAAGAAGATTGAATATCTAAAAGACGTTGAGATTTGATTTGATTCAATATTGTCGGAATTGATGGACCACCATTGATCAAACCATTGTTATGTCCATTGAGAGATTTTTCGAAATTAGAAGGATCGTTTAATTCGATTTCATTTTCCATCGATACTCCACACCAAACATTTTCTTCACCCCAATAACCCCCTTTCATCTTTATGAAATTAGACATTAATCCACGTCCACCTTCACTCATACAACTTTCAGGGTGATATTGTACAGCTTCCACACATAATGATCGATGTCGAACAGCCATGATAACACCGGATTCTTGTGTCGTAGCGGACACTTGGAGTTCTTTCGGTAACGATAATAAATGAGCTGAGAGAGAATGATATCGAGTTGAAGAAAGTAAAGGAGGAAGATCTTTGAATATTCCAAGACCATCATGATCAACTAAAGACGTTTTACCATGTTTGATTTCCCCAGCGTAAGTTATCTAAAGAAAATATGTCAGCTCTTTTTTTTTTCCTATTGTGAGTGGAGAAAAGAGAAACGACTCACTTCACCTCCCATGACATCTACTAGACATTCTAATCCCATACAAACACCTAAAATGGGTACTTTTCCCATTCCCCATTGTATGACATCTCTACTGATTCCAGAGTCTGTGCGGGGATGTCCAGGACCGGGTGAGATGACTATTCTATCCAGATCACCAGCCTTGTACATTGTCTGATATCAGCCTAAGCTTTCTCCCCAAAAACACTGATGCCATAACAACATGACGATGGAGGAGCAAAGTCAGGAGGGGAGAGAAGACTCACTTCAATATCTTGAATGGTGATCTTGTCATTCCGCCTGACCAAAGGATTACCTCCCAAAGTCGCAATGTCGGCGTATATGTTCCAAGTGAAGGAATCGTAGTTATCAATCACTAAAGTGTATCCCATTTTATTTTAAATCGTCTTAGCTTGTACTATTCCAAATGTCAAAATCTTGATTTTACGCTGGTACGCTGGGGATTTTACTTGTGAAAAAGAACGTTAGATGGTAAAAAAAAGCGTTAGATGGTTTGGCCATAGTAGGGGAAAACGGACTTTCTTGACTCGGCTTGTATTACGTAATACTCTGTCTGGGACCACGGACATTCCACAAACTCCATCTTGCTGCTTAACTTACCGCTTGACGTGAATACTTTCCTTTCGACTTTGATACACCCGGTTGGAATCACTGAGCAGTGGTCCTGAACAAATATCAAGCATGGAAAAGTTCTCAAAGTGGAGAGTGAGTAAATTGGACCCTTAATAATGTGATGAACAATACAAGTAGCTGACAGACAGGATCCAGCTACAGGAATCCAACCTTTCCTCCCTCCCGTCGCTCCTAACAAAGTCAATCCGGTTTTCAAGATCCTTCTCTATCCATCATGTGTATTCCATTCCCTGGTCCGGGGTATATTACTAGGAATAGTCGCGATTCTCCATATCTTACTAGTGAACATCATATGTTTCCCTTTCGTAAGTCCGCTTTCCCTTTCTTCTCATATTTCTGCAACCCTACATTCACCTATTTCACTTCTTTATAAATCTTCTCTTCGCCTGTATATTCGTATACATATTTGTCATAGTTCCAAGTCGGATCAATCACAATATCTGACTGTTTAGATCCTCATACCTCAACTTCATTATCTCCTTTCAACCATATTCACAACCATCACCACCCGCCTATCTCTTTTCTTAATGGGTTATTGGTCGATCCCATTAGACATCATAACTCCCAAACGTACCAAAACCTCTTCAGTATCTCAATCTCTTCGTTCACCTCTTAAAGGAGATTTAATAATATCAAACTGGACATCCTATGTCGATATCATTTACCTAACTTATAAATTCAATCCAACATTTCTTCTACCCATTTTCTCACCTTCTCCACCTCCTAAATCGGCATTAACAGGTAAACACACAGGTACAGGTTCAGCTCAATTAATCTCAAAACTTCCTCAACCTTCATTATTAGGTTATATTCCTTTATCTTTATTCTCACTTTTATTTCAAACTGGTTCATTACCCACTATCCACAGTACGACTCCAAAAGGAATGTATAAATCATTACAAGATGCAAGAAAAAAATGTTTAGGTCCGATTGTACTTTTACCAGAATGTACAACTTCAAACGGTCGTGCTTTACTTCGATTTCCAGAAGGTTTATTATCACAAGAAGATATAGGAGATAAAGGTTTAACTTGGATTATTTATTTACGTCATTCTTCTCCTACACCTTTTGCACCTTCTGCTACTTGTCCTTTACCTCAACCTTTCAGACATTTATTCGGATCGTTATTGTTTACTCCAACACCTATGCCACAGAGAAGTTTAGGTGTTAGGATGTTACATCCTTCTGCTTCACCTAGCAGTCCGAGTTTTTTACCTAGTGAGATATTGGCTGATCATCCGGGTGGATTGGAAGGTTTGGGAAAGAATGGGGAAGGGGTTTGGAGGGAAGCGGTCAGTGTGGTTTTGGCTGAGACTGGGAAAGTGAGGAGGGTAAAGGGAATGGGTTGGGTCGAAAAGGAAGGTTTTTTGGAGTATTGGAATACTAAAAGACGATGAATATGTAGAACCGTACGTAGATGCTTCCACGACCACATGAAGATCATCATTGATCATTGACCCATCGGCTTCTGCCTTAGTTCGGTTGCTGATACTCGATTCAGCAGCCATTTTCATGTCACCACACACAGCATCACACTCGACTATTTTACTCTTAGATATGCATTGAATCATGAAATCTTGAACAGATCTAGACGATCATACAGAAATCTTTCCCTCCATACATCATAAACCCCGACCGGCCACTGGCCGTCAAAGCCGATGCTAGAGATGTTGTCCTGCCAATTGACGTTCCAAAGCGGAATTGGGATGCTCGTCCATATCCGTCCCAGAGTTGAAATCCGCCGAGAAAGCAGGTCCCACACCTGCTCCTTGGGCCTGTGGAGGAGGAGGGGCAGGGGGAAGTTCATGTCTGTTTGTCAGCCGTGTGATTCGGAGACCCAGTTCCCAGCTGGTCACGCCATCTCAACTCGTCCACCGATCGAAAGTAATCACAGGTGAGTGGGATTGAGCTTACGCGTTCCGAGGAGGAAGAGGGACTTCCTGTTGTCGCACTAAACTCCGGAAGCTTCGTACCTATTTGGTTAGCGACCGTCAAAGAGAGATCCAAAAACGACTTTACCTCCTCTACGATCAAATTCCGCATGCCCTGCGTTGAGTCTTCCTTTTCAAAGCTAAAGTCGAAGGACTACCATTAGTTTTGAGGATGCACCTGAAATGGAAACTCACCACTTCACACGCTGGCTCGTCCGCCGGATCATGCCATACTGCCAGATAAGGATGTTCGAGGGCTTCTTGACATCCGATCCTCTTTGCAGGGTCGAAAGCCAACAATTTCTGTAAGAGGTCGAGAGCGAGAGGAGAGGCGTTGGGGTAGAGGGTTTTGAAATGAACTCGGGGTTTGATAGGTAAAGATCGGATGTAGCTGCGCGGTTAGCCGAAGCAACCAAAGATATTTCTCCTGTACGGGATCGGAGGAAAGAGTAACAAGCAGTGACAATGCACTTACTCTTGAGCCCGCGGGCTACCAACACGTCGCAGGGTATCCTCTGTGGGTGTACCGAGGAAGTTGAGGATTTTGTTCAGTTGATCAACATAATCTTCTCCTTTGAATATCGGCTTTCCTCCCAATAGCTCAGCGAGGATACATCCAACAGACCACATGTCGACTGAAACGTCAGTCATGCCACTTACTCACCCTCTGACTTACTGCTAGATGTCTGCAAGTCAGTACATACCTGGAGACGAAGAGTGAGCTCACGTAGTTCGCAAAGCTGAGCATGATTTCCGGCGCTCGATACCATCTCGTGGCGACGTCTTTCCGTGTCAGCGTTGTGCAATCACGTATCTAAAGCTCACATTCCGTCATGAACCCGGCTTGTCCCTGTTCCGTCTGCACAGCACCAGGCTGGAAACCTCTCGCCAAACCAAAATCGCATATCTTCAACTCGCAATCGGCATTCACCAACAAATTCCCCGGCTTCAGATCTCGATGGAGCACATTGGCCGAATGTATGTATTTGAGTCCGCAAAGGGTTTGATACAAGAATGACTGAAAGTGGGCGTCAGAAAGTGGCTGACCGGACCGAATCTACCGTTCATCAGCGTTTGGTAATGACCGAAAGGACCCCCCAGAAGGGGAGAGTGTTGAACGAGGACTGACAATGGCGTGCAGGTCAGCCTCCATGAGTTCTTCGTAAAGATAGACCTCTGAGAAGAGTCCAGAGCCAGGAGGATCAAAGACGATATCCATATCGTACAGACAAGTGATCTGAGGGTTAGTGAAGTATGGAGGTGAAGAATTAACATGACTGACGTTCTTGTGACCCCGGAAATGGTGTAGTAGTCGTAATTCCCGCAAGCACCGTTTAGTAAGGATCTGAGAGGTCAGCTAAGTCTGAGGATAAGCGTCTTGTAGATGACCTTCTTGGTGAATACGTTGGTGACCTTCTTGACGGCACATGTTTCACCAGTGTGCGCATTCCGGGCAGAAGAGACACATCTGGTGATCAGCAACATGTATCGAGCTGCCAGAAGGTTGACAGTGAGATATTTGGGAAGAGGAAGATCTAACTCACCCATAAGCTCCCTGACCGAGCTCTTTGACAAACTGCCAAGGCTGCTGTAGGATACTGTGAGGGCATCAGCAATCGTTGATGGCATCGTCAGAGAGAACAAAGGAATGCGTGTGGAATGACTGACTAAACGTTGTTCGCCGTTTGATACAGCTGACGAGGAGTGTCGTCCATGTCTATCTGGGTGATGATATTCAGAAGAGATAGCTCGCTTTGAACCTGCCTGAGGTTTGAAAGAAGAGACGGTCGTGAGGAGGAAGAGAAGCAACGTTAGTAGTAGAGAAGAGTTGGAGGTCTGTGCGGCTATGCATAGCGGTGCGATCGAGCGGACCACGTGGGAATCGCGCCCTAATGTCACGTGACTAGGCCGCCGACATTACGTAACGGTCGCTTGGCCTCTTCCCAACTTTCTGTCCAAAACTCCATCTTACTCGAGTCTGCAATCATCAAAATGGCCCCTCCACCTTCAGCAGCTGGCCCTTCAAAGCCAATCGCCCGCAGACCAGCTTCAGGCTCCACCAAGGCGACCGCTGCTCCCGTCAAGAAGCCACCAGCATCAGGGACCGCAGCTCGGACGGCTGTCAAAACCAATCCCTCGGCTGAGAGATCTTCGTCCACCACAACTCGACCTTTACCCATCACGTCAGACGTAAAGCCCGTCATCAGTAATGATACTGGAGAGGAGGAATGGGCAGACTTGATGCTTCAGTCTTACGGCGCTGGAAAAGGTGCGCAGTATTACGCCAAGGGGATTAAAACAGTTGAAGTCCGTCATCTAGTGGAACACATAATGCTCGATGTGCTGACATTCAGGACAAATGGCAACTTTTACCCGCCTTTCTTCAGGTTAAAGGTTTGGTAAAACAGCATCTCGATTCTTTCAATTACTTTGTCAATGTCGACATCAAAGCAATCCTCGCCGCAAATTCAATCGTAACTTCTGATGTCAACCCCCATTTTTTCATCCGTTATACCGACATCCGTATCGGACGACCGATGCGTAAAGATCAACATCACCAAGACAGTATAGTCACTCCTATGGAATGTCGTCTACGAGATATATCATATGCCGCTGAAATCCGGGTGGACATCGAATACACCTATGAGGACAAATTGAAGAAACAGAAGGGAATTCTTATCGGCAAACTACCCGTCATGTTAAGGTCGGATTTATGTCACTTGAAAGGGAAGAGCGAACGTGAATTGGCCCGTATGGGCGAATGTCCGAAAGACCCAGGGGGGTATTTTGTGGTCAAGGGGACGGAGAAGGTCATCTTGGTACAAGAGCAATTAAGCAAGAATAGGATTATCGTCATGCGTGATCCTAAAGATGGAGCGGTCATTGCTGAATGTACATCTTCGACTCACGATCGAGTTGTGAAAACATACGTCATCACCAAAAACAAAAGACTATATCTGCGACACAATTCTTTCAAGGAGTTGATACCCATCGTAGTGGCTATGAAAGCCATGGGAGTGACGGCGGACAAAGAGATTATCCAATTGATCTGTGGCTCGGATGAGAGGTATCAGGAGGCTTTCGGTCCATCGTTGGAGGAAGCTTCAAGGTGAGAATGATACCATTCACTTCGTCATGTATTCTCCTTGCAATTAGAAACGATGCTTACGTGCAGGCTCAAAGTCTACACTGCCAAACAGTGTGCTGAATGGATCGGACTTCGCGTGTCACCAGGGCAAGAGAAAGAAGATCGTGGTCAGAAGCTTGCCCCGTCAGAAGTGGCTATGCAAGCTCTTGCCGCCATGGTCCTGGGTCATGTCTTGGTACGGAACATGTTCTTCCGTCCGAAGTGCATTTACCTCGCTACCATGGCACGCCGAGTACTTATGGCCTCCATCGACGAGAAGATGGTGGATGATAGGGATTACGTGGGTAATAAGCGTCTCGAACTGTACGTCATTACGTTCTGCCCCTAACGCATCGCTGACTGAATAGCGCCGGTCAACTCTTATCCCTCTTATTCGAAGATTCTTTCAAGACCTACAATTCTGATCTCCGAAGACGTATGGACAAGATCTTGGAGAAACCAAATCGCGCTACGCCCTTGGACGCTTCCAACATTCTGGCGCAGAATGGCGACTCGATCACTTCCGCTTTTGTCCGTTCCATTTCCACTGGTAATTGGTCCTTGAAACGTTTCCACGTCGAACGTGCCGGTGTCACTCATGTTCTTTCTCGCTTATCTTTCATCGCAGCTTTAGGAATGATGACACGAATCTCGTCTCAATTCGAAAAAACTCGTAAAGTTTCCGGTCCCCGTGCATTGCAACCATCTCAATGGGGCGTTTTGTGTCCCTCCGACACTCCAGAAGGCGAGGCTTGTGGTTTGGTAAAAAACCTAGCACTCATGACGCATATCACCACAGACGTACCTGAAGGTCCATTGGTAGACTACGCGTTCACATACGGAGCTCAGGACATTAACACTTTCACCGGCGTTGGAATGTACGGTCGAGGTGTATATCTCATACAAATCAACGGTAGTCTTATTGGACTTACGAATCATCCGAAAAAGTTCGTTCAAACATGGAGAAAATTACGACGAGCTGCGAGATTTTCCGAATTCGTCAGTATCTACATGAATCATCATCACAAAATCATATACATCGCTTCTGATGGAGGTAGAATTTGTCGACCTATGATCATCGTTGAGAATGGTCGTCCACGAGTGACCTCGGAACATATCCGTTTGTTGAAGGAGGGTAAGGTAACATTTGACCATTTCCTTCGATCTGGTTTGGTTGAATATCTCGATGTAAATGAAGAAAACGATTCTCTCATCGCTTGTTATGAACATGAAATAGAAGAAGGAACGACTCATCTCGAGATTGAACCTTTCACGATTCTCGGTGCTGTAGCTGGTCTTATACCTTACCCTCATCATAATCAATCTCCTCGAAATACCTATCAATGTGCTATGGGTAAACAAGCTATCGGAGCTATAGGATATAATCAACTGAACAGGATCGATACTCTCTTATACCTTATGACATATCCTCAACAACCAATGGTAAAGACGAAAACCATAGAATTGATCGAATACGATAAACTCCCAGCTGGTCAAAATGCCACTGTGGCCGTCATGTCTTTCTCGGGATACGATATAGAAGATGCCTTAATTCTCAATAAAGCTTCTGTGGACAGAGGATTCGGTCGTTGTCATGTTTTGAAAAAACAAACTATACCAATGCGACATTTTCAAAATGGTACTTCGGAAAGAACGGCTTATCCTTCTGATCCTCTTAGACCCGAAGCATATGCCAGTGTGGATAAAGCGGATGGTGTGACTTCACCTGGTTCGACAGTTTATCAAGGAGATGTGTTGGTACATAGAGAAACACCTATTGATACAAGAGGTCCAATGACTCAAGCGGCAGTATTTAAAGCGACTCCCATAACTCACAAAACTCCGGAACCTGTACAAATTGATAAAGTCATGTTGACTGAGGGAGAGGATAGTCCGTTGCTCAAGATTTTAACAAGACAAACCAGACAGCCGGAGTTGGGTGATAAGTTTAGTTCGAGACATGGTCAAAAGGGTGTTTGTGGGTTGATTGTACCTCAAACGGATATGCCTTTCAATGATCAAGGAATATGTCCGGATATTATTATGAACCCACATGGGTTTCCTTCGCGTATGTGAGTGTGGTGTCTCAACCCCAATCGACCTTGATGTCATCCCATCCCAGCGGCTCAACCTCACCTCCCCTCACCCTATCGTTATTCTCCTACTCCTTGAAGGGTGCATTCTCTTAGTAGAGTCCCAAGGTTATCAGGAGAAAGAGGTGTAATGTCATCGTTGGTGTGGTTCCGTAAATCTGGCCTAGATAGCGTGCGAATGTATATGGAGAAGATGACGGGTCGTTGCTGACTATCAGGACAGTAGGGAAAATGATCGAACTACTAGCTGGAAAAGCAGGAGTTTTAGCCGGTCAATTGCAATATGGCACCGCATTCGGAGGGTCTAAAGTGGAAGACATGTCTAGAATCTTGATTGAAAATGGGTTTTCCTACGCTGGGAAAGACATGTTGACCAGTGGAATAACTGGTGAGCCATTAGAGGCGTATGTCTACTTTGGGCCAATTTATTACCAAAAGCTCAAGGTGGGTCAAGTTCTCCTCTAGCATCTCTATCGTCTACACACTACTATCAATTGGCCAATGACAACTCCCCCATATGAGAGATTATGATGTTGAAAAAAGGGTAGAAAGCTTGTTCGACAGAGATACAGTCGGAAGTGATTGTTTTATGGCGAGGAAAGATACTGATGAATAGCACATGGTCATGGATAAAATGCATGCTAGACCTACTGGTCCAAGAGCTAATTTGACACGTCAACCGACGGAAGGTAGATCTAAAGATGGTGGTCTTCGATTAGGTGAAATGGAACGTGATTGGTGAGTATTTCCCATCCCTCCTCGTTCTAGCTTCATCTCTTCCTCCTTTCCGCCAAAGTCTCGTTCATGAGGATATTTTTTCCTAGTAACAACTTGTTGTTTCTCTCTGAATCCTACTGTGAAAACGTCCAGTACATGTTGATCCTCTGCGGACACATCTAGTAAATAAAGTATGAGAAAAAACAGAAAATGGAGCTTCCAAAGCTGACGACCAGTCTTATAGGGTACGGCGCAACACAATTATTACTTGAACGTCTCATGATCTCTTCGGACGCTTTCGAAACTCAAGTATGTGAGACATGTGGTTTGTTAGGATACAACCAATGGTGTCCTAAGTGTAAAACAGGTAAAGGTATAGTGAAGATTACTTTACCATATGCTGCCAAGTTGCTCATTCAGGAGGTAAGTCATCGTATATCCCTAATTACTTATCATATGTTCTTATCTCTCTTTCATCCTCCATTTTGACTTTCTTCCATTGATCTCTCCCGCATGTCTTGAAATATTACGGATCTCGGACTTGATATTCCCCGTATGTCTTGGGTTGTCATCCATTTAAGGAAGTGATCTTGCAGGGACAAGTTTGGAAGTCGAAGGGGAAAGTTGAAATTCAAAAAAGATGAGAGATGAAGCGTGAACACGACTGATGTTCAGTTAATGGGAATGAACATCCTCCCAAAGTTATGTATGGAAGATGCGGTATGATCTTCTACGAGTATAGAAATTTAGGAAATGATGTATTTGAATCTCAAGCTTATGTTACTGTTGACTGTGAGCAATCACTGATACGCCCCTGCCCATGTTGAAAATGAACGTTTTCTGGGTGGATCAACAGTTCCACACGGCCTATTTTTATTTGTCACTTCACTTTACATATACACTTCAAAACTGACTGATTTCCTGCATATTTCCACGATTTGGTTTATTTCTGATATATTTAAACTTCTCTCCCTTCTGTTCATCTTTCCAATTCTTCCAAATCTTCCCAAACTTTCACGATTCAGTCCTTCCTGCCTGCCTTCCGTCTTCCGTGTCTCCATCAAGTGTAAACTCACCCCATCATTTAGATTAGATATCCAACAAATCCCCATCTTTCACCAATCCAGATATCATCATACTCTTCACCCATTCTCCAACTTTCGGCAAATCTTCATGTTCCCAAACACCTTTTATCAACCTTTTGTCTAAATGATGAACACAATAATATCCGAATAAAACCATATCGGCATAACCTAAATTTTCTCCTGACAGATACTTCCATCCTTTTTCTGTCTGACGAGTGAGGGCGATTTCGATAGCTTGGAAATGAGATCTGATCGAGGAAAGAACAGAAGAGATATCGGCCGAAGGGTCGGTTTGAGATAAGATGTTATCTCTTTTGACTGGATCACCAATACGGGTTTGGTAGATGTATTCTCTGTTTGGAGCGTCTAGGATACGGAGTTGCTGTGAATGAGTACATATATATAACTTATCATACTATAGAAAGGGAGGAGGTCTCGTCATTTGATTTGTTTGGAGTGAAAGGACTGAAGTGAAGAATGAGTATTTTGAGAAGAGTAGAAGGTTCATTAGAAAGATGAAAACTTACAGCTCCAGTGATGAATACTCTTGTCAGAGGTTGAGCAGCGAGCATGATTCCCAGAATTGTGTAAGACAGGGAACGACCGATTGAGGAGTTTGAATATAAACTTTTCTCAGGTGTAGAATATTTTTCTTCCAACTGCAAAATCAACATCAGTCTCCCACTCTCGTCCCCGATGACACGTCTGGACTTGCTCCCACTTTCTTACAAACATACGCCCCAGCAGACACAGTGACAGTAGTAGCTAGATGACTCTTAGGAGAGCTCAGAAACGGTTCAAGGTGTTAGGTTTGAATGATCATAGGAAAGTCATCTGAGCTGGATGTGGAGTGTTTATGATGAGGGTAAAGGCTTTTACTGAGAAACAAAGATGATGAAATACCCACAAAATCAGCAATCTTCCAAGAATCAGTAACCCATCCTTCCCCAGTGTTCAAAGTGGGTACGGAAACCTTCGGGTCGCCAGATATCTCGGCTAGTTTACCCCTTATTTCAGTGAAAGAATATCCGACGTGAGTGAAGGGTACGTCGTAGAATCTGATATGAGCACGAATGTCTTTACGATTACAACTTACAGAGGAAAAGACCCCTTTCTTAAGGGTAGAAAGTCTCATACCCAGAGAACAACACAGATGGAGGAAAGAGTGTGGATGGTGGATGGAATGTGAAAGGACGAGGAGAACAGGGAACATTAATGACCCACCTCAAGGCGAGTTTACTGATCATGACATAAGGACCAAAGTTTACTTGAGATTGATCCCCTTCGTTGGCTACCAGACCGTATAGAGTGTATTTTGGAGTGGACATGTTGTTTTGACTGAATGTTGTGTGATGTTGGATGAAGTGACGGATGAGGATATATATGTGGGTGGACAAGGGAATGTGGAGGTGTGAAAGTGGGGTAAGTTAAGAAAACGGAATAGAATTCCGGACTTGAACTTAGTTAACTAAGGGTACGTGTACACCTCGGCCGGTTATCTCATTTTGACCACCTTTGACATCCTTGGTACCTGCAACTTCTACAAGTTCTACCACAAGCATCTGAATTTCGCTTCTTTGCCCACAACATCCATTCTGCTCCTAGTGGTCCAGAGATCATATGACATGATGCATGCATTGAACGATGTGATGAGAGCTGAGATCTGAGATGAGAAAGGGAATCCCTTCCCCCACATAGGGGGAATCTGATTTGAGCTCACTTCCACACTCTATGTGTCACGAACTACGTCGCGACACCTCGATTACTCCACCAACAATGACCCTCCTTTGGCCATCAAAACCCCATCACGCCTTAACCTCTTTACTCTACACGTAACTCAGGACTTCTGACACCAAGTACGGCGAAGTTAGACGGAGTTAGGCTAAGTAGGAACAATGGGAGCAGAAGTACGGCGAAGTTAGACGGGGTTAGGCTAAGTAGGGACAATGGGAGCAGAAGTGCGGCGATGTTAGGCGGAGTTAGGCTAAGTAGGGACAATGGGAGCAGAAGTGCGGCGATGTTAGGCGGAGTTAGTCGAAGGAGGAAGAGGATGGCCGAGGGCTCGGGGAAGTTGGACGAAGTGCGTTGAAGTACGTCAAAGCGCGAGAGGGTTGGATGAACGTCTAGGAGGAGTAGATAATATTAGCTGAGAAGATCGCTGAAGTTCTTCAGCGATCCTTGATTGTTGTCAGTAGTGAAAGGCAGATAGAGATAGCTATAAATCAAGATACATCGCCATCAGTAGAACAAAACCCTAGTTAGAGTAACTACGCCGACGTACGCCGTAGTTACACCCCTTTCGACGTCTGCGCCCTCCTGGTTGGGTGAGACATCGACTCAGAGCGTGAAGTTAGCCGAGGTTCGTCGACCGTCGGTCTATAAGGAAGAAGTTGCTCGACGGCCGTGACAGTATCAAGGATCGCTCTTACCGACGACCCGTGCGAACCTCGGAGAAGTACAAAGATAATATGGAACCAGAAAGAAGAATTACACGAGGGATGAGTAGGGATGGAGACAGGATGGAGGAGAACGAGAGGAGAGCATTGGAGGAGCTTAGCAGAGCAATGGGGCAGGACCTTGGAGTGGAGGATAGTGTGGGGGGATCAATTCAAGGAGATGAGTTCGTTCCACCGGTGCCTTCTAACCCTCCTTCTCCTCCGTCTAATGCTCTCCCACCTGCGGGATCCCCACTTGGATCAGACCAAACCCCACGCCCAAGAGAAAACACTGGAAGTACGGCGAACTTGGGAGAAGAAGGAACACAAGGAGTGGTGTTGGCCTTGATGCAGATGGTGGCGAATATGAACAAAGACATGATGGAGGAGAGAAGGCGTAGGGAGGAATGGGAACAGAGAAGAGAAAAGGATACAGTGGGCGGGATTGCAGAAGGGATATCAGAAGGAGTGAGGTACGCCATGGGACGGCAAACTTCGGCGACCCCAAGCGTAGTGGGCGAACAACGGAAGGGGATAAAGCTACCTAACCCAGACCTCTGGAGAGGAGATCGGAACAAGTTAACCGCCTTTCTGTCTGAGTGCGACGTACATTTCGAATTGAACTCTCATCTTTTCCCCGACGACACTAAGAAAGTCTTTTTCATGATCTCTCATCTACGCGAAACACCTCTTCTTGCAGTGCAGCCCGATCTATCCAAAAGACCTCTTCCTGAGTACCTCACGACACACGATCAGTTCGTTAAGTACCTCAAGACTAACTTTGGTGATCCAGACGAAGAAGGAACTGCGGCCCGACAACTTAACGACCTCAAGCAAACCGGGTCTGCTTCGGACTACTTCTCCGCCTTCCAGCGACATGTTGCGATTCTTAAGTGGTCTGATGATGGAAACCTAGTTGACCGAGCCAAGAAAGGACTAAAATCGCACCTTCTAGATGAAATTGCAAGACACGGTAGATCGTTTGGGACTGTGAAAGAGCTATTGGAGTTTGTGATTCCCTTGGACAACCGCCTGTGGAGGAGACAAGTGGAGAAGGAGGCAGAGAGGAAAAGGGAAGGAGGGATAAGGACAACGACAGTGGTGGAAAGTCAGAGGACGGAGAAGAAAGAAGAGAAGAAATGGGAAAAGGGGCAACCTTCGGCGCAGGGTGGTGTCCAGGCGGCTATGATGTCGACGGTGGTAAAGAGTACACCGCCAAACATCGACGAAGTTCGCCGAAGATGGCCTAGGCCGAGCTCCGATCTGAGGGAGACAAGGAGGAAGGAGGGGAAGTGTACCGAGTGTGGTGAAGCAGGACATTGGCTGAAGGAATGCCCTGTAAGGGAGGCTAAGGTTAAGGTTGGACTGTTGCCTCCATGGGGGGAGAAGTTCGGAGAACGTGGTGGAGGATCGGGAGGGAACGCAGTACCTCTCGGACAGAGGAGGAACTTGAATGCGGTTGGAGGAGAAGTAGATTTGGAAGAGGACCAGGGAAAAGAAGAGGACCTGTCGCAGTAGGCGAGGCTCGGCGGGTCCGCCATATTCTCTCGGCCACCATTCCCAAACCCATAAAAGAAACACAGCTGATGGAGCCAGAGGATTGTGAATACAAAAATACACCACTCAGTACCCCTTGTTCATGCAATGTCGATAATCATCTCCTCATCCCTTCCGTTTCCAGAGATCAACCTAAATCGGACATTTTCATTAATGGAATAAAGCTAACTACGCTCTGGGACACTGGAGCTACTTGTTCATATATAAGCCCTAAGGCAGCAGCGAAGATAGGTGTAGAAAAGAGGCGATATCAGGTGAGCGTACCCGTTCACATGTTCGACGGCTCGGTGAGTGTCGCTGGACCCATCACCGAGTTTGTCGAAGTCGGATTTAGTTTGACGAAGGACGCCGAAGTGCGATCTGTTTGTCTCGATGTAACAACGCTCTGCGACGCAGATGTTGTGATAGGGTGGGATTGGATGAGGAAGGAAGGGGTTGTCCTTGATGGAAGAGACAACTCGGTGAAATTTCCCATCCCAACCCCACCAAGTGCGGCGAAGTTAGCGGCCATAGGGCTGCCGACTCTGACGGACGCGATAGACCTCCGCGGCGAAGATGAGCTTGAAGAGCTGAGCCCGGAGGAACAAGACGAGTTGTTCCAGGTAGTTCCTGAACAATACCACCAGTACATTGACGTTTTTAATCCGAAGAAGGGAGGAGAGACCCTTCCCCCTTCAAGGTCTTACGATTTGAAGTTTGAGCTTAAGGAGGGGGCGAACCTTAAGGTCGCCTCCCTCTATGCTCAAGGAGAAGATCAGAGACGCGCGCTGAGAGACATACTAGATCGCGAAATCGCCGCTGGCCGAATTCGGGCAAGTAACTCGCCATACGGCTCACCAATGTTTATGATACCGAAGAAAGCCGAAGGACAATGGCGAATGGTCATCGACTATCGAAAACTGAACGAAGCGACCATACCAGATGCCTACCCTCTCCCTCTAATAGGTCAAATTACCGAAGAACTTGGAAAAGCAAGGTATTTCAGCAAACTAGATCTAATTGGAGCATACCAATTGTTGAGGGTGACAGAGGGACATGAACACCTGACGGCGTTCAGGACACAGTATGGTATGTTTGAATCTCTGGTTGTTCGTGATGGGCTGCGAAACGCCCCCGCGGTCTTCCAACACTTCCTAAATGAGGTGTTTAGAGAGCTACTAGGGAATGGAGTCGTGGTCTACATTGACGATATCCTCATTTATGGGAATACGTTGGAGGAATTACGAGGAACTACGGCGAAGGTCTTTGAGGTACTGCGGAAGGCGAGCCTGTACGTGAAAGCTAGTAAGTGCGAGTTCGAAAGAGATTCGGTGGTGTTTCTGGGTTTCGTGGTATCCTCTAAAGGTGTATCGGTGAACCCAGAATATATTGATGCCATCACTTCCTTCCCACGTCCTAAGAATCTACGAGAGTCAAGGGGATTCATTGGAGTTGTAAGCTATTACAGGCGCTTTGTCCCCAACTTCTCGAAGATTGCTAGACCTATCAATGACTTGACAAGGAAGGAGGTACCATTTGTGTGGGGAGTCGAACAGGAGTCAGCCTTCAAAGAGTTGAAGGCTAGGATGTGTACTGCGCCGGTATTAGCCCATTTTGACCCTACATTGAAGACGATATTACAGACAGATGCATCGTTCTTCGGCTGGGGGTTCATAATTTCGCAGATCAACACGGCTGGTCAAGAACACCCGGTAGCTATTGAGTCTGGTGCTTTCAACACAGCTCAGCTGAATTATACGGTAGGAGAAAAGGAGTTCCTCGCTGTAGTGGAGGGTTTCAGGAGAAGGAGACACTTATTATTGCAGGTAGAAACCACAGTACTTACCGACCATCTAAACCTTACCTACTGGATGGAGCCGAAACAACTCAGTCCTCGGCAAGGTAGGTGGGTAGAGGAGCTAGCTAACTTCAGGTTTAAAATGGTTTATCGGCCAGGAACCCAGGCAAGTCTTCCAGATGGATTATCTAGACGGGCGGACTATCATTCCGGGAAAGGAAGTACCATGGTACAAGAGAGCAACCTTATCCAAGGTCTGCCGAAGTTCGACGAAGTTGACGCCACCACGTCGGAGTTGCGTCACCTCCTTCGAGCATTGCAAGGGACAAGGGAGGTAAAGGAAAATGATCTTGTGGACCCTATGGATCTAGTACTTGGAGTTCAGGAGGACGAAGACATAGAAGGGGTCAGAGAAGAATTATTAGGAGTCGTTTGCGCTGAGTGTTCTCATCCTACGTGTAACGATAACGTGCAGGAACCAGGATCAATCACCGAACTACGCCGTAGTTCGCGGTCTCCTCTAATCCTTCGTGGGGGGTGGAACTCAAGAGGTTTCCTCACATTCGACGATCGCATTTATGTGCCGAACTACGCCGATGCTCGGCTGAAGATCATGAAAATGCGACATGACTCGGCCTTAGCTGGTCACCCAGGTTCAGCGAAGACCCTTGAGCTAGTTCTAAGGGACTATGTCTGGATTGGAGTAAGGAAGGATGTTGAGGACTACATCGCTGGATGCGCGGTATGTCAGAGGGCAAAGACTAATAGACAGAAACCCCATGGAGAGCTTAAACCACTGGAGGTAGCTACGAAACCTTGGTCTAGCATCTCGATGGATTTTATCGAGGAGCTGCCAAATTCCCATGGATATAACTCCATCCTGGTAGTGGTGGATCGGTTGACCAAATGGGCCATTTTTATCCCGACTACGACGAAGTTAACCGCAGCCGGCCTATCAGAGTTGATATTGGACTATGTGGTGGCCCAGCATGGGTTGCCAGAGAATATAGTATCGGACAGGGGATCGAAGTTTACCTCCAAGTTCTGGAAGAATTTGACCGATAGTCTCGGAATAAGACTACATCTCTCTACTGCATATCATCCACAGACTGACGGACAGACCGAACGAACCAACCAGTCTTTGGAACTGTATCTTCGTATTTTCACCTCCTATCAGCAGAACGACTGGTCAAAGCTACTCGCTCGAGCTAGCTTTGCTTACAACAACACCCAGCACTCTGCGATAAACAAAACCCCATTCTATGCGAACTATGGATATCACCCTCGTTGGGCTGAAGAGATAAAGGCTAGCGAGGTCGAAGTGCCCGCTGCTACGGTGGTGGTAAAAGACTTGACTGAAATACACAAAGATTGTATCGAAGGAATTGAGAAAGCTAATGAGAAGTACGCCGAAGGATACAATAGGAAACACCGGACTACGCCGAACTTCGCGGAAGGAGACCTAGTGATGCTGTCGTTAGAGAATATTAAGACGAAGAGACCAATGAAGAAGTTAGATGTTAAGCAAAGTGGGCCGTACAAGGTAGTACGGCAGGTAGGTTCTCATGCTTGTAAATTGGAATTACCAGGAACGATGGCTGGTATCCATGATGTATTCCATGTCTCCTTGCTCCGTCCTTATCACCCTCCAATATTTCCTGGTCAGCAAGCTGAGCCACCTGGGCCAGTAGAAGTAGACAATGTGGGAGAGTCTTGGGAGGTAAAGGATATTGTGGACTCTAGAGTAAATAAGAGGTCAGGAAAGTTAGAGTACTTGGTGGAGTGGTTAGGTTACGAAGGAACAGACGATTCAGTATCATGGGAACCAGTGGAGAACGTCGATGGAGCTGATGACATATTGGCGAAGTTCCACGAACTTCACCCTACTAAGCCGAAAGAAGGGCGACTGCGAAGGACTAGGAGATAGAACGTACTGCATACAACATAGGATTACAGCTACGTACCGCTCACTTGTCCTTACTCTTACCCTTACCTTTTCCTTTTCCTTTCTCCTTCGATCTACTCGGTCCCGCGGGATTAGTGTGGAGGCTACCGATGACCGAAGGTAGATCGAGAGTCTCAGACGGGAACGCAGTAGAGAGAGAAGCATTCCATGCCCGATTCATAGCCCCAAAGAAGTCACCGAAGTCCTGGACATCTCGAGCAGCTTGCATGCTCGGAGTCCTCCACAGAGAACGTATGGTCCGTAGACACTCGAAGGGAAGACTGAGGAGGTCTAGAGCAGTCTGGGCGGAAGCTGGGACACGAGAACTACTACGGCGACCTAACCAGTCAAGGGACGGTGGTGGCTCATACACCATAGGAGTGACTAGGAAGGGGGTGTCGAACAGTCTTCGGCGAACATCGGCTATCTCAGTAAGGCTTCGGCGAGAGACGTCCGCTAACCTTGTCCTTGCTTCGTCGTCCAGAGCCCCAGTGTTGACTACATCTACTAACGCCGCAGTAAGATTGTTTAAAGCGTTAGCTTGACGAGAAGAGAAGTCAAGCAGGAGAGATGTATCATTTCGGGCAGCCTCAAGCTGAGTAGTGAGACCGAGGACGAGAGAACGATAAGTGGCGAATTCCTTTTCGTCCTCAGGAATACGGACGTCCAGGGAGATACGAGGGTGGACGAGGGACAACCGGGGAGCAGAGGGACCAGCACGCTGAGTATCTTCACCTTCCACATCACCATCATTGAAGGCAACCTCCTTCTCTTTAGATTTCCCTTTTGATTTCTTTAAAGAAGACTTCGGTGTCTTCTGGGGAGCAGAGGGAGGGGTGACGGGAGGGGCCGCCGAAGTGGCCGGAGGAACAGAAGGACGCCGACTACGGGTGCTGTGAGCCGGGGGAGAAGCTACCACTGGAGAGGACGGACGTGGCGCCGAAGGACGAGAGGCCGAAGAACGAGAGGCCGAAGGACGGGAGACCGAAGGAGCAGAGGCCGAAGGACGGCGAGAAGACGAAGGAGGAACAGCCGGGAGACGTGATGGGCCGGCCACAGGAGCGAAGGGCGACGGCGACGGAGGCGACGGGCGGAGGTCCGGCGAAGTACGGCGAACCGACCGGAGAGACGAAGGAGGTACCCGCGAGCGGGGGACAGACGCTGGAGTCTGAGGAGGGGGGAAGGGCGAAGAGTCGGAGGGACGGGGCGGGATGTCCCGGGCAGAGGAAACGGGACAGAAGGAGCAGGGGCCAGACGTGCATGAAGCACAACGGAGGGCCTTGTTGTGTGGCCTGACTGCCTTGAGGCAGGGCCAGTTTGGACGATTATACGTGATAATCTCACGTCTACTAATTAGCAGGAGTAACTTCGGCGTAGTACGAATAGGTGGACTCACCGGCAACGATCACACGCTTCGTCAACACCAACTGCGATCCAACGACCAGGCTCGGACTTCATCTTCTCCCACAAGTACTCTTCTTCCCGCAGTGATCTCTTCACCCGTTTGGGCGAAGGCTCCCCTCTGGGAGAAGGGGGGGGAGCAGCGACGGGGGCGGCGGCAGCAGGACCGGCGGCGGCAGCAGGAGCGATGGCGGCGGCAGGGCGGGCGTCGGCAGCAGCGGCGGCAGCGGCGATGGCGTTGGGGGGGGGGAGAACCCCGGAAGAGGAAGAAGAAGAGGAAGAAGAAGAAGAGGAAGAAGAAGAAGAGGAGAGGGAACGGCGTCGTTTCTGGCCCACAATTTGAGCAGGGGGAGGGGCAGGAGCGGCTGCGAGTTAGCAATGTCTTGGAGAGCTAAAGAACAGATAAACAAGGCCAAGTTCGGCGAAGGTGTGAGAGGTTGGACGAAGAACTCACGCTCAGGACTATCTACGTTGTTGTCCTCTACACTAACCGCCACCATATCATCATCCGAGTGTTCCTCTAACTCGGTTTCACCCTCCGACACGATTCTATCATCCTCATCACTATAATCACCCCCTTTTCCTTCGAAGTCTGACTGATCGTCCGACTCCGAACCACTGGGCGACTCCTGGTCGGAGGAGGACGGAGACTCACCAGGACGAAAGGCGGGCGTCCTGCGGCGAGGGCTGGCGGCAGGAGGGGAAGCAGAGCGAGAACCAGGAGGAGGAGAAGCAGAGGGAGAACCAGCGGGAGGACCGGCGGGAGGAGAAGCGGAGCGAGGAGGCGGGACATCGCCAGACGGCTCCCCCAAAGAGAGGGTGCCGAGGCCGAGGGAGGAGACTTGGCGAGATCTGTCGCCGAAGGAAACTGAACATCAGCCAAGTCCGGCGAAGTAAGGTAAGTGTCGAGGAATAACTCACGAGCAGACGACACCATACCACCAAAGTTCCTCATGGCGGCGAAAGGGTTAGAGGTGGGAGTAGGAGGGGCCATGACGTTAAAAATACTTAAAGAAATAAAAGATGATTCAAGGTAACAAATCTGTTTTCTAGGTAAGAGAGATAGAAAGTTTTGAAAACAGATGGGAAAAAGAGAGAAGCTCGACGAACTGCTCAGTATTTAGTATAACCAAACCTAAACCCTCGTCGTCAACATGCAGCAAACTTCGCGTTTCATCAACAAAAGGCATCGCAGGGACGATCAAAATTCCCACGCTATAGTGTCTCATCTCAATATAAGCGAGGGTTACTTCGACAAACAACGGTGTTGTTCGGCTGCCATTCAGGAAGCGTGTCTCACCTACAAAAGACACAGGGCTTCTTACGGCAAACCTCGACGAAGTTAGGGGAGTCTCATTGTCGGGTTTTGGAGTGAAAGGAGGCCCAACTACGAAGTGCGGCGCAAAGAGCAGAAGGGTGAAGAATGGTCATGGGGAGGGAGCGAATGGGGGTACTACGCTGCTAAGTTCTCTTGACACGACAGAGGTGTAATCGCTCACGAGGACGTTCGCGGCTAAAGAAGGGGGCGACTGTCACGAACTACGTCGCGACACCTCGATTACTCCACCAACAATGACCCTCCTTTGGCCATCAAAACCCCATCACGCCTTAACCTCTTTACTCTACACGTAACTCAGGACTTCTGACACCAAGTACGGCGAAGTTAGACGGAGTTAGGCTAAGTAGGAACAATGGGAGCAGAAGTACGGCGAAGTTAGACGGAGTTAGGCTAAGTAGGGACAATGGGAGCAGAAGTGCGGCGATGTTAGGCGGAGTTAGTCTAAGTAGGGACAATGGGAGCAGAAGTACGGCGATGTTAGGCGGAGTTAGTCGAAGGAGGAAGAGGATGGCCGAGGGCTCGGGGAAGTTGGACGAAGTGCGTTGAAGTACGTCAAAGCGCGAGAGGGCTCGGGGAAGTTGGACGAAGTGCGTTGAAGTACGTCAAAGCGCGAGAGGGTTGGATGAACGTCTAGGAGGAGTAGATAATAGGCAGATAGAGATAGCTATAAATCAAGATACATCGCCATCAGTAGAACAAAACCCTAGTTAGAGTAACTACGCCGACGTACGCCGTAGTTACACCCCTTTCGACGTCTGCGCCCTCCTGGTTGGGTGAGACATCGACTCAGAGCGTGAAGTTAGCCGAGGTTCGTCGACCGTCGGTCTATTAAGAAATAGTTGTTCGACGGCCGTGACACTATGCATATGACTTACAATTTTTGCTGGTGGCCACATCATACATAGGTATTACACCTACTGTTATCCCAGGCTAGAAGGCCCTGCAATGGAAGTAGCCTGAGATAAAGCCATCCGGGCCAGATTTTCAAGTTGATGGATTGTCATCCCTTCCACCCTCTCCTGTCCCCGTCTCTTCTCTTCTCTCTCAGCCCTCTTCCTAGCTTGCTCAGCTTCCTTATCAGCTTTGGCCAGTGCTCTGGCTTCCTTCCTAGCCTGCTTGTCCTGCTTTTCTGCTTCTTCCCGGGCTGCTTCAGCCTCTCTTGCCTCCTTAGCTGCACGCACCTCCTCAGATCCTATCCATTTCGCATGTTTTGCTTGGTGTCCGGGTACAATTGGCTTGAAAGCTCGCTTTTTATTGGCCATTTTAAGGCTACCTCGAAGATCTGAGTTGCTTTTCTTGAGGAGAGCATTCTCAGCTTCAAGAGAGACAATCCTCTTGTTCATCTTGCATACCACATGTGTTGGATTCTTCTGATTACTGCGTACCCTCTTGACAAGCCGTTGAGAACCACCAGGACCCAATGGGGAGCTTGGAGGTTCTAGAACATGATTAGGACATGGGGTGACAGGTGTAGTAGGTAATTGGAGGGGTGCTGGTAAGGTAAAGACTCGATTCATGACCACTTGCCGGTCTCTCGGAGCAATTCCAGCTTTTTGATATGCTTTCTTGATATTGATCCCATCATGAATGGTCTTTTTCCATGCTTCAATGAAACTACTGAAGAAGCGTGGTTTGTTCATGAAGAGTCGACCCTCAGCAATCTGGAAGCGTTCGGTAATGATGGTTGTACAGTGGGAGGAAAGAGGTGAGAAGAGACCAATGTCAAGAGGTTGATGTAACGGTACTGGAAACACGACGACTAGGTCGCAGGTTGGGTCGAACTCGATGGAGGTCTCGTGGAAGTCTAGGGGCTCTGGTGCTAATGGATCGTGTCTCCTCTGCAATCGATGTAGCCAAAGAATGATATTGAAGAATCAGCAAAGTTGGTACTTTGCTGATTGTACTATATACTGTCTACGGATATCCTCGCCCTTTGTCCTCTTCCTGCTGCAAGCGTCTACGTACGTACATACTCGGACAGGTGAAAAACCGCTTTGAGCAAACCCAGTGGGGAAATCTCGAAAGGGGAAAACCCGTCCCTACCTACTGCAGCACTGCCTCCAACTCCCGCTTTCCTCTGTCCTAATCCGTCGAACTCGATAGAGTCCTCTCGATTCGTTGTTACCCCGTAACAAGTTTCCCCCCCTGTCTCAAGGATCCTCGCCGAGGATCCTGAACCCTGTAACCAGGTGATGCACATGGATTGTTCTTAGACACCTTTGGTGCGCCCTGACATCATACCCACGCTAGTGTGACGGTTGCCATGAAAACGCGTCACCCGCACGGACCTCCAATGTGATCGAGAAATTACTGACCAAGTTACCTCCCCGTCTTCTTTCTCTTCTTTCCTCCTCATTCTCTCTTTACCTCTTGTTTGTCGTTCTTTTTACTTATCTATCATCATCCATCCATATCTTACTCATATCTTAGAGTATCCTTCCAACTCTGACCTGTCTGTGAGCATGTCTAAGCGTACTGTAAGCAATTCCCTTCGAATTCGATGTATATCCTCCTATCTCTCACTGGCTGACGAGATTAGTTGTCTCCTTCCACCTCCTCCCGTCAAACTCGAGCTTCTACCTTGGCAATCCTGCCTGACGTCGACCCCGAACTCCTCATGCGTAAGACGAAAAGAATGAGAATTACGTCTGAAGCCGCTTCCTCTCAACCCCCATTGGTTGATGCGTCTCGACGAGCTCTCGACACCATTAAGGAGAAGTATCAATCCGGTCCTTCTCGCGAAGCACAATCGCTCCTTGATGACCATGTCATCGAGCAATATTTCGACTTCGAAGGGGGTGCTGGGCCATCTGCCACTGGTGAGAACCTATCTCCCGCCAAATCCGTCGACTCCGAACACCCTACCGTCGTCGAAAATGAAAATTCTCCCGGTAAGCAACCCACCCCGTCCTCCTTCTGAGGCTTCCGACGAACTTGTGGAGGTTCCCGAAGAACTTGGTGACATCTTTCACGCCCCTCGCAAGGTTACCGTCAACCAGGAACTGGTTAAGTTGCTCGAGGATCGAAAAGACTCCGAAATCGGTGAGAATTCCACCGAGTTCTGTTCGCTTCTGACTTGTTAGCTACCCTTTGGGCCAGCATGACCTTCCCCTCTGTTCGTCTCGCGTTGAAGAACGAAGCTCTGGACCGTTTCCGCGAAACCAACGCCATCAAGCCCACTGTAAAGTGGTTTAAGAATGCTGTAAGTCTCGAATTCTTCAAG